TTGCAGAGTTGGTATTACCCCAGGACCGACCTCTTGTGCGGCGTATGAAGGTGCCTCAGAACTTACATCATCTGCCCCCGCTGGGAGTTGTAGGTTGGGTATTGCCTATAGAATTTTAAAAAATGTACATTACCCCCAAAAAATAATATACTGCAGGTGCGTTCGTTTTCCCTTTCTTTAAGAAACCGAGCAAAAATGCAAAGAAGAAAATTTACCTCACTAGACTGTTCTCGGAGTGATGACAGACTAGGTCCACGCTCGCTGACTGCAATAGGATCAGGAGAGGGCTAAAGCTCTGGTGATGCGGGTTTAACGACGAGAGCAGCACCATGTTCGCTGCGGCATAATTTGCAAATACCTGTAATTGTTCGTAGCAGAAACATTAAAATATATTTTAAAAGGGAAAAGGAGAAGGGTCCAACTTCATAAATTAGTCGGCATTATATGTCTTTTTATATCCATTGCAAATAGTAGATTTGCAACAAAAAGAACCCCTCTTACAGAATTATTGTCGTTAGCTGCGATCTTTTTACCTTTCTTATTATCAATTGCTCGTCAAACACTAGATGAGATACTTGCCTAGTTTTTTTTTCAAGTTCGTCATTTGCAATCCTTGTTTATATTCACCACTCTTAACGAATAGCGATCCTTGTTCCGTTCTTGCATCTTAAGCGTTTTTCTGCCCTATAAAACGATCATTTCAAGGTTTCATTCTATCTAAAGGCAACTCTCTACGACTGTAAAAATGACTCAAAATATCGTGACGTAGCTCCCTTTAGACCAAAAAAGCAAGTTTGTATAGCCAACGCAGAACTTGAACCTGTTTTAAAGTCGAAAGTTATCGACTACCTTTTACCTTGTGTGCAAAGTAAATGATCAAAGAATTTTTCTCAGTTTTCTGTTAAAGCTTTTCTGTCACAAGAAGTGAGCAGTTATCGTCATATTGACCTGCGAAATGAACTACTTACAAATTCTGTTAATTGCCCATCCAGTTTAAGTAATTTCATTTATCAACCATTAATTCTCTGGCAGAAGAACAAGGAATACCATTGGTGTCTATCTGGTTCTACAAGAGACATGATTCCAAACAGCAAAAAATTAACACAAAACCATACCTGCACCGACGGGAACAAGAACTCTCCATCTCTCTAAAATCACTTTACACATCTGGAGGCTTGCTCCTCTTTCTGGTTTTCGTCGCTTATTGCCATGCACAGGATAGTAACATTTGAGACTTGGTCTCCACCAGGTTCCTAGCGCAGTGTGATGCTTCGGACACACTGTCATATCGTCCCCCATCTCATCAAAGAATCCCACTCTAGCTAAAATGAGGTCTTTTTCCGACCTAACAGATGTTTGGGCAACCTTCAGTTGTCGCAAACGAGATTTGATATCCCTCGTACAGGAAGACAAAGGAAAGAATTCATTCTTCCCTGGAAATCTCGCTGAAAAATCACAAGTGCTATTAGAATGCGAAAGGAACGAACAAGACAATTGGGCAGCCATAGCTTTAAGTTGCCGCTCCAAAAAATCGACCAAGTAACTAGAAAAAACAACGGCGAGACTTCACTGGCAAGAAAAGACAACGTGCTTTTTTGTTCATCTTTGTTTACTTTTTATGGCGACGGTGTCTACATTAGCCTGATTGAAGGATCTCTACCTCGAAAACAATCATGCAATCAGACGTTACAAAGATAAAATAAAATAAGTTTATTTAAAGTAGAATGTGGATTGACTTTTAAGATAGACTTTTATTTTTTCGAGCTCTGGGAATTTCATTTCTGAATTCATGCAAGTACATGTGCCGGGAGCACGTGTCACGCCACACACCTAAATTTACATGACGGCTGTTTTTTCTCTTGAAGGAAATCAGTTTAAGTGCATCCAAAGTTTGATAATAAATTTAACAAGTATGGAAAGTAACAAAATGTACAAAATATAACTCGCATACTTTATTTCTAGCTGTTGACTTCCAGCATATAAACACGAATCGGTGTTATTAGATTTACAAGTAACAGTCAGTGAATTGTGTCAATATCTACGAATTAGTACAATTAATTCAACGCTTTAGCTATGCAACTAAACATCTTTTAATATTTTTAGAGCCGAAAAACAAAACATTTGGCGTCACATATACCATTACACGATTCGATTCGGCTCATTAACAAGCAGCTTGTGGTTACAACGTGCTTAAATCAACTTTGCCTGTCACGCACTTCGGAGGAATGCGATCACGAATATTTCACAGAGGCCAAAAATGTTTTTCGTCAGAAGCATAGCACTACGATTGGGTTTTACTGTGATCACATGTTGATCGACATGTAACGTTGCCCATTGGAGATATTTGCAATTAAAAAAGCCTAATTTTCAGTCTCTCAAAATTGTCGCGTGACATGGTTAATTATGAAATGCTCTCGATTGGCGAGAATAATTTGAAATCAATCCAAATTCCAACCTTCCATTGCTTAAGGTTCAAAGAATTGTCGGATAAAATGAGATTAAAATCCACCGCATTCTATCAGTGTGGGAGATCTTTTTGAAAGTACAATTTTAGAGCTAATTTCGGGGTTTTATCCCTGGGATTTGATGTGAAAGCCCTTGTATCCCAGGGATTAACCAGGAGCCCAAACTACTTCGGACTTTTGAATAACTTTATGACCTTAATCATCTGTGAAGTTTGAGAGAAATCGGTGAGATGGCATGTGTCACGCCTGCCTGGTCCTCTCGTGAACTGACTCTTAAGGTTCTCCAGCCACACCTAGGCCCAATTTTCCTTCAGCACAGCGGTCAAATTTAAGAACCAAATTCCTTCGAATAATATCGAACATCTATTATTCCTGCTATCTGTGACATTATAGTACACATTAAATGTTCAGTCGTAAATCGAACAGACTAAATTTAAATGTGGAATACACGCTCTGTTGAAAACAGTATTCTGCCTGCGGATCAGCGCTCATTAGTCACTATAGAAAGGGAATTTGTCGCGTATCCAAAACTAAAAATCTACTGAATTTTGCATGTGATTTTAAAACTGACATGCATCAGTAATCCAGCCAGAATAGATAAGTGTAACAACTAAAGATTTACAAATTCTCGAGGATGACAATCTGAATAAATGTTTCTTGAATGCAAGTCCTATGGTGAAAGTCAACATTCTTATCAGCTCAGAAGTGGAAAGGAAGAAAAGGGAAAATAAGATGCTCTTCACGGTAACTAAGCACTCAACAAACACCCTTTGAATGTGCTGGCCTATATATAGCTTAAAGATTTCATCAATCCTTCATGCTTCACAAGTTTTTTACAACGTTGTTTTGCATCGGAAGACATTAAAAATCCATATGCATGAATATAAGTATAGTGCTTACACTGTCTTATTGTCACGGTTGACTTAAAATATTGGCGTTGACAGGTACATTAGCTGACAGCTTGACACAATCTCAGCTCGCTCCTTTTCATCACCGGCCGATATTTAGAGAAGTTGGTTTGACGCCTTGCGGTAAGGATACTTTGTTATTTATACTTTGATTTCCAAAGACTGTGATCGCTAATATTTGGTTAACCCGTTAGATGTTTTTAATTAGAAGCATGGGCGGCCTTAACCTCAACATAAAATGGTATGGGTGTTTCAGTTTAACGGTCAGTTCTCCGGCGCCAAAGCCACTTGCCAGAACCGCATAGCGCTGTATTTCTGAGCTTTTTAAAAGGAATTGTCCGTAGATTTAATTCGAAATCGAGACCTGCCTGAGTTACACAAAATCTTGAATCTAACCTAAGTAAGCTAAATTTGTAAGGCAAGTGGACCGTAAAAAAGTGCGTACCAAGAGATATGCATTAATCAGTAAACGAACGTGTAAGTAGCTTTAAATGAGTACATCTATTACGCCAGAATAAGGAAAGGAAACAAAAAAAGTGCATTTTAAACAAACTGTTAGAAGATACCTTTATGCTGAAGCTATCTCATTATTAGGTTCTGATTTAATATTTGTGCATGAAGCATAAAATTCTTTGCTCTATCAACTGAAAACAGACGTCGTGTAGCGATGTGTGTTGCTTCTAAAAAAGCTTACAGGAGGTTTAGTAGGATAATAGACCTTAGCATACTAAGAAGAAACATCAGGGACAACGCAGTTATGGATTAGAAAACAACGGATCTAGTGCGTGCATATCACGTATCAATTGTTAATCGATGTTTGCGCCCTTTTGATTTGCATTGTAACGCATGTCGTTCAGTCCCGTTATCTTAATAGCAATTTGAACAAATATTAGCCCCCGAAGTCTGAGGACATCAACATATGTAGTTGCTCAGTAATTTCTGCACTATCATTTGTTATTAAAATTTCTTTGACGGTATGCGATTTCTTATGTTACGGATACAAATGACCCCCAGCTATTGGCGAGCCCAATGTCTGATTGAGAAGAAAAAGTTTTTTTTCTCTTTTCGACGAGACAAACAAACTCATGGCGTCAACCTGGGACACGCTTGAGGAATCTTCTAATAACTGTCAATTTGCAAATTCTATTGAAATATTTCAGTTATCCATGACGCCAGCCAATGCTATTACTCTTAAAATATCACCCGTAGGGTATGATTTTCAAGACCTGTTTACTGCGACGATGTTGTTATTTAACTTATCCGAAGCACGTACTTGATCATGTGGTAACCCATTGTCTCTCTTGTAATATATAGAAAATTGCAACCTTATCATCTGTGATATTACAAGAGTAATTATTTTTTCGGACTCGATTCAGTCAGACTGAATTGAAAAACGGGGCCACACGCCCTCTTTTTTTGTCTGCGTGCTTTGCTTTCATTTTCTTATCACTCGTTATGCGTCTGAAGGAAAAAGCACAAGGCATTCACATTAAAGCTTTTGTAGCGTATAAATTTGGGAGCACCATCCCATAAACCTAAATTAAACTTATCAGTTTTCGCCATCTCCCTTCCGGTGGGTGTCCACTGGTTTCGATCCGTTAATCCCAAAACACTTCAGTGCATTCCAGCGCTTACGAATGTCACGTGACTTCCCTTGGAGACGCTTCAACGCCTTGTTGATAGTTGCATCGAATACATGGTTGATGTTCATTTGTCGGCCAAGAAGCGAATCTCGACCATTTTTGTCAAGGTACCTCTCTTCCTAAGCCAGGAGTGATGTGGACTGGAGAGAATACCTAATGCCTTCTTTTAATCCGTTGCCGAAAGCTGCACAGTCGGCGGTTGGCAAACTTACTTACACTTTTGCGCCATCTCCTCTGAAGGCTAAAACGCACATTCCAGCGTTGCCGACAATTCCACCGCCAGTTAGCACAATAACGCAGTCATATCGACCCAAGGTTCCCGTCAAATTAGCCACAGTAAGCTTAGTTGGAAGGTGAGTTATACGGTTGTCTTGTTGTATTGTGTTTAATCTTCGATCGCGAAACTTTGGCTGCGTTTCAACGAATTTGAACACTGTCTAAATTGATTCTTTGTAGAAGAGATCACTCCAAGAATGCTCCGAGTGTGTTGACTGAGGAAAAGGAAGACGAAACTTTTGCAAGTAAGAGATGAAACCATGACAGTATTTTAGTAATGACACTAATTTTTGAGAATTATTCATTAATACAACTTTTTTCAAGATGCATATAATGAATCTTACATAAATTATTCCTTGTTTGTTTGTTTTAATCTCTTTTATTTTACATCCCTTAGTCAGATACTTTAAATTAATCATTGACATTGCTTTCCTTAGAGTACTTTGAACCTATGATAAATTGTTATTGTTTGTTTATTTGTTTGTTTATTTTGGATTCCAACACTACATTGGATAAACAGATCTTTGAATGTAATTTTTTGTTCATTCAGATAGATGAAAAACATCTCTAGGGTTTTTATGAACAATTATAAGATATAAATTTAGATGCTCAGATTACTGGAGAGCCTTAGGTACAGAAAAAATCTATTGGTTGCAATATTGTTAATAAAACTTCTTGCATCGCAGTGTGCTCGTATATCTACCAAAAAATTAGGGAAATCAAGTTAATACTTTCTTCATTAAAAAAATTCGATTTCCTATTACGGAATGGCTTTATTTTTATTGTTTGTTGTAATTCTTGTTCTTCAGATATAGCAACCTCACCTTGTCAAACAAATTTGAGTGGGTAGAGGGTGGGAAACTAATCTGAAGTAAAATGTCTCTCATTTGACATTTGCAGAGGTTAGCATCTTATCTGTGTTTGGAAAAATGTTTCTTTATCTGACTAGAGTTGATTTTGGCTTCATACCAGGTCTTGAGGAATGCTTGCAGTCTCGTCCTCCACTGCAACTGGATCTGACAGGTCCTAAGCCTACAAGTTATGACCCACCTATAAGTCTACCATGGGAAACTTCATCACCATGTTATACGATGAGACCCAAAACACAGCCAGAGAGAGGTATAAATAACCGTTCAGTTTTTGTACACTTCTCAAGGGCTGCCACAAGTGAATGACTGTGATTAAATTTTGGCAATTATTTTTGTTTTGCTCCATTTGTGCAGATAGAGGAGGTGACAGAGTAGCTTGGAGCAAACAGTGGATTGCCAGTCCAGATATCTGGACATTTAGAGCAAACTTTGATAGCAGGGTAAGAATCAGAATAGTACATGTGCAACGGAAAAACTGGTTACAAACAGGCGCCTTAGCTGATTTTACTGAATTATGAAACACTGAGAATAAATTTATTTTGAACAGATTCCCAACCCATTATGCCAGATTTTTTTTATGCTAAGTGAGAAATAGCTATTTTGAGAAAATAATTCCATCCAAAAATTCATATATTTGGATTAGGAAGTCACATTGGTAACAGCATATCAGGAAGTTTGGTTCAAACAGTTATTGAAACGAACAAGTTTACTTGTTGTTGGAGCCATGTAGTATTTTAGTGCTATTGCACTGAAGCCTATTCTATAATACAATAAACTGCTAACAAAAAAAAAAACAGAAGGACTACCTCATACATACTAATGAGGCAGATTTCTCAAGCTTATGCTCACACATGCAATTTTTTGATGTGCACTATTTTTTATTTGCAATTGCATGCACTTTTGGTACATTCTATTCGCATTTTTTGTTTAACATATATTCAGGCAGTACTGTATATGGGTCAAAACATGATATCCTAGCAGAGACCAAGGCCTATAAGTTTAATTTTCTGTATAAAAGTCTTTTAAATAGCTAATTATTCAGGGGACCATAAATCTGCAGTGCATGACATTACTCAAGAAAAATTGCAATGGTAAAAATGCTAAATTAATGGTCATGGAAATCAAAATTTCATTTTCATGAAGTTTGGAGAGTAAGCAAGTAAAGCACTTTTTATGTTACTCAGACATACACTTAAAAACAATTTAATGGTTTAAGGACACTAGCTATGCTGGAAGAGTTAAATGATCAGTTAAATTTGAATTGGTGGTGAATTTTTTTTTTTTTTTGATCCATAACAGTATACCTGGCCATCTCCTGCTCATTACACCTCTAGAAATACTGTGGGAAGTCCACAGTTTGTTCTATCCCAGTCACCTTCACATACATTCGGAAAAAGAAGGGAATTCTCTATATCCAAGAAAGGTGAGATCTCTTACTTTGTGCATGTGCATCTGATGCTAATTGCAAGAGGGACTTTCATTGGTTCCAAGTTCATGCATATACTCTCTGTGTTAAGACATAAGTGGATATATCAGACCTCAATTTTCAATTCTCCATCTTCTTTTTTGGAAAGTGACTCTAAAATAAAAGAACCTTACATTGTGTGTTGTGGCAAGGAAAAACCTTTTGCAGGTTCTACATTGACTTACATGTAAGCTCTTGTAAGGGTATAAAACATCTGTGAAAAACCACTTGCTGGATAAACAAGGTTTGACTCACAAGCCCTTTAACTCCCAGAAGTGATTAACATGTAGCTTCTCCCTAGAGTATCCATACATTATCTAGCAAACAGGTAGTGAGAATACTCAAACTTACCAGGTACAAGATATTATCTTGATGAAACACCAAATTCTCATAACCAATTTGCAAGGAAATGTGTAGTAGCTAAAGGGGAGGATTAATAATCAGATCTTAGGATTAATAAGTTTAATAACCCTTTTTAACAAGGGTTAATAAGTTTGACACCTCTACTGAACAGGTTCAGAAGATGAACCAGCCCCAAACCAATACAACCACAACAAAGCAAAGGAGAAGTTGTTGAATAAATCACCATCCTATTCAATTCAGCAAGGTAGACGAGGTGGAACAGTGTTTTGGATGGCAAGAGGTCGGTTCATTTTTCTTTTTCTTTTGATCCCCTTAGCTGCTTTGTCAAATGAATAAAATATATGTATGTTATCATTTGACCTGACTGACCAACTGACTGCCTTCTACACCAAGTGACTGGCTATGTTACTGGTTTACTGACTGACTGATTGACTAACCAATCAATCTGGCTGTCTGACTAACCTAACCAAGAATCGACCGTTAGTAGAACAGAATGACAAACCGAATGATTGACTGAATAACCAGCAGACCAGTTGGCTGACTGATTGACTCACTGACTTGGAGGTTTAATCAATGGTCTGTTGAAAGCTTTGTTTACTGTACTTGTGTTGCAGTATTTGTTTTTGTTTTGAATAATCTTGGACCAAAGAGTTTATGTGTACCTTGCTTTGGTATAATTTTTCTTCACCAGAGCCTGTTCCAGGTCCTGGGTCATACAATCCTCATGTGTATCGCACAAGTTCTAAGCGCTGTGCCCCAGCCTTCACAATGTCAAGGACACCCAGAGAGATTGGAATCACTCAAAACTGTACCTTTTGAGGGAAAGAATGTCTGAATGATTTCGTGGACACTACTGGATCAACAGCACCTTTCCTCTTCAAGGGACGCTACTTTTTCACCACCAAGACATCGTTCATTTGGCATTCAGCAAGTTAAAGGCTTGGCTTTTGATATAAGACGTGGGGTCGCTGTACATTTGTTGTTGATGCAGTGTGCCTTGTGTTTCAGTATCTCAATCTCTACATTCTTGAATAATCATGATATTGGCGTGACAATCCATATCATGTGAAAAAAATTCAGTGTGTTGTCAGCTTTTCTCGACCATTTTAATACAGAAACTATATTTTCATAGGTGTGTGCAGAGTGTATTTAAAATTTTTCATGGGTAATTATACTCAAAACGGGTGTCAAATACAGATTATTAACGTGCAATGGAGGCTAATAAATTTTATAACTAATTTTGTACAGAATTTGAATGATTAGACGCTTTTTAAAAACATAATTTTGAAATAAAGATAACAAACGCTAAGAAGTCGAATTTCTAACTTGTTAAACTACAGTGATTCAAGTCTTGAGTGTTTATTTAAAATGATACTGACTTGTGTATCTGCATTCTTTATTTAAATGCGTCAGATTTTCCGATGATTCCCGAATGTATCTCGACCACTTCGTTTATTTCCGGAAATCGAATTACAGCTTCTAAAAGGTGGTAAATTTAACTAAAGTATGTGTTTTACAACTTCTTCGTAAAAAAGATGGTTGTAAAAAGGACAATATTTGTGCATTTACTAAATGTGAAAGACAAATATTACTTTAGTCATGTACAAAACAAATTGTACAGATCAATCATCGTTATTTCCACAGCTTTTCTGCAAAGGCTCATTGGTCTTCATCGAAAAATAGAATGAGAAAATTCACAAAGACGGGCAGTTTTTTTTCTCCTTTGCTTTTTTTTTTTTTTCACTCGCGAGCTGTTGCTTGGTGTAACACCAACGCTTTGTCTTTAGATTCTTCATGTATTGTGCTTCGCGGCTTTTCTGGAGATTAAAAAAAAAGGTCCCGGTTCCTTCCTTTGCATCTGATAACAGTTTTCTAAGCCAAGCTGCTGTCGATGCACTTATGGGTGAAAAAGTTTCGACCTTTTCGAGCTATCTCAGTAAGCTTTTAAGGACGTTGAGGTCTCCCTGATCAAGAAGTTTCCTTTCTTCTTGCAGATGGACATTCCCAAAGGTCGAATTAAAGAGGTGTCACAAATAGACGGTTCCTTTTGGCATATTGTAATTAAAAAAAAAATCTAAAAAAATCGATCATCCGTGGAAATGTTATATTCCAGTTGTTAGGTTCAACCAACCGTAATAATTTTATTATTGCCACATATGCCAGTTTTGTAGACCTTTGAAAACGTCAACCCAATTCTTAACTTTAAAGAACTTTTAAAACTTTAAAAACGTGTTTGATTGTAATGAGCGTTCGCCGAGTGCTAAGCATCCCAAACGCATTCTGTGCTGTTTTCTAGCAATATCCATTGTTCAGTGAGGTGCAACTGTGTTGTCGGTTTTCATTTTTTACCGTTAAAAGTCAACCGTCACACTGATGCCATTTTAATAATAGTTAATAATTAAATTATAAGTCGCAGCGGGCAATTTCCAGCTGATTTTAGCGAAACATTATTCGTCCCTTATAAAAACCTTGTCCTAAAGGATGCAGACGCAGACGTATACGAAAGTTGGGGAAATCGATTTATGTTTATCACATGGTAGCCGACAAGCTTTCCGATGGCCACAGACAAACAATCGAATATCGAAATCCGTTAATCTGTGTTAAGTGACGCGTAAAGCAAACCCACGCGAAAATATCAACACATAGCAAGTCAACAAAGACGTTCAAACCGAGAAAACTTTCCGATTCCTTACGTGCTTGCCACGGACTTAAAAAAAAACCGTAAGTTAATTAAATTGATTTTTCTGATAATTCCTTTATTTTTTTTTCCTTGTTATTCGAAACTGGCAATCGTGATTGTTCGGTATCTGATACACCCTCAGGTCGCAAAAGGTCAAGTCAGATAACATACATTTGCGTCCATAAAACTACGCGCTCCAAATTTGAATACCGCCTGCAAACATAGTCGAGATCACAACTTAATTGCTATCGTACTTCCGTTACAGAGCTAGGGAAAAGTATCCAATTTTCCCTCCAACTCGACAACGGTACATGAAGATCTGGACTCAATAATGGGTTGATCTGGGTGAGCAGAGTCGATCGCTTGAGCCGGTAACATTTTAAAGATATTTGGGTATAATTTGACGACCGTTAGCCGTAGAACTAGAAGAAGCCAGCAATCCGCCGTGAGCCCAAGATAGATGTGGATGCCAGCTGTATTTTATTGTGGAGAATGACAGCTACCTTCGTTTGGAAAAAGTCACGTTTAGTAATTTAGGTAAGTTGTTGAATATAAATAATACATTTTGCAATTATTAAAACTTATTGTATGATATGTACTGCTTTGTACGTGAAGTTGAGTTTGTAATGACGTTATCAGTCACAAATGGATATTAGCATTGCACCAGTGAGATGCTAGAATGTGGACTAAAAATCCAAAGAAAACTTTGAGTTGCCAAAGGACTGAGGAGAGAAAATATTTTCGATAGGGAAGAATTTGGATCTAGTACAACACGGTATAAGGAAGAGGCTTCAAATGTTTAAACTGTTTTTCATATCTTATTTAAAAATTTAGTTGACCTACTAAACAATTCGTGGCGTCTGGAGCGGTTTCTAGAGGACTTCTTTATGGGTGACGAATTTTTACATTATCAATGATTATCTCTCTGTGTAGTGGGTGAAAATTTTTGTTAATCATCCACGAAGATAAGAGCTGGATCAGATAAGTTGTTTTCCCACAACGAGGAGAAAAGTTTCAAAGCAGAACAACATTGCAGCTTATCACCTCTTGAGTGCCTTCCATATTTCCCCTAGATCAATCTTTGTCCAACCCCATATTTTAAATATTCACGTCTAAGTCTTCCTGCTTTTTTTCTTCCCGCGGCTCTTTTTACGGCCAAAAATATGGGGAGATGTTTATGCACGCCACAATTTTTCACCGGTTATTATAGCTTTTAGCAAAATAAATTTTAGCCATAGCAATTTAACAGGCGAAGTCTTACAACTGCGCAATATTTAATCCAATCATCCTGTCGGCTTGAGAGCCTTACCCGTGATAGCTTCTCTTAAAAATCCCTGAGTATAAATCAGCCTTTCAAGACCTAAATATTGACCTTCATTTTCGTGATCCCGCTTTGGGCGTCAGAGATTTCACCTCTGGAATTTAAAGGCAATGTCAGAAATGTCAAACAGTTCGTTGCTTAAATAAATTTTGGTATTACTTTGAGGTCACTATTACCCCATTCGAAACTACTTTTTTATGCTGAAAGGCCTTCAACATAAGGTTTCTGCGTCATGTGGACATTTAAGAGTCAATATTATTTTTAGTCTTGAAACGAAACCCGCGCTAAAAGCGGATGGTGTACAATTCCACCATTGGGTAATTACTAGTGATGATAAACTCTGTAGACATAAACCGGAAATAGCGCATACTTTGAACGTGGTTGTGCAATTAGTTATCCCCTCAAACAAATTATCGTTAATGAGATTAAAATGTATGTTAAGGAACGGTGGGTAAGAATGCATTGGAAACAAGCAACATAGTTAGCGAAAATAAATAGAAGAAGAGTCGGCCATTTTGGTGTGTGATTACCTTGCAGAGCCACTTTAAGACGTAAAGTTTTGGGCTTACAGGAGTACTATCTTAGTAAAACTTAACTGCGCGTGTGAATATCCTCCCCCCCCCTCCCGCAAACGCAGCTTACACCAAAGGGTATGAACTTATGAACTTACTGTTGAAGAGAAATAACAACTCAGACATAAGCTTTGAAGATTCTATTTCTTCAGTCTTATCAGGATCTTATATTAGGTTCTTTTTCTTGAGGTCCTCAATGGGGTTTTTAGGCGTAGAAATTGACAAATTTTAACCGTTAGTCGTAAAAAAAAGTTAACCGTAAAAAATTTTTCCGGTGGAAACAATGGAAAGATGTTAACTGTTAGCCGTAAATTGGCCAAAATTTTAACTGTTAGCCATCACCCCAGTAAGACCCCCTTTCTTTAGAGCTGTTGTTTTTTTAACATAATACGAGGCTCGGAGTATTTCCTTAACTACATGAGATAACTGATGTGTTACGTGCCCTATCATTGGTCGAAAAACTATTTTTTGGATTGTACGGGCAAATCAACGGAAAACTTGTCGTACTTTTTATTAGTTATTCAGCGTTATAACACTCTTGATATGTTGAGAGAACGCTTGCTCACTAAACCCTTTACACCCTAAAATCAGTATGCATATTCTTCATAATGTTCTATATACATTTCCTAAGGTGCTGCAAGGAGAATTTGTTTACCAATCAAAAGCTTCTTTCGTTGGTGATCATTTCCTTTATTCTCATGACCTTAACGTATGATTCAGGGCTGATATTGTAGGGAGAAATTTGATGCTGGTCACTCTTAGGGTTTAAGGGTTAACTCGTTTGCTGCTAACATCCCACGTAGGCTATTTCGTCAGTAGACCAATAGGACAAATCAAAGCTTTATGTAAAGTATGTAAGTGTAAACTATTCTTAATTTTGTTTAATATAGATATTGCAATAGTAAAAAAACTTGCGAGAGGAAATTTTCAACGATGTTCATAGCATCATGGATCATAGCCTATGTACTTGTTGGTGTGCTGCTGGTAATAACGCTTGTCTACGTCGGATTTCTGGCTTTCAAAGCTTACAGCATCCGGCAAGACATAAAGCGTGCTCATAGTTATCGGTATATCTTGAGGACGCCTTCGGAAGACTTCGAAATTTCTTCGGCTACCGATGGATCCCCGAGTCCTAAGCTTTTGGAAGCTTCAGTCAGACCACCAACTCAGCCTCCTTACTTTGGTAAGAACTCATGAGAAACAGGTCAGATTTTCAGGGTGCGTTTTCGAATCTTATTCATATAAACGAGTGTAAGGGCGGGTTTTTGACTATCGAATACACGTCTTACACATTTTGCAGGTCCGAAATGGGAAGGGTAAAATGTCTTTGTGAGATCTAAAATAGGGTCGTGGCTTCAAGAAACATGCCGCACGCTTCTACGAGTATCCAAAGGGGGAAGGAAGTTAGGCACTTTTGAATTCCAACAATAAAGTCGAGTGTCTTCTTCAAACACTGCCTGTGAATAACCTTTTTATTTTTCTTTCTTCATTTTCCAGTTGGTGATGTGCAGACGGTTCACATTCAGCCCCGTCTCGTTAGGCGCTCCCCCACGGATTTCACACCATCCGCCAGTCCTGCAACTCCACTGACACCAAAGTCGCCCGGAACTCCGGGTTTCTTTGATGACTTAGGAACCCTGGATCCCAGTCTTTACACAATGGTAGCGGAGGTAAGCCATTTTGTCACCCCTCCCTCCCCCTCCCCCTCCCCCTCCCCCCTTCTTCTGCCTAATTTTTCATGAGAATCATTCTTGTTGATTTCTTAGAGTTTACATTTTCCGCAAGAGAAGTAGTAAACGAAATAAAAAACCTAAATTAGGAGATAGTGATGCAAAGGAGTTTGACGAAGTATCTCGTAGAGTATAAAGTGTTATTTACACCTGAGTGGAAAAAGCCTTCTAAACGAAAGTCTAAGCCTAAAACTTTGCGACATGATGTTTGTCCTTCGTTATTTCTACAAAGGATGCACTTTGAAAAGCTATAATAACAAACTACCTAACTGGATCGTTTTTACTTTCCCTCAGGAAAGTGGATGCTCTACTTCCGAATCTGGATCCCCTTTAACTCACAATCTTGGCCAGGCTCATTTCAAAGTCAATTTCGATCAGCATCGTTCAATCCTGTCAGTGAAGCTCGTGAAAGCCATGAACCTGTCACCGCTCGGAAAGGACTGGAGCAAGCCATGTAATCCTTACGTCATAGTGCAACTGCTTCCTGATTACAGACATCAACTGCAGTCTACTGTGCACAAAAAGACTACCAACCCTCGTTTTGACGAGACGTTTGAATTTGAGGTAAAGGTTCTCGTAAATTACACGCATTTGGTATTCATTTCAGATTTTCAGTCCGCACGTCATCGGATCGGCATAACCTTAGCTTTGTCGTTCAGTTCGAGACAATAGGGAGTTTTAGATCTATGTTTGTTTCTGAATACGCATGACCGCAAACGTCTTGGAGTCACGTGAACAGACACCAGCGGTCACGTTCGCCGTTTGCCGTCCACGCGTTAACTTCGGGCAAGGCAGTTTCAGGTACTTCAACTCTTTCGGCGCTTTTTTCCTCACTGTTCGAAAGTTCTCACGCATTTCCCATAAATATATGTGAGTTAAAGTCTTTTCTTTATAAGTAATCCGTTTGAGACGCTAGGAAAGCAATCTTTTAGCCACATTTTGTGTTTGAAAGGAAGGAACTCTATCCTTTGTGTGATTCAAGATTGCGGCGCACATGTTAATTTTTTTCAGATGAAAGCCGACGTCGACCTAAAAAGCTGAAAGTCTCGAAACTTCTAACTCCTAACCACAAACTGCTGACCGCGGTTTGACGTTGACGGTGAACACACCAAACGTGGATCTAAAACTCTCTAATATCCTCTTCACGTTTGATTTGAAGCAGCGAGTGAAGACCTAAACCTTCGTGCTCGTGCGTCTCTTCCTTCGCGTATTTGTCTCAGTGAGCGTTCTCTACAGCTAACACCATCAATTTTTCATGTATCATTCATTGACCCGCGAGCAGGGTTCGGCTTGAGCGTTTTTTCGCCTGCAGTAAAGTAGGAGGCCTTGCAGCGCTAGCTGGCAGGAGATCTAAGGTGTCTTCCAGCAGACCCCTTCCCGACCCGTTTTTAATTGGGACCTTTAGCAGTTAGGACGGCAACGCCAAAGAAGACGTTGATTTAAAAAAAATACATATTTTTAGTTGGAATTTCGCGACTGACTGGGTGTGTTTACCATCTCCTACGGCAGCGCAAGTTAACCTCAACATAACGTATGAGGGCGGCGTTGAGTTCCAAATAGAAGCTTAATTAATTTGCCGTCGGGGTTACGCAAATTTTGATGATTTCATGTTGTTATTTGCAGAGGACGGCTAAGAAATATTCTGCTCATTAGATCTTTTGTTTTGCCACGTCCTTGTTGCCGTCGCCATCTCGGTTTGCTAAAGGTCCTTAATATTTCCGTACGCGGAGAAACGTGCGTCCTGCAGCACTAATAATGACGGCTTACTGACGGGCTAATCATTTGGTAGAATTGTGAGCCAATGACATCATGTTAAAACTGACCCATCAGGCACATAACACTCTAACTAACAAACACATACCGAATGATTCTGATGATAAGTTCCGCTCAGGTTATCGACATGTCAGCCTTACTGCTTACGACAGTCTTTTTCAGCACCACTCTCTCTCAACAATGAGAACTCACTATCAACTGTTATTCCCGGGGCATGGGTTTAACTCATTTACTGTAGTATCATTTCCTTTACTATCGTTAAACAGTTGTTTTTACCTTGATTCTTTTCTTGAAAAATGCAGTTGTCTTATAAGGAACTCCAGTTGCAAACCCTATGGCTGACGTTCCTCTCGTTTGACACGTCTTCCCGTCACGAGGTGATTGGCCAAGTATTGTTGCCGCTGGCTGATTTATCACTCTCTCAAGACAACACATATCGAACTGATATTAGACCGAGTCTTAAGGTAAAAAGTTCTTTTCTAAGATTTAGTAGCTTAAAAGAGCGCAAATCATGAACTTCACAGTTATCATAATGACTTAAGAGAACAAAGATAAACAAAGATGAATATGATAGGGCACTAATGAGAACTCAAAGTTGGAAAGAAAGTATGTATCTTGCCTCTAACTCGGGAAAACTCGAATGACCAACTTGTTTTATCTGATTGGTTGAGATGATGGCGCGAGTTTTTGAAACCAATCTCTTAGCATGTCATGAAAACCAGTGCAATCTGGCTCGGGTCGATCACTATTGACAATCGATTGAATTCGCGTAATAGAGTAACTGGTTGTCCGTAGCACTCCGAATTCATTTTATTGGTTGTAACTCGTCAAACAAGGACATTATCTATGCTACTTCTTTTTTTCTGGGTATCTATGTTACTAAGAGAAACACTCTTTTGGTTTTGATATCGAAGGAAGTTGTTGATGTCACTGTAAACGGAAGCTCTATTATCACGTCTCTCTCAAACAAATATATGCAATGTACGTCTATTCCTTATGGCTATCTATCTAGACTTCTCAAAACAACATATAATTTTTGTTTGTATAATTTCCTTCTGCGATAGAAACAAGTAGCGTTAGGGGAACTGATGGTCTCTCTTGGTTACCTCAAGTCCGCGGAGAGGTTGACTGTTGTCGTCATTAAGGCTCGCAATCTACCAGCGGTTAATATTAAGGGAACAGGTTGGTTGTATACGTGATTGGACATATTCTTATGTTGAATTACTTTTGTATTGTTCTTTGTTTATCATCCTCAAATTTCTTTGCAGTTCTCTTTTAAATTCAAGCTTCGTTCTCTTCCAGAAAAACCGAGTAAAATCCAGCATTAGAGCAGACACACTCTCTGTGGTCATTCTTTCTAACGTTCTCAATCTTTGTTTTTTTCACGCAGATCCCTATGTTAAAGTCTATCTGCTAATGGCAGGAAAACGGGTAAAAAAGAAGAAAACGACCGTTAGGAAAGGAACATTGAACCCTGTGTTCAACGAAGCCGTATCGTTCGACATATCAGTAGACGCCATGAACTCTGTGGACCTACTGCTGTCTGTTATGCATGAAAACGAGGTTATCGGTTGCGTGTCACTCGGTGCCCACGCCACCGGAAAAGAACTCGGACACTGGCGGGAGGTACGCACTGCCAACAAACCTGTTGCACACTGGCACGTGTTACAAGACCCAAAAAAGTTTTATTAGGAAAATTTAAGTCTTGAAATGGATGAACTGAGAAGGAAGAGACAGAGAACTCATAAGAGGTATTTCAGGCTTGTAGTGAAGTCTATTTCAAATGATGAGATTCGTTGCGACGAAAAATTTCACGTAGGATGTCGGCACAGTTAATCTAACTTGTGGCAGAGTATGTGAACGGGGAATGGGAAGGATTCAGCTACAAACCTTGAGGAGGAGGAGGAGAAGAATTGGGTCTATTTTCACTCATTCCCATTCCTCCGCCTGGCGCCTTCCCACAGCCGTAATGAAGACCCCTTAGCTGCGAAGTTGAGTGGGTGAGGCATTTCAGTCCTGTGTAGAAGCGTCGCCGATTGCAAAGACAGTCTCATAACTTTTTTGAAACTGAGAAACCTTTGTTAAATGAAACATATCTTGAAATAAGATGTATAATTTTTTAAATTCCCATTTTAATGATAACCGTAACTAATTTCTGACTGATACCTTTTTACAGAGCATATTCTCTCTTTTTAAGGTTGAGATAAAATAACGTGCTTGTTTCTTTTCTTTTTAATATTATCTTATACATGTTGAATCATAAAATCGAATTGTAAGATAGGTCATTGCTTTAATTTCTTTTCCTTAATAAAATAACAGTTAATAGAGAATGTCTTCCACGAATTAGTAAAAATCGTGGACGTTCTTTACAGACAACCCCATGATCACAATCGGGGCTCGTCTTGGAAAATTTGTCCCAAATTTTTAAGCCGAGTTTGTCAATTGTAATCGTTTTTAATTTTCTTCATCCCCAACTATTCCTGTTCCTTCTTGGCATACATCTTTAAAAACACTTTAATTTGTTTCTTGTAATGTTTGGTTTCTTTTGAGTTCAGTGTACTTTTTCATATCACAAAGAGGTATGTAACAGTTAACTCCTCCTTGCTGTATGTATGTATGTATGTATGAATTATCACACAAGTAACGAGAAAAGACAAATGCATCCGTCAATGGGCACTATTTTGATATTGCATCAAAGACTCCTAACTAAGATATAAGAAGCTATATAACAACTTGGCGATAGAATTTCTAATCAAACCTTGAAAAGAAAAGGGGGTTAACGTGGCGTGAGCTGCTGGCCGCAGTGTAACAGATTCGTGTGTTATAGTGTCCTTCTTCCACTTCTGGATTCAAGACTACGAGCAGTCCTTCCTTTTCAGTGAAGTCCGTCGCGCGAGTTCAAAAAAAGTCCGTGTTCCAGAGTCCCACGTGGCGCACTACCCTGCACCATTTGTCTTTTTGTTGATATTTTTGGACTAGCGCGACGGACTTCGCTTTAAAGGACGGAATGCTGCTCGTAGTCCATCTGGATTCTGGCACAAAGTTTCTTTTTTCCTGTCGATCCGAAACGTTCGCAAGGCGACAAGATCACATTCAGTAACTCAGATCAAGTTGGCGATTTTTCCTTCTGCTTGTCGCATCTTGATCGCCTTATAACGCCATTGTTGTTTCTCTGATCATGTGTTCTTCGTTGTACCTCCAAATTGCGATACGTTATGTACAACGGATTCGATAGAAAGAAACCAAAGCCTAACCCAACCACAACAGACATAAAGAGCCAAACATTGAAAGTGTTCACCACAAGCATCAACAGGTAACCTGTCACGGCTGACAGAAGATAAGAACTTGTCCTCAGGAGGTGATCAAGTATCCTGGAAGAACAAATGAAGTTTATTGGGTTGAAAGGGGCTCGATCAGAGGCCGCTGGTCGGGATAAGCCCGCGTTCCACCCTCTACACCACACCAAACCACAACCTCGAAGTTTCCTGGAAGACTGGGTTTAAGAAAACGGTAGAATCCTAGCCTAGAATTACATATACCAGAAGAGAATCTCGCTAAGGTGTGGAATAAATATTCTCATAAATACCATGATCTTAGTGTTCCCCACTATTTCCGAATATTTCATTGTGGAAGAGGTCAGACGAAAGAACACTTGTAAGTTCATGTCAACTCCTACAGCGATAAGCAAATTATTTATTGTTTTTAACTTTGATGCTGGCTCAAAGCATTCTTTTCGTAGAATTGATGGAAAAAGGCTCCAATTTCGAACCCTGACCATGTTTTTTCACAAAAACTGACCGAGTCATGACAGATATCTATGTATTTTCGAATTACTATGCATTTCACCAACCTCTTGTTTCCTTTGAACTCTTTCGTGGAATATCCTCTTTCATTAGGTAGGCCGAGGTACCTGTGATATGACGACATGAACTCATACAGTACAGCAAGGGAAAACACTGCTATCAATGATCCACCTAATCCTGTGAGACAGAATAATGCATACGTCACTACCAAAATACTTGGATCATTAACCCTTTATACTCCAAGGCCAGTGTCCATATTCGTAATACTCTTCTCCATACATTTCCTTTGGTGCTAGCAAGGAGAATTTGTTAAACAATCAAAGCCTCTTAGGTGGGCAGTGATTTCCTTCATTCTCATGACCTTTACATTTGATTCAAGGGGGATTCTGTAAGAAGAAATTAGGAGCCAATCCCTCTTAGGTTTTAAAGGGTCGAACTTGAATATGTTTTTTTTTTAGCTGGAACCAATCTTTGGAACTGCCTATTTTTACTTCAAGTGGTGTTTTACGGGTTTCTTTGGTGTACCAGACCACTGATTTATACGGTTACCTTGATACAGTGCACTTGCCGATGTTACTTGGATTTACGGCCACACAAGATCACGTTTCGTTTGATATTCCTCGAACAAATACAAGTTATTCTTACACGTACCGTTTATAGAAGTGACCTTCCACTGCCGTAGAAGCACTTGCATCTCTCCAACAAAATTAAGCGTCATGGTATAAATCTATAAAAAGGTAGAAAGGAAACTGAAATGGCAACAATGCTCAATGTCCTAACCATCAAGTAATCGCGTTTGATTGGAATGTGAGAAAATGCGCAGTTGGCATGCTCTCAGTACAGTTAATAAGGTAGAAACTGTCAAACATAGTAGATATTGTGGAAACAAAAAATGTCTTTGGTGGCCTGTAACATAGTCAAATATGGAGGTAACTGGTTGGGCAACCCGACAAATTTCTTTGTTTTAAGATTGTTTTACGCTTTTTAACGCATTCCAATCATTTTGAACCGATTGGCTGCTTAAAACTCTTATTTAATTGATTCAGTCACAAAGCGTTATCATAAAATGAAAAGGATTTGTACAGTCAGCGGGCGCCAAAATAAACTTGCTGCACAGCTGTTTTCATCTTAAATTGTTGTCAGCTTTCCTAAGCAGTAACCTCTATTAACTCTGACCTAAATAACTTTACATCACGCTGACATGACTTTGAGTGAATTCCTTGCACAGATTAGCATTTTCTATAAACCGGATACTTCTTGATTACGCAAATAGTTGATTTCCTTCGTCAATTTCCAAATTATGAACAATTATTTTTGAGGAAACTTGAATTTGAACAATTAGAGTTAAGTCGTTGTCAACAAATCTGTAAAAATTGGCTTCATACCCTTTTTTTTTTTGCCGTTTCCTTCTCAAGAACATTGTGCGGAATACATCATCGTTGACCTATAGATGACTCGTGGTCCTCACAGTCAAATGAACTTTCTTTAATTTGTACCCAGCTGATATCTTAAAGGAGAATTGAAACGCCTCAGGTTCAAATCTTATCGAAGTATGAATTACTTTTGGAAGGTCTGACGTTCTGCTAAGATATTCTCTACGGTTTTTTTCCGGGAGGATCAGTCAATCCTAGACACATTACTTCAACGAACAACGTAAATTCATAACAAAAATTCCGCGTAGCCAGTGTTTGCATGTGATTGATGTGCTCCAAACACACGTAATGATGTTATGTTTTGGCGATGGAATACGGCACGGGACGATGATAACTTGCCTTCATGTCACGTTAAGGTATTTCAATTGTTAAGGCGATTATTTCTTGGGTTTTAACCAAAATTTTTAACCGTGCTAAACTAATTTTGATGCTAACTGATAGTTTGAACACGGCAGCGATACAGATGACTAAATCCAACAGATTTAACCAATGATTTTGTCTGTCACTCATCGAAAACTTCCCTGATTTGGCGCAAAGACTGCGCATTCGACTGGAGTGACAGACTGCCCTACTCAATGCGACATAGACGAAATATAAATGAACCCATTTGCTGCACGTCCTAAAGCATTTCTCAGTGCAGAAAGCGTAAGTGCTTTACGTGATCTAATTAAAAGTAATTATTCAGTTGTCTTTCATTTAAAATTCACTTACCGAAATCTTGAGAACTGCAAAATGAGTCGGATTGCAAGACGAGGTGAAAGCACTGGCCCAAAACTGTATCCTGATGGCAGATTCGGGATTTTCTAACAGGATCAACACTCCCGTTGTCAACTTGATGGATTTTAAATAACACGGTAGACCACGTGACATTCAGTGAAAACACCCCTGAATGACAGACGAACAAAACGGGCTCTTAAGCAGTCAACGATAAGATGAATGTTTATTGATTGCATCGTAACAAAACTCCCAAACGTGTTCCGCCTTGTGTAGCATTTAACCTTATGACCGGCAGCCACGAAAATATCTTTGTAGGAGGTTAAGTTACCAACTTTGACAACGCACGCGCGCATCTTAGTTCAGTAACTTGATTTTGTATCACACTTTAAGAGGAAAAGAGAAAAATTTAACTCCCATTCGCGGGCATGAAACGACTTGGGCTCCCACCAGAGTGTTGTGGGTGATTGTCATTAGAATACCCGTGAGGGATTGACTACCTCTTCCCACTTCTTCTCAGTTTCCCGAGGACTATGCACGTTTAACGCGTCAAAGGGTAAAGTGAGGCAAGAGCTGCCTGAAGGCAGGGTTCGAAATAATTTTTCAGCTTTCAGCGTGAATTTGTAGGCTTTTGTCAAGGCTCATTTTTTTTTCCTCGGCTGTCACTAATAAATTTTAACATCAGAATCTTTTGTTGCGGCAATTCCTTTCCCAACAAAGCGTAGTGAACAGTTCAAGTTGTCGGTGAAATATACAACTTTGTCTAGACAAACTGTCGCGCGACTGTCAAGCACAGACTTTAATTTGAACGCGTGAGAAGGCTTTACAGACGACATTAAACAGGATTTGGCGGAAAAAAAATCTTGATTAAAGGTAGTATGTACGTACAGAAACATAAACACAGTAATGTGACGGTGTGTACACAAAATTGCATGTTTCACGCTTGAACAAATAAGTAGAAAGCTGAATACTGCAGACCAAAATACTCCTTGTAGCACGCTTCAAATTTCGAAACTTTATACTCGTTTACGTTTCCAAAGAGCTTTTGAAACATTTCATGGCTGCTCTATCGCCTGATATGGCATGTTCACCATAATATGACAGCGACTTTTCTTCAGTTGGACGATCATAAGCATAATATTTTCTATAAAATTCTAGTTCTTTGGTGAAAAACCGCTGGCAAGTGTGCCAAAAGTTCCGGCTGCCGCCAGTGGCTAGCTCTCAATTTGATCCCTGAGAAGGGTAAACCTATCGTCATGAAGGCCATTAAGATCAATGAAACTGGAGGTTTGTCTCAATTGAAATACGAAGATGTACCAATTCCAGAACCGCAGCACAGCGAGGTAAGGACACGATCGAATCACCCGTTTGATTTGAGGACATATGCTTTGATAGGATACGATTTTTAGAAGCAGAATTGAAAATGTCATGGTACTATAAGTCTCACATATTAATTGCTGGATCTATCCCTTTCAAATATTCTTCTCGCAGCATTAACGGTTTGTGCGCTAGGAGCTTCATGGAGTTATTTTACAGCAACAACGATAGCCCTCTCTCAATATATACTAGCCCCTACCCAGTGGGGATTTAATTTAGTAGGGCGAGGGAACCATTAAGGGAGGGGAACCATGAAGGGAGGGTAAGTGTGAGAAGACGAAAGCAAATTTGAAGTGAAAATTTGGCGTAATTTTCTGCATGCTCCTTCCCCCAGAATATTTCTGCACAGTTCCTTACTCTTCCAAAACAAAGGCACAGTCCCCAAATGTAATCCATTATTTTTTGCCAATGTTTTATTTATCCAAAAATTGTATGCATAATAAAGTACAGGGCTGAGTGGAAATCTTATTTTTCCTCCAACCGATTGACTCACACAACTTACCTGCCTCTGCTTGACTTTACTAGCTGGCAAATACTCTTATAAAAAAATGATTCCTGTTTTGTTGAAAATATTTTACCCAATTACAGTGAGCAATATGCAACTTGCACCTACACTATTGTCTGTGTATTTTAACATAGAGAGCAGAGTTCTCCTTTTCAGGCAGTAGCTAGTAAAATTTGCTATCTCTAGTACCTCTTATTACTGCTAAAAAGCAGTTTAAGCGCTTGAAAAATCATTACGTAAAAGGATTGTCCTATCCTTTGGAAAATTTCATTTACCTGTTGTGCTTGAAATAGAGACGAACACTGAGAGCCTTAAACTTGGGATTTATTTACACACTGGTATATTCACCTAGTTATTTCATTATTTATATACTTAAGTTGGCTTTTTGAAACAATGCTCAATGAATCAGGATACATCACTGTGATGAGTGAATCATTGAGGCAATCTTATCAAAAGTTACCTATATGTTTAATGAATAGGACAAATTATAGAGGTGTCATCCAGTAGCTTAAAGAATTAATGGATAGCTCAGTGCAGCTGCAGCTGGCTAAGGGAATTAGTTAACTAAAAGGACAGTTACAGACATTGTTGATTTTTTTGCAGGTTTTGATTAAGAATCATACAAGTGGTGTTAATTATCTTGATGTGTATCTTCGTGAAGGTATTTTTACTTTACCTACCATTCCAGCAATCCTTGGAGTAGAGGGTGCAGGGGTTGTAGAGAAGCTAGGACCTGGTGCTGTTGGTGTGACTGTGGATGATCGCGTGGCTTATTTTCATCTTGGTTCAGGTTAGTCTGTTGAAGGCTTTGTGGTAAATGGCTTGACCATTTATGCCCTTGTATCCTAGGTTAACATAGTTTACAATGTACATCAAAATGAGGGCATTCTCATGTAACGCGAGTACAAAATTGCAACACACCTGTAAATTAGAAATAGGATGCACACACTTTCGAAATTTTGTCTGTTTTGATCTCCTGTTATGTTTTTTCATGTTCATTATTGACAAGTAATTACATGATTTCTCTCGCAGTGTGGTGGAATATGCAGTTGTAAATTTTTCAAAGACTACAAATTGCACTTGCCCTATGGGCTTGTTAAATTTTGTTTTGCTTGTGCAATTTTGCTTTGTAATATCAAATTGCACTCGAAATCATGTTATTACCTACACTTTGTATACTTGATGTTGAGATCAGCAGGTCAGTAAGAAATATAGGTATGAAATATGAGGTGTAAAGACACAAGTCCCTGATGGGTCTGGAAGTCTGTTATGGAAATTTAGAGGCTTTCAGTGATATTTTTCAAAATCTCATTGAAACACAGTGAGTAATGTGGTTATTTGTTAATGAGGTAAAAAAAACTAGTTGTCTTCTGATTGAAAGTGTTTTAATTTATGCAACGAAAAAGTTCAAATCATATTTTTACAGTCAGTTGCTGTTTGCAACTTTCACACACTATTTTTTATTTTACATTAAAAAAGAAAGCAGCATAGAAATCAAAGAAGCCATTTTCTAAGCCAGTATGACATGATGTGAGAACCTTGGACAGGAATATGACGTCAAACTGTAATGCAGATACATTATGAAAGTCATGATTTGTGATTAATTTGTACTCATCCAAGTATAATTCTGTTTTAGGAAGTTTTGCAGAATACAGCACTGTTCCAGTGGATAAACTTGTCAAAGTGCCATCAAACATCTCTTTTGAACAAGCTGCAACAACCATGATTCAGGGTATCACTGCTCATTACTTGGTTCACACTGTGTACCCGGTGGAACCTGGTACCAAGGTGTTGGTACATGCAGCTGCTGGGGGAACTGGATCCCTAATATGTCAAGTGGCTAAAAATGCAGGTAACAAAGTAGTTTAATTTGGGTTTTCTTGAGAAACAGTTAGCTAGCATAGAAGAAAAAGACTGCTGACTGCTCCAACAGACCCTGGCTGCTACAGAGGCACTTGAATAAAAATGATTCCTTGAAACCTTCAAATGCTGGGCACCCTATATTACGGAGATAACTGGCTTGACACAATGTGTGATTCTTTGTAAAAGCACAGCTTTGAAATATAGTCTCGTTCTGACTTGAGTTATCTAATGGCCTACAGCTCTCCCTGTAGCAATCACTCCCCCTCCAAAGAAATATGTTTACAATAGATCCCAGTTACTTCTTATACTTGTGGGTGGGGAAGAGAGATTTGTTCTTGAAGAAATAACTCTATAGCTCTTGAAGATAATTATACCAAGACCTCTTGAAGTTTGAAACACTACACATTAGGCCACAAAAATTACCACTTTGGATTACATTAACTTAAAAATTCTAACAAGAAGGGTCAGGATTTGTTATAGATTTGTTAAAAGGGAATTTTTTTCTTAGGCCTGTTCTCTGTAGTAGGTGGACTTCTGTAGGTTTCTCTAAAATCAGGCAATCAAGTATGAGCTTGAAAAATGGCCTGAATATTTCTGCAAAAAATAAATTCACTGCTGTGCCATGCTGAGCTGCTAGACATCTCCCTATTATCTTTCAAATACCTGCCAGCTCTTATGCACCACATGTGAGTTTCAGGCCTAGGAATAAATGAAAACATTTTTAGCAGGAAAATGGGATAATGTTTAAGGGAATACAAGCTCTGGAGGTTGTCTTACATTTCTGTAACATCTCGTTTCATCATTAAAGATTATTAATTTTTTCTTGTCAAAAAAGGCTGGTGCCTCAAACTTCCAAACAAATAACCTTGGATTAATAACCAAGGTTATTCGCTTTCATATTTACGTCTGTGAGCTAAGTTGCAGGAAAACTTGTCAGACCTGATCTTTAAACTCAGATTAGTAGTTCATTCACATCACATGTTTAATAAACTGGAAAGGTAATCTGTGTTTTCCTGTTTGATTGAGTCACCAAGACTTGCATTTCTCAGTGGCTTGTTGTGTTTGAATACAGGAGGTTATGTCATTGGCACAACGAGTACAAAAGAAAAAGCTACCAAAGCAAAGGCTTGTGGAGCTGATGAAGTTATTCTGTATTCTAATCAAGACTTTGTCCAAGAAGTCAACAGGATCACGGAAGGTACTGGAGTCAACGTCATTTATGACGGGGTTGGAAAGACAACTTTTTACAAAGGCAAGTTGTGCATCAAATGAGGCTGTGGTCATTGCAGTGAAAACAACGCCAAAGAATTGGTGAAAGTAAAGCCTGAAAAAGAGTTGAGTGGTAATGAGTTTAAATTCCGTGCACGCCAGATTTTTTCCCCTTTACAAGCTTTATTTTCACAACTGCTTTTAGTTTTGTATGAAGTGCATTGATATTATTAGTTGACAATTTTATTTCTTGCTCGTTAGAGATGTGGATTTCACATGAATAAAGTATTCCCTTTTATGGACAGAGCTTTCTTGTGGAACACGTGGATCCTTTTAAAAACTTACATCAAAGCATAATTTTGTACAGGTTTTAAATGCCTTGCAACACGAGGTACCATGGTCCTTTTTGGTGGTGCATCTGGTTACCCAGACTCTCTAGAGCTCAATCTTGTTTCATCTGGGTCACACAGTCTCATTCTTCCAAAGTTATTCGACTACATTGCAACGCCCGAGGAGTTGTCATGGAGAGCTAATGATGTGTTTGATTGGATCACACAAGGAAAGATTAAAATGGATAATTTTACCGTGTTTACGCTTTCAGAAGCAAAGAAAGCTTTTGAAATGCTCGAAGGCAAGAAGACAAGTGGAAAACTCTTGCTTAAACCTTGAAACTGTCTTTGAAACTATGTGTTCTGAATGTTATTAACAAGCTTTCGATGTTAGTAGAGCTAGCCAGTCATGTGTTTTTTCAATTGATTCTAGTACATTGATATTTAGATATTTTGTGGTACTCACAAATTGTCATCACCTCCCGCAATGAAATAAATCATAGTGTAGACCTTTAAAATGTGTTTTTTATCCGCTAAATTTTTTTATGTACCCATATTTTTGTTTCTTCATCTCAATCTTAAGATGAAAAAGAAAAACGAAATATTATAGTGATATTGCTCATTGACCCGACATGAGGATACGCCAGATTAAAAGGTTGAAGGGAAAAAAGTAAAAAAAGAGGGAGTGGAGGAGCATTTGCAGAGTGGACCCATGACATTAAGGTACTCTCTCTTTGCTACTCTCTTTCCTCTTGTGTTCGGTCACGTGGTTGGATAAACAGTTACTGAAAACGAGTGGCTCTGGGACGAGAATGATTAAGTGATTTTACAAGGGAGTTCCTATGAAGACAAAAGCAGTCCCTGCTTTTCTGTGAAGTCCGTCATGCCAGTCACAACTATCCGTGTAAAAAAAAGTTGATGTATGCATGACGTGCAGAACTCTGACAGTGAGGCACACGAAAATTAGCAAGAGACCAGAGTTCTGCGCGCTTACCAGTCGTTTCGTACCCATGGATCTTTCGTACCCAGACGATTTGTACCCAGGCTCAGACGTTCCGTACCCACTTTCGATCAGTTCGTACCCAACCCTCTGGTCGATTCGTACCCAACAAATCATGACACGAAATGTTTAAAACAAACATAAACACTTATTTCATTTATCCTAGTAATCGCAAAAAAGCTAATTTATAATCACAGAAACATTGAAAAGTCATCTTTTAGTTAATACTCTTGAAAAATCGTGACCCAGTTGACCCATCCTAATATATTTTGCCTACTACCACGCAGCGCCTACGACCAAACGTACTTATTCTACTTAGTAAAAAAACCAATTTCTAAATCATAGCTTGAGGGGACGCAAATCGTCTGTACTGTAAGTATCCCGGAGAGTCCCATACATTTTCTTAGACTTTTAGTCTAAGAAAATGTATGGGACTTTTTGAACGCTCCAGGCAGCTTTCCTGTAAGGTGTCATAATCCTGTTGCTGCTGACATCGATGTGACAGATAATTGCTTTTGCACTGTTTTCTTTGCTGGCTTATACTTATCATCAAGTTTCAATAAGACGGCTATCATTTTTCACAAGAATAATGAAGTTTTTGTAAATTGTGAGATCGGATGCAAGAGCACGTGTTCAACTATTTCCCTCTACTTGCTTGGGAATGCATTAGTAAAATGCCGGCGGACCTTGAAGCCTCCAATAAGCTGGAAATACCAAATAAACGGGAAGTGAAATCGCGAAAAAATACTCCCGAGGAGAAACGAAAACAAAATAGAGAATGGAGAAAGCGAAAGCGACAGCAGAAGAATGCGAGTAATCTGGCTCTGCTCGCTAATACTGAAGTTCTGCTGAGAATCAATGATGGACCAAATGTGGCTGAGACGAGCTTGGTAGATAAGAAATCGTTTTCTCCAAATCTGGATACAGAACAGGTAGGCAACGAAAGCGGACTTATCATGCTTAAGGCTAATTCTAAAGAAGAAATGGTAAGTAATGCGAAGAGACCACGATTAACAACCCTCTTGGATGTACATTGTTCAAGATCTGCAACAATGCTTCGGATGGCGCTTGGAGACGACGCAAGACGCAAGCCGACTCAACATTCAAGGTCATTTTTGGCACAGACAACGTTTCAACGCATTGTTAGTCAGAAAAATATCCATTTTAAGAGTATGTCAGATGAAGAATTCAAATGCAACTTTAAAGAATTGATTCCGGAACATTTGGAGTATCTAACCCAACATTCCGTTGGTAGTGGAAGTTTTGGCCAATGCTTCAAAGCAAATGACACACAATGACAACGCCGGAGAACAGGACAGGGCAAAGAAAAACCTTCTTCATGAAGCAGGGGTTATAACTGCATTGGGGGATCATGCCAACCTCCCAATGTTGTTTGGAGTAGTTACAAAGAGCTTGCCCCTATGCCTTGTTCTACAGTTCCATGGCATCAACCAAGAAAGCACTACTCTTCATCAGGCAGCAAGGAAAAACCTGCTTAATTCAACAGATTGTATTTCACTGTTTATAGAGATAGCTTCTACCTTGAGCTATGTTCATTCATGGGGCTACCTTCATAATGACATAAAAGCTAACAATGTAGTATTGGAAAGAAAGTCCGACCCTGCGAAATACGACCCGATTCTTATTGATTTCGGTAAAAGCACCAAGCTGGGGTTGCCATCCTCAAAACGAAGTTCGTCCTTCTCTTCAAGAAAGATCTATTTAGCCCCAGAAGTCCAAAAAGAAAGACGTTACAGCATTTCTAGTGACATTTACTCTTTAGGAAGAATGCTGAAGGCTGTGTCGTGTTTAATAGGTTTTTATGAGAAGGTGCGGGTGCTTGTGAAAAAAGCCACTGACCAAAACCCGGGTGATAGGCCTACTGTTGAAGAATTTTTGCAACAAATCTCTACAATTATACCATAGGTATTTCGCTAGTTCTTTTTCCCATGCCATGTGTTCGGAACAACATATTCATGAGAAGTGATGCGGAAACGCTCGAATTTTTTCGACAGAAAGCCACCACAGAAACTGTAGCAAAATAAACTGAAATCCTTGGTTTCTTTCTTTCTAAATTTAAATTAATGTTCTATTTAGCATTTAAGAGGCAGTAGAATGGCAAGTGAATGTTTCTTTTTATAAACAAAGCAGTTGAGTAAGTCGAGTTGTTTGCTGAACTGTTTTCACTGTGGTGTTTCCACGATACATTGAAATTCGCGTTTCGTTGGTTAACAAAATCATAATTTTAAATATACTTTACAGTAAGAATTATATTTTTGACCGACAACCAATAGCATTCTTTTTTTATGAAACGATAATAAAGGTTCTTCTCTTATGGCTTCAAAACGGCCTGTCTCTTTTGAAGTGAGTTGTTCGTTTGTCTCGATCCCCTAACCAATTAACCTTCTCAGTTTTCGATCCTGCAAACTTTATCAGAGCATGATGATTCAGCGAAAAGAACATTTCCAACCTGGGTTTCATCAAAAGACGAAGAAGGACATTCTGCTTGCACTTGTGGTTTCCTTACGGTAACCTCCTCTTGACTTTCGTTTTGATCAGGTCTCGTTGTTTCCTCACGGTCACTGATTTCAGTTTTCCGCTTTCCTGCAACAGTCTTCTGGAATTTTCTGTTGAACTTCTTCCTTTGTTTTCGTACCTTTGTTCTTCTGCGCTTTTCTTCAATTGAATGTTTTCTAAACCTCGGCATCATGCAAAATTACTTGCTTGCTCCAGCCCTGAGAGATCGTTCTTCGCTTAAGAAGGTTTAATCCGTAATCACTGACACGCGTAATTATCGCACGTTTGTATGCAAAGACTTCCTTTTGTCTTTTGAAGTAGAATTAGCATAGCCTAAACTACTGATGCATTCAACTTTTGAAAAGCCTCTTCTCGAATCTCCTTTTCTATTTGTTCACAAGTTTAAAGTCTGTAGCAGTTTGCATTCTTTCGAAACTCAGTTGATTATCTTGAAAATTGAAGTTGCTGGCTCACATACATTCGGATGAAGTGATACTTCTCCCAGATCTAACGCTGTATTATTTCCTTTGTTTTACTGAGGACGTTACTAATTTTCTTTGTTTCAATTATAACATTAAAGTGAGACTTATTCTTCAGTTTCAGTCATTGGCCAAGTGCGCAATTTCGACTAAAACTCAAGAGAGTAAGTAACTGCCGTTTGCAATTTGAAGTTCTCGACATCACACAAAATTACTTGGTCGCTCCAAAGAAAAATCCTTCAGTTCGCTTAAGGCTCTAATCCGTGACTGACACGCGTAATTATCACACATTTGTATCCAAAGAGTTTCTTTTTGTCTTTTCAAAAGAATTGCATAGCCTCAACTGATGCATTGAAGTTTTGAAAAAAAAAAAAAGCCTCTTCTCGAATCTCTCTCTTTTTTTACAAAGTGCAATATTTTAAGTCTGTAGCAGTTTGCATTCTTTTGTAGCTCACAAGCATTAATCAAGCGATACTTCCGGCCCATATCTAACACTATTTTCAGGACGTTCTTAATTTTCTTTGTTTCAATTATAACATGATAGTGAGACTTTGAGACATTTTCTTCAGTTTCCGTTATTGGCCAAGTGCACAATTTCGACTCAAACTCACGAGAGTTAGTCATGCCGTTTGCAGTTTTCTGTCGCTTTTGTGGGAAACAATTCAAAACAGGTGTTTCTCTAAGAAAACACTACGAACTGAAGCATCATGAAGACCGCCTTTTTGAGACAACAAACATATTTGTGGATGAATTTGGCAATCGCTGCGATGAGCCAAAAGCAACTGCGCTTGGAAACGACGCAGAACTTCAAGAATATCTGAAATGGCTATCCGCTTTGGTGGAGAGAATAAACATGTCATTGGTACCTGATCATCCAGGTGAATACTATGGTTTAAATATTTCTCTGTTTTGGAAGCTGTTGTTAACACGGTTCGGTTCATTTCTTGATAGGAAAGTGGTGTCATATCGACTGTTTTCAAGTACCCGAGCGGTATTTTCGTCACATTTTGCATCGGTTGGAAAGTCCGAGGCTTGATAGCGTTCGCGATGTTTCACACCGCCGCCAGCCTATTTTCAAAAGAACGGCAAGACGATTGTCGTACAAAATATTTGAGGAGCAAACGTTCAAAAGGATTCTAGAAGAGCAGGACTCTTTGCTGTTTAAGTCCCATGCATTGTTCAGTAACCAGGACGAAGTTCCTGATATTTCAAATATGGAAGCAGAGGAGGCTCTTGAATTTGCCAAAGCAAGGGCAAAAAAACCAGTACCACGACCAACGAGTCGATCGTCAATGGAAATTAGCACGGGGGAGGGCCGTTCCACTCGAGAAGTTGAGTTAATTTGGTGGCCAAGCTTATACTCGAGATCGCTTTATGGGAAACTGACTCTGCGTTTCTATGTCAAAAAAACTTCAATTTAGAAGTTCAACAATTTCATTTTTTGTTCCTGTTAACGCTTAAACTTTTACACTTTAAAGAACTATAAATACATCATTTACAATTAGGTCCACAAGAAACTACTTATAATTAATTATGTTAAGTATTTCCGGATGAATAAGATAGAACTTAATAAAAGTGGTTTCACTTTTGTGATCTTTCGTGTAAATCGACCCCAACTATTCAGTAAAAAGAAACACAAAGAATATTTCATTTTTTTTTTCTTTTTCTTTATTTCTTTTTGGAATCTCAACTCAAATGGAATTAAACAATGACGGAGGGACATACATACAATCAAGCATTTAGCTTACGTAGCTGGCCGGATGTAATACGCACGTGGAATTCATACGATCGGCGAACCCTAAACATTTTTCTCGCGGCTTCGCTGGAAAAACTTTAGCGCGCGTTTATTCCGATACCTGCGCAGACTATCATGCCCCAACAGCACCTGCTTTCAAAACAAAACCCACGATATGTCGATAATCAGGTTACGTAGAATGAGAATTATAATTTGAAAGTCCAGCCTCGTTGTTAAGCGCAACTTTTGGGTGTAATATAGAGACAAAAACCATAGCAGCAGAAAACTTTTTGTCAGACTTGGGCCAGGGATATGTTACGAAGGGGTTATCACCCTTACCGTTACCAACTCATTGTTCACAAGGGAACCTTACGACAAATAAAGCCTTTTGTTCAATGCGTTCACCACCGTTTTTGTATGAATGGAAAATAATAGATTTCAACTAATCATTCTTTACATGCGTCATGGCAACTGAACATAAGATGACGATAAGAGTAGTTGTAAAGTCTCAAATTCTAGCTCCCGTAGCCAAAAGGATGTCTGTGACTCTCTCTCTCAAATGAAATGCTGAAGCTTGGTTATACCACTGGAGAATTTTGTCTGAAAGAAGCTCGCTTACTGGAAACTAAAAGGGAGAAAACAAACAGAGAATCATTGTCTTGCTCAGCTGAGATGGAAATTATGTTTTAAAATGTTTATAACCTTATCCTAACCTTTCGCCTTGAGAATTCTTCGAAGAACAGCATAACAAATACTCCGCAATCATACCCGTTTTCTTGCTGAGGTACCTAAGGGTTCAAGAATGCCGTTATCTATCCATCTGTCTTTTTAAATATTACTATCACAACTACAGTGGTCTCTAAATGTTTCTCACACCTCTGGAATTACAGTCTGACAATGGTTATTGGGTTGCTTTAACTGATTTCAGTAGACATGAATTATTCTTTATAGAATTACCAATAAGTTTATATTTAATGCACCAGATATCTATGTTTGGATTTTATTCTGCTAATTCGCAGTAAATGACAAAAAGACAAGCTGTATAACCAAACATTCACCACCATCGTAATACTATCCAATTTTTTCAGTACTTCAGTCAGCCTCAGTACAAGATAGTGTTTCCTATCTACATTTAGATACTTTAGCATTAATTTTTCCCTGAAAAATGCAACTTGAAATGACAACCCTTAAGAAGAAGACTAGAGATTTTAATACCTTGGGATAGAGGACAGGCATAGTCTTGGAAGTAAAGTGTGGACTTGGACATTCATTCATTTTAGCCTTCCACTCACATTCTATAAAACTAAAAACAAACAAATGATACAGTTGCTGTACTGCAGGAGGTGTCTGGTGTTTAAAAAAAAATGAAAATAGTATAGTGCATACCTTCTGATAATGTTTGCTTCTTGTTCTCGTGAGGAGGGAGAACAAGTGAAGTGCTTTCTATCTGAGCCATAAACAATGGAGTCAATCATCAGAATTGGAACTCTAAAAAGAAGATTCCACTGCAATATTAATTTTCTCTTCAGTTGGTGTCTTTTCCCAACAAGAATTAGTCAAAATCCTCAACTTCACCATTCAACAAAGTTATTGCTACAACACGAAGCCCTCAATGCATTTTAGATCAAACATCATTAGATGACTTGAGCATACTTTTTTCTATTTTTAGAAAGGCTTAAAGACAATGTTTCTGCTAAAGCTTACACAGCACAGCCATCATCCTTTCTTCTTCTGCTTGTGAGTGTTGGTAGATTATATATCAGAGATAGGAACCAATGCCCACTAAAAATAAAACAAACAGTGGCACTGTTTATATTATGACAATGGTGTTTGCAGAGAAAAATAGTTAATAAAATCATTATTGCAGCATAATACCAAAATAACATAGAGAGAGATAGATATAAAATAAGCAATAATAATAATTATCATGAACTTTTTAATACCTTCTACATACTGGAATGAAAATAAACTTCTTTTTGAAAATGTCCACTCTCCTTGTAAACTTAGATGCTTCGACATATCTTTCATCAGGACTGAAAGATGCATAGAGAGGCAAATAATTATTAAAGACCATCAGCACGTAGGAGAAACATGTATAATAATTATAAAAAATAATATTGTCTTTATTAATGTACTTCGAAGAAAACCAACCATATTGGGTACATGTATATCATTAGGATGGTTCAGCTTACCAACAATTAATACAAGAGCTATTTTTTGCAGGACCAGAGATGACACTGCTTTAAGTGTTTAAATCTAAGTGCAAAGAAAACAATTAATTGCCTAGGCAAGACAAAGATTTCTCCAATCTGAACTCTAGTTGACAGCTTAGTGTAAAAAAAGGAGCTAAACACATGAATGGTGTCATGCAAATCCTGGTCCAATGATTGGGATATGTACCTATTAAAAACAGAAAGATGATTAAATTTGGAGAGCAATTTTTCACTGCCATTAATCAATTGATTAGCACAATGGTGGATTTTAAAGAGGATGAAGTATGAGCTCTTTGCATCAGCAACCCCTTTAACATACATGTAGGGCAAAATTTTAGCCAAAAAATTGAAGGAAAAGAATAATAATAAATTATTTGTGATGTTTTACATTTACCTGAGGACACATTAAAAAGAAAAAAAAACAGCTACATTTGCAGGTTCTCACTAAATCAAGTACAGTGATATTCTTACATTGATATATTACTTACATAAGAAAAAAGTCAACAATGGAATCATTGACTTCCATCCCATCCTTCAATGTGGCAAGGTCCATCTGTAAGACCTGGATTTTTGCTACTGCTGGTGGTAGTGGAAACACAGCTATTACCCTGGAATCATGAAAACAAATGAAAATTAAATAATATTTATAAATAGCATAGTCTCAAACAAAAGCAAGAAAACTTTAAAACTGAAAAAAAGGAAGTTAATACCCCATGATAAAAGTACATTAGACCATGAAAACAACAGCGTATTGACCATTGTTGGTGTAACTTGATTTCAAAACAGACCATTTTTAAAAAGATACCTGTCTTGATCAGTCGAAGTATTTTCTTTGCCAGCAACATTGGATGGTGTTTGATGGAGATGTTCATCTACAAGTAGGACATCATTTTTGTGGCTTGCACCTACAGTATTACATATCAAAGTGTATATGTAAATTGCTTTCAAGACAGAGCAAGAGCGCATTGGAGTTTCAAAGTGCCAACTAAGCTAAGTGGAGGGAAGGTGATGTAGTTGAGTGTGAGGTTTTGCAGGAGCTTGGAAAAATAGTTAAATAACGAAAAAAACCTGAGATAGTTTTCTCTTAGTAAGTGAGAAATAGGAGTAGCACCAAACTTATTCTATCTATGACATAAGTGACAGCCATGTTTATGATCACACTGGTGTACTGTAGAAGTATTAAAATTTTGTTGGTTTTGTATCATTTTAGTAAACACACGTGCAGATGTGTTTATCAAACACATTCTACAGACTCATACATCAGTGACCTTTAAACCAGAAGAGCCAAAACAATGCTATCAATACACTCTCTTGATTTTTCCTGGAAATATACCACTAAGACATTTTTTTTCAAAATTTGCTTGAACCTTGATCCCTTTAGAGCTACAGTGGCACTATGAGAGTGATGGGTCTAATGCCTTTGCGTTACTACATGTCCATTAGTGCAAAAAGAATTTCCCCATAGCTCATAAAAGTATATTACAGTTTTAAACCAGTGACTAAAGATCAGCAGTGCAAACATACTGTATCTGTGTTCAGAGTATTTTGGTTTTACCTTTTGCAATCTCTGGTTGATTTTGAATTGCCTTTGAAAATTTGCTGGGCATTTTCTGCTGCTGGAACACTTTCAGGTCACCTGTGATGGACATAAAAAGCTACATTTCAACCTTAAGCAAAATAGGCCAATGAACAGATAGGAATAGAATAGAGCTGGGTATTATTGGCTCAATCAATAAACCTACCCCACCATATGATGTCTGACTTACCTTGCATTTTGCTGGTAAAGCCAAAGGAATTGGAAATCATATTTTCATATTCACAATTCCATTCATGTCTGTTGTAAACAAACTGTGGCTTGAAACCATCATGCACATGGCATGTTCTTTTCTCATCAAATACATACTCGAAGAAATCCTCCCCAAACATCATGAACATGAGTTTGTCCAAAAGTTTGATCCAGAGGATATCACCTGAGTCCCAGGAAATGGACTTTGCTTTCCAACCACAGCCAGAAAAGTAGAATTGAAAAGTGTTCTGATTTTCCAATGTCTTTCCTGTAATGAGAGAAAACTCTCTATTACAAAAGTTTGGTGAAGTGCAAACCAATGAATTGTTTAAATTAATAACTGTTCAATGAAAAAGTAAAAAAAAAAAAAGGAGAACAGAGGAGCCAGTTAAACTTTTGCGAAGTGCATGAGAGAATTCTGAATGTATTGTGAATCCCGAGCAGACCAAGAATGAAGCTACTTTATGAAAATAACTGCTATACTCCAAGCCACACATCACACATCACACATCAATAAAGATAACAAGTAATTAATAAAGATAACCCTACCTTTCAATCAAGTTGATGGTACTTTTTTGGATTATACTTTCTATTCTTGTTCCTTTTTTTTTTTTTTTTTTAATTTAACAGTTCCATCCAAACAGAGTATAGATTAATCTTATTTTGGCAACTTCTACAGTTTCTAAGTTATGAAGTTTTTGAGATTATGATAGGGCATTGGGCAAGAACCAAAGCATTTTTTGGAGAATTCACGAGTTTATTCAAAGCCAATTAGCTTCTATTTCAAGAAAAGCAGGAGTAGTGTCAGTGAGGGCAAGAATGCACAATAAATTAATGCTTACCATGAATTGACTTTAAGGCTTCTCGGAGAGATAGACGAAAAAAAACAACATCCGTTCTGCATAAAAGTGCACCAGCATTTGTTCAACTGTAATTCAATGGAAATCAATATCTAACTTAGAAATAAATGGCCACTTTAATTGGTTTCCTACACAATCAGGGTCCATATTCTCATTAAATACATTACCTTCCTTGCACTGTCTTTTTTTCACAGTCAAACAGAAACACACACCCTTTCAACAACTGCCAATTCATTATCAGTATTGGTTACTATTTACACTTACTTGATGAGGCTTCCCCATGCTGATCATGGCTTGTGGCTTTAAGCCAAAGCTGACGCTGGTCCTTATGGGATGCTTCAAATCCCTGCTGACTAAACTCAGTCATTGACAAAAAGCGTCTCATAAGCATGGGGGCATGGTCAATTAGCAAGTGCCCGTAATCCCCAGTTCCAAGGCTGCTTCCAAAAATATCTTTCAAAAGGAAACCCCATTCCTTACACTACAATTAAGAAGGGAAAAAGAACAAAGCAAACTCAAAAACCAGTGCACTAGATACTCACAAGTTATCATGGACAAGGATTCTATTTGGCATTTACCACTGATTCACATTGTGGGGATGGTGATTGACAAACCTATTTTATCAGGACTGATTAAATAAGTATGTACAGTTAATAATGAAGCTTGCAACAATATACACAAAAAGAAAGCCATGTGTTTTGCATTTTATATAACATTTAAGTGTATTTTACATTCAATCACAAACACAGTTGTAAAAAGGTTAAATAATCCCTTTTCATCAGCAACATGCTCTCTTAATCTTAGGGGTATGCATGAAAATGTACATAACTAACACTTTGGCAATAAAAATGAGGAAATATTAGACCTTGACATCAAAAAGATCTATTTCTCCTTGCTCTGTATCATCAAATATTCTTGATCTCGTCACCTGTGCAATTTCCTTCCATTCTCTACAAACCTAAATACATGAAATGAATAACTTGGTAAAAGACCTGGTGTCAGAAACACAATAATTATTCCTTAAAAGCATGCTAATTAACAAAGCAGTTGGAGAATTTTTAAATCACCACTAATTTACCCTTGTCAACATTTCCAGATGCTTCTTTGCAACATACTCTACAACCTCACTACTTTCTATACCAACAGTATTTTGTTGTGAGCGGCACAGCATTTTAAAATTGTCAGATAACTCAGCTAACTCTTTTTGCCATGCTTCAAGGCGATCTTCCATATTGATTTTCACAGCTATAAAAGAAAAAACAAACAAACAATCATAAAGACTGTGGCATAAAGGTGTTAGGTGTTTAACTAGTACATTTACAATACATTCAGTGAACATTTAATAATTGTCATTAACAGCTATTGATTTCTCCCCAGCAAAAGAGCCAAATTCTATACAAAATAGAGCCACAGGACACAAGTTTAAAAAACAAACCTGAGCCTTCTAAATCAATCATCTCAGTGTGAGTTCCAAAGTCTCGAAGAAACTTGTGCTTCCTCAAGGCATCAACAAAATACTACATACAAAAAACAGAACAAGCAACCACTTTTTTAACTGTACAACAACTGTATATTGCTGTTATGAGCATGTGCCAACATCCATACGAAATTGTACACAGGATAAAAGGGTGTCGAAACAACCCGTTACAGCACAATAATTCTTATATAAACACAAGCAACTAAAAGAAGAATCTCTAGGTTATACTGCGCTTTTGAGTGTACCACCTTAAAGTCCAGCCTACTAAATAAGATCATTGAAAGAGTGTAAAAATACAAAAATGCTTGGTTCATACTGCACTTTTGAGTGTGCCACCTTAAAGTCCAGCCTACTAAATAAGATCATTAAAAGAGTGTAAAAATACAAAAATGCTGGGTTATACTGCACTTTTGAGTGTACCACCTTAAAGTCCAGCCTACTAGGTAAGATCATTGAAAGAGTGTAAAAATACAAAAATGCTGGGTTATACTGCACTTTTGAGTGTACCACCTTTAAGTCCAGCCTACTAAATAAGATCATTGAAGTGGTGTGAAAATACAAAAATGCTGGGTTATACTGCACTTTTGGGTGTGCCACCTTAAAGTACAGCCTACTAAATAAGATCATTGAAAGAGTGTAAAAATAAAAAAATGTCGGGTTATACTGCACTTCTGGGTGTGCCACCTTAAAGTACAGCCTACTGAATAAGATCATTGAAAGAGTGTAAAAATACAAAAATGCTGGGTTATACTGCACTTTTGGGTGTGCCACCTTAAAGTACAGCCTACTGAATAAGATCATTGAAAGAGTGTAAAAATACAAAAATGTCGGGTTATACTGCACTTCTGGGTGTGCCACCTTAAAGTACAGCCTACTGAATAAGATCATTGAAAGAGTGTAAAAATACAAAAATGCTGGGTTATACTGCACTTTTGGGTGTGCCACCTTAAAGTACAGCCTACTGAATAAGATCATTGAAAGAGTGTAAAAATACAAAAATGCTGGGTTATACTGCACTTTTGGGTGTGCCACCTTAAAGTACAGCCTACTAAATAAGATCATTGAAAGAGTGTAAAAATACAAAAATGCTGGGTTATACTGCACTTTTGAGTGTACCACCTTAAAGTCCAGCCTACTAAATAAGATCATTGAAAGAGTGTAAAAATACAAAAATGCTTGGTTCATACTGCACTTTTGAGTGTACCACCTTAAAGTCCAGCCTACTAAATAAGATCATTAAAAGAGTGTAAAAATACAAAAATGCTGGGTTATACTGCACTTTTGAGTGTACCACCTTAAAGTCCAGCCTACTAGGTAAGATCATTGAAAGAGTGTAAAAATACAAAAATGCTGGGTTATACTGCACTTTTGAGTGTACCACCTTTAAGTCCAGCCTACTAAATAAGATCATTGAAGTGGTGTGAAAATACAAAAATGCTGGGTTATACTGCACTTTTGGGTGTGCCACCTTAAAGTACAGCCTACTAAATAAGATCATTGAAAGAGTGTAAAAATAAAAAAATGTCGGGTTATACTGCACTTCTGGGTGTGCCACCTTAAAGTACAGCCTACTGAATAAGATCATTGAAAGAGTGTAAAAATACAAAAATGCTGGGTTATACTGCACTTTTGGGTGTGCCACCTTAAAGTACAGCCTACTGAATAAGATCATTGAAAGAGTGTAAAAATACAAAAATGTCGGGTTATACTGCACTTCTGGGTGTGCCACCTTAAAGTACAGCCTACTGAATAAGATCATTGAAAGAGTGTAAAAATACAAAAATGCTGGGTTATACTGCACTTTTGGGTGTGCCACCTTAAAGTACAGCCTACTGAATAAGATCATTGAAAGAGTGTAAAAATACAAAAATGCTGGGTTATACTGCACTTTTGGGTGTGCCACCTTAAAGTACAGCCTACTAAATAAGATCATTGAAAGAGTGTAAAAATACAAAAATGCTGGGTTATACTGCACTTTTGGGTGTGCCACCTTAAAGTACAGCCTACTGAATAAGATCATTGAAAGAGTGTAAAAATACAAAAATGCTGGGTTATACTGCACTTTTGAGTGTACCACCTTAAAGCACAGCCTACTAGATAAGATCATTGAAAGAATGTAAAAATACAAAAATGCTGGGTTATACTGCACTTTTGGGTGTGCCACCTTAAAGTACAGCCTACTAGATAAGATCATTGAAAGAATGTAAAAATACAAAAATGCTGGGTTAAACTGCACTTTTGGGTGTGCCACCTTAAAGTACAGCCTACTAAATAAGATCTTTGAAAGAACTTTTGCAAGAAAGAAACTCTACGTTCATGGATCTCCTAGGAAAGGTAACTAGTGCATAGTGTGAAATTGAAAAGGAAGCAAGTACTTACAAATGGTGCCCATTTTGATAGCGCTCTCCGACGAAACATCTGGGCGCTGCACAACATAAACCACACCTCTAAACTTAAAGAACAATAAACTTGAACTGTTGAACCACAAGTGAAGGTACTTGCCAATGCCACATCTGCTATCAAAGACTTACATCAATACGGGACTGACAAAATGTAACACGGTTAAGAATGAAATTCTTGGCAGTGTTTACATCCATGTAGGAGAGCTTTAACTTGTCCAGTGGAAGGGAGAGTCCCACAATCTCTTCAAGGTTTTGAAGAATTTCAAATTCTGTTGGACCTGAAATGTGTTTATCACAATGAGAAAAATAATAGATACCCACAAAGCAAATCAATTTTAAAATACACACAAAGCCAGTAATTCAACCACTCACGCACCTGACATAGAGCTCACATGAATGTTCTGCTTTGAAATGGCAGACTCCTGACCACTCTTCTTCTTAACAGAAATTCTATCACCATGAAAAGACTCTGGGCCAAAGCACTTCAGGGCTTGATTGGCTTCTGGAAGTGAACCAATCTTGTAGGCAATCAGACCAATGGACGCAAGCAACTGCTCTGTATTGCGCATCTCCATATGGAGAGCACACAACTGAATGCTAGTAAGCTCTTCATCAAGGAGAAAAAGGAGATCATCCCGAAATTCCAGTTGATCTGCAAATATATGAATAACAATGATGCATTTACAATGTATTTATAAATAAAAAATTAATAGCCTCATGAAGACCATGGCAATAAATAAATGGGAATAACTCAATGAATCTTAAAACTCAAGAAACAATGTTAAATAAAAATGACAATGATGATTTTATTTAAGTCTCAAGGGTATTTAGCCAAGCACAAGTGTTCTTGACTAATAATTAAACTAAAAGAGACAACCCAAAATCAATGAAGTCAAATGTTGGTTTTCCATTAAAGGGAAAAACTAGAGTGCCTGGATAAAAAATCTCTCAGAGGAGATTAGAGAGCCAACAAATCATACTGTGCTTTGTTTAGGAACAGATCCAGATTGGTGGAAGGTGGCTGCTCTCACCAATGCATCAACTCTGATACCCAAAAGGCCACAAGCACTTCCTAAGTAAGCCTGTTCATTAAGTAATGATCATGAAAGGCTAAACTAAAAATATACCTGCCTATGTTACACTTGCTTCGTAGGCATTCCAGGCAGGTTTCATCTGGGGCTACATCATGACATTTGCAACCCTAATGGGGAATGGAATTATCTCAAATTAAATTAATATTATCTTACAAAATTTTGTGGTTGCATTGTTAGTGAAGACTGCTGCTTGTGTATTGCAACTGATGAACTTCAACAACTAAAAAAATGCTTATACATCCACATGTACACCAACACAAATACTTACCCTGATTGCATTGCATATAAAGCAAAATTCCACATTTACCCCTCGACCACCAAGTTGAAAATCAAGATCCCCTTTCTTTACCAAAAGAAGGATCAGTGTTTTGTAGTCCAATGAAACTAAGATATGACAAAAAACAACAATAATAAAGAATTATGATGACATACATGTAGAAAAATAACTTATTGTTTAAAATATTGGTCAGCTACACTGATAATGGAAAAAAAACCCTCAAGTTTCAAAAAAGAAAGTCAGCATCTCCCCCTCCCTTAAAAGATCAGGGTTGTTCTTGCAAACAACCTTTATGCGATAAACTGGCAGAAACATCTTACCATCAAATTCTACATTGAACTTGATGCCATCAACAAAAATTCCTTGGTTCTTGATAATTCTCTTTTGCTCATTTACATCCTTTAAAAGTACCTTCAGGCTTTCCCTATCAAAATAACATTAGGCATAAAGACAGTCAATGAAACTTATTATTTATTGAGCTTGTGTTGGGGTAAGGTTCTTATATTGCAAAAGGGTTTGTAGTTTTTTTTTTCTTTCTGTCTAATTATGTGTGGGTATTTTTTTGTTGTGTGTGTGGTTGTTACATTTGTCAGATCTTGGAGCCACTGGAAAGCCAACATTACAACAATGAAAACTGTCATATATAGTCTACAAAACTACAGGCTTTCAGTAAGGAAAGCTTAAATGGAAAAGTGTCTATACTGTGGGTGGTAAACAGTTCATAACCATGCCAAGCAAAGGAGAAAAAGTATTTTGGTAACATAGAATAGAAATTGATGATGAACCTGTTTTCTTTGCAATTGGCAATGGCCAGCGGGTAAACAGACTTTGCACTCTGTATGCTGTATACAGGATTAAGACGGGCAACCAGACCTACCAACACCTGATTTCTACCTGATCATAAAAAAATAATAATAGAAACAGTTATTATTTCTTCACATTCATGGGACCAAAATTATACACAGCTACACATTTACTCTGAGATAAGGTATTGTTCTATAGTTTATAACAGCATACTTAAACCTGACAGTCTGTATTTACCACAAAAGGGTCTTCCATCTATCTTGATCAGAAGTTTGAGAGTTGGTGAGCACACCTTATGCAGCCTTTGCTCACGAACAATCAGCTCCAAAACAGGATACAAATCCACCTGATAACCTTGTAAAGGAGTTGGCACCTTTTTCATATCCATATATTCTTTACAAACTCCAAAGATCACTTTTTTGGCAGCCTTCATTTGATTAAGATTTAACAATATTGGTGTGTCAGAGGATTTCTAAAATGGATACCAAAGAAAGAAAGCAAAACAAAAATTAAAAACAACAAAATTAACATGGAAAACACATTGATAACTGAGACTTAAAAAATCAGCCATTATCATTGTAATAAATAAATAATAATAAGACTTTCACTTCTTGAATCACTTTCAAGCATTTAATTTGTTACTATAGCACTGCTTCTAAGTTGGGATAAATCTGAGTGCAGACATGTCCTTTACAAAAGAAGGAGCCCTTCTGAGAGATCAACACTATGCAATGCTGCCCCTCCACCCTTGAAATTAATGATAGACGCCATGCTAAGCTGGCAACAATTTCTCAGTCTCAAAAACTCTTCAGGGCAGTTTTCGGTGTCAATGGTCTTTCTACATCTTAGAGGCAGAGAAGCCAAAATTCTAAAACTTTTAAAGCCTTTTTACCACCGATCCTACTGTATCTTAAAAACGGAAATTTTCATGAGCGACTAAACTTCAAGCAAATAATGACAATTTGCCAAAAAAAAAAGGCTTTTTGAAAAGAGCGAATGTGACTGTTAGGAACTTCCCTTGAGGCTGGTTATTGATTTGTGATAGCGGTCGCCATAAAGTAGGCAAAACATTTAGCCTTGTAACATTGATTACTAAGAATAAACCTTACCCCTGTCCTTCCAAGTTTGGTGATATTGATTACGGCTTGCCAAGTATTACCAGATATCCTTGCCTTGGTCTTGAAATACAGTAACACCCAATCTGGAACTCGCAGGCTTTCCACGTATAAAGAAAACGTTTCATCACCAACAAGCTCTTCCACCGTCCTTTTAACTCCTTTCTTCAGGGCCACATCCTCCACAATCTCATTTACGATAGCTTTCGCCTCAGGATCACCAAAAGCACACATGCTGGAAAGCACCGTTGACAAATTTTCCCGGCTCCTTTCACAGATGCCTTGTACATCTTGGAGAACGCGGCTCCCCCTCTTTTTAATAAGGAAAGTCTTTTCTGGGGTCTCCAAATCATTTCTTTCATAAATCTCCTTAAGATTTGGGGAACTAAGACTGCCACTGCTTGGAGGAGTCAAATGAACCGGGACAGGCGTTTCTTTCGTCTTAGGAGTGTTGAATTGAGGAGGCATTGAAAGGCGCCGAGCTGCACGTGGTCGCTCGCAATTCACTTCATCGCCGTCTCCTTTAAGGGAACTAAAATCCAAGCCATTCAGAAATTCTTTCACTTTATAAATCGCGGCGGATCCTCGTTCTTCAGAACTTGTTTTCTTCCTCAGAATAGCCGATACAAGCCCAAAAGACGAGCAAATAACTTCGAATGCACTTGAACTTTTCTTGTTGACGAAAGGGCGCCCATCAAGAAGCCGAAGTTTGCCGCTTTCAACTCTGCAGAAATCTTCAGGAAAAGTTTTCACGATCGGCGATCGCTTTAAATATTGTAAGGGAATTATTCCACAAATTTCAGTTGTGAGCACGTACCAGTAACTCTGATCGCTTAATCCCTCACTGACCACGCGAGAGAAGGTCGAAAACCCTTTCCTCGGCGCCATTTTGAGGGGAATATCTGGAAAATCTTCATGCACATCGGAAACTACATGCAGTGAAAAGCAATCTGGGAAAAAAAACCAAACATTGTCCAGATCCAACCGGAAGAGGCGCTAACGATACTAACCATGCAAACGCTGACATAAATATCTCATATTTAATGGGATTAAATCACCTACGGAGCTTGATATGTACTTACAGTGCAGACGATTTGCGTCCCCTCATGAGTTGAACGTTGAAAAGTTATCTTACTCTTGAACAATCGTGACCTAGTTGCCCTAGCTGACCTATCCTAATATATTTTGCCCATTATCACGGAGCGCCTATACGACTAAACGTACCTATTCTACTTAATTATAAATAAAAATCCTAGTAGTAAATGCAAATAATGTCTAAGTTCAGTTCAGTTAAGTGCATCACTGGCCTATTTATATTGGTACATCCTTTGAGCAGCTGCCTCAGTGACTTCTCCTTCTTGTTGAAGGTCTCCCAAAGTTCGAAGAGCCGCCTTTGCACTTCACGATAGGTGGACCTCCGCATTCACTTAAGCTTGCGCTCGGGAACTAGACGAATTTATAGCGACACTAGTCTTGCTTCTTTGTGCAGTGGGGCCACAAACATATAGAGGGGCAGACCGCATCGACCAGCGGCTCTTCTGTTCAGGCTATGAAGAAGAAAAATTCGGATTTGCGCTCCGATACTCTACCACTTAGCCACAAAGACACTTCGGTGAGCGAGGCTCTATTACGAAGTTTTTATAACAAGCGTCCTGCATACTGCTAGGGATCATTAATGTCGATAGTCGACATCGATTAATATATCGATTAATATATCGATTAATATATCGATTAATATATCGATTAATTCTTCACCGAGCTCAAAACTTACCATCTCTACTATTTCTATCAAAAACATTACGCTATCGACAAGTGAAAATAATCAACTGAATAGGTTTCTCGATGACTTTGCGACATCTTTTATAAAAAAAATTTCGATGAAACTACGGATCGGCTTCGCTGACTGTCGACTCAGTCGAATTTCCAGTTCGCCGACGTGTTATGAGGGCGAGCACTTATGACCAAAACCATTCAATCAACCAACCCTTTATAGTAATTTTTAATTTTACCGGGAGAGTAAACAAATTTATTAGTCAGGAATGGACCGTTTTATCGGTGAAAGGCAGCGAGCTACTGTCTTCCGTTACCATTGTTATGGTTTCAAACTAACTTCCCGGGACTAACTTAAGCTTAAACGATCACCAGGCTTGTTACTCGGGCTTTCCAAGGGAAACTCCGGCTTCGTTTTTTTTTCGTTCGGTCGCAAACCGCAGTCAAGTCCTCATCACGTATGCGCAACCGTTTAAGTCTGACGCATGCGTGACGTTTTGACTAATGAGCCCACAGGATGGTGTAATGGCGGACGAAGAGGAGCTTTCGCGGCGCAAAATCAGGACAGACATTGTGTATAAGACGTTCAAAACGCATACAAAATAGGCTCACATCGTTCGCGGTAGACCCACACTAAAATATGTCGAGCGTTTTCAGAACGGGTCGGTCTGTGAACCTTATGAGATATCTCTTTATGAGCGAACATTTATGAGTGAACCTTTCATCGAGAAACATGCTCTATCAACTGAGCTATCTAATGTTAATCGAGAGAAGCATAGAAGCAAATCTCATCGTGTATGTAGACCTGATCGTGAACCAAGCAGAATACCAATACGAAGTTTGAAAGGGTTAAGGAACAAGAGCAGAAAGGTTAGAAATTTATCTATGCACGTATTCTTCCATGTACCCTTATGCCATCTACATTATACTGTTATGTTAACGCTAAAAAAACTGCAAAATTAAAAGACATTTAAGTTTAACTGTCGTGAAAGAATTCGTTAATGTATATGAAAGGTAAAATATCGTGCCAGTCGATATTTAAAATTGTTTTCTTGTAACAAACTGATGTGTTCTTGCAAGAATGAGGCTTGTGTAGCAAATTATTGCAACTATAAATTAAGTAGAGACATAGAAAAAAAATCCTGGCCCTCAAGCATATGTTGACCATAAAGAAACAAGAGTAGCTCCTTACAGTCAAGGTAAAGAGTTAGTTTTTGGACAGAATGCAGGACAACAATGTGTTGCAATGAGTTTGTGTTCTTTGATTTACAATGACACACAAGGGATCAGCTCAGCAAATGATTTTGTACAAATAATGAATATTGGAAATCAGCATCATTTAAGTTTGTCATGATTAGCCAGAAAGGCATATTTAATGCAGTCAGAATTACCAACAGCATTAAATGTGTTTGATACTGATTATCAACTGGAATACAGTGAAAGCTACTCTGGTATTGTTCACCAAGGAATCCCTATAGAGGGATATCAGTACTGTACATCTTTACAAAGAGCCTTTGAGTTGCTCAATTTCAGACACCAATTTCATATTAACAGTAGGGTGTATTGCTGTAATAGTAATATGGGGTTCCAAATATTTGATTCTCATTCTAGAGATGTGTATGGTAGAGGGCAGCCTGTGTACATGTGTTCTTCTCAAAGTACTGTCTCCTGATAGTTTAGTGCATTATTTTCAGAGTGTACATAACGATGATATATTTGAAGTGAGAGGAGTACAAATTGAGAATATTCAAAATAGGATGGTTTCTCAAAACAGTCTGAATGAAACCATACACTTCAATCTAAGTTGTGCTGTAGCTCTCTACTCTCTTTGGTACCCTATAATGAAATCATGTAATTACTGGAATTACAACTCATCCTTACCCACCATTGTCGACAAAGGCAAAAAGATGTGTTGTAAATCAAGTTTAGGGCACAACCAGCAATCACCAGTTAATCTTCCAAGAACTGTAGATGTTTGTGAAACTGAAGTAAATTTGTATAATTTGTTTAAGAGTGAAGGACTATTAACTGATTCACTTCAAAGCAAGTCAGTTCTTGAGAATGAAATAATACATGCGTAATAGTGAATGCACAGGGTTATTGATATCATTTCCTTTGTACTACATCAGTTGTACCTTAAACCCACAAAAAGATCAAAATATATGCATTCCCCCCTGCTTTATAATAAAAGAGACATATTCCCTATTCAGTACACTAAAAACATAGCTGGAATGGCTTCACTTGTTGATGCCATTAGGGCCCTTCATTTTTTAAATTTGTCTTAAGAGCTGCTTGGCATTCTTCTCGCTGGATTCATACTGTTCCCAAGCTTTGAAAATCTTTCTTTGTTGTTGTTTGTACACCTTTCTTTGAAATTTACTTAGTTTACCATCAGACACAAGCTTGATTTCGACAAGTGTCAATTTGGATTCTGTATATAACATGTCAATAAGCATGTAAAAGGGCAAGCTGCATCTGCCTTGTGCCCTGCGATTAAGGGCATTATGTCAGCCCTCGATGTCATTATTAGTTTCGGTAGAGATGCACATGGAGCAGTGTCACTAAGTTCCTTGAGCAGGACCTGTATAAAACAGAAAAAACAGGAAAACATGGGTGAGCATAGTAAAATTATGCCTTATTTTCATTCATTTCACTTGAATGTTATTGTACACATACCTCATCAACTATTGCAGATGCTGGTCTATACTTGTCTTTCATAGCCTTTTCTTTTACTTCAGACACAATTTTTGCACTTTTCAGAGCACCGACTTGAACTGCATGGTTATGGGCAGTCTTACCAACAGTAAACTGTCAATCCCTCTCAGTCACTGTTGCTTTGCATTGGTTTCCTCGAGTGCAGACAGTACACTGCCAGTAAGTCGCATAAGGCCTTTTCCTTGAGATGTTGTAAGTGAACCCCAGATTGTCAATTCGTTTGTTTCTCCCTCTTTTTGTCACACTATCAACCAGGTAGTATGTAGTAGGTTGATCAATGAAATCATACAGCTCAGGTAGTGGCTCAATGATTGAAGATTCGCTGTACACTGTTGGAAGTGCTCACTATGATGAGGACTCATCTGTTTACAAAAAGATACGAACGATGAGAAAATCTTAATTCCCATTCTAGATAATTGACATATTATTCCCTTTCCCTATCCATATAGTTAGCTCTGCCTACCTCTGAGAGCCTGACATACACAGACAAATCTAACAGTAACCCAGTGACAGAGCCCCTACTTGCATAACATCAAATACACGAAATTGACAAAATTTTGCTTACCATCAGAATTACTAGAATCATCAAGCAATGCATCCAACCTCGCTTCATCAGGAATGCTATCCTGATCACTGCAGCTTGGGGTAAAGGATTCCAAAAAAGGGGTGATAGATTAGATATCTCACTTGCAAATAATCAATGCTGTGTAATTTAAATAATAACAATAATAAATTCCACATTTATAAAGCACTATATCTAATACTCTATGGCACTTTACACTATGGAATAAAATAAAACTAAACAATAAATTAAAACACAATAAAACTCCTTCATTTTGACATACTTATATGCTGGTGCAGCGGATCGAAAATGACAATAAAAAATAGCTGATTGCATAACTCGATACTTGTGAAAGTAATCCTGTGGGAGCCCTACTTAACTGTTAGTTTGATAGCCTAAAATATTTATTGTTTAATCTAAAATGCCTATTATGATACGCGAAATTGAAAGATACAAAGGATTTAAAGTTTGTTGTTTTGAGGAAACAATGGAGATGGCGTCGTTCTACAAATTGAAATCAAACGCTTCATTTACGGTTTAGTAGTTGTTATTTCATTATTTAACAAATAAATACACTTTTGGTATGCTAGTTCTTAGTTTTAAGGTAGTTTCAAGTAACAATCTGTTAGAAATGGGAAAACCATTGAAGTATCTACTGTAAAAAACCGCCCTAAGTCCCCTTTCATTTACTCGTTCTAGTTTCTTTTTGTCCGTTGCTTTACAAAAGTGCCAGACAAGGTTACAATAGGTCAGATGCGGTAATATCGCTGTTTTATAAATTCGCAGTTTTGCCTCGGTAGGGATGAGTTTTCTGAGTCTCATGAGAACGCCTATTCATTTGCTCGCTTCTTTACAAATTATAGAAATATGTGTAGCTCCATGGCCTTGTTGGGCATGTGTTTATCCATTAATTTGTTAAATGATTCACACCAGTGTGAATATTTCGCTTCAGCCGTAACAGAATTGTCTTCCGATAACCACTCTGTTGCTCTCAGGTCTTGTTGGAAATCAGCAATGTTAAACGACTTTGTGCTTCTAAATTTAATTATTTTCGCGGCATGTCGCATGACTTTTTCAGTTAGGAAGCCATAAACCAACAGATCAGCTTTATTAGTAAGAATTACATCTAGCAAAGTTTGTGATGATCTTGTTATTCTCGTCGCTCGTTTAATCAGGCATTCAAGTTCACGTATTTCTTCTAAGTTCCTTAGTTTGCCGCCTTTATTCTCAGGTTTAAGTCTGTCTAAATTCATGTCACCTGTGATAATGATTGTTTTTTTCTGTCAGGTGATCCATGAAAAGAGGTTGTTTAATTCATCCTCCAGAACTGAGAAATAATTAGGGCTTCTAGGGCGCGGTGGTCGGTACAGGCCGAGCAAAACCACTTGCGTATTTTCCAGCTTTACTTCAAGGACTAGTGGTTCAATGGTCTTGTAATTTACTTTCGGTTTAATTCTCCTCGCTGGGATTTTAGATGAGGCATAGACAAGGACACCCCCTCCTCCTTTCTTTCTGTCATTACGAAACATCCGATAATTTTGCATTCTAAACTGGCTATCAGGATATGTGGAGTCGATCTTTGTCTTAGTCAAGACGATCATGCTCGCTTTAATTTTGTCTGTGATAAATTTCAATTCCTCAAACTTGTTCTGCTGGCTGTTAATATTTTGGTGAATCAATAGATCTTGTCGAAGAGACGTTTCTTGAATAGAGACAATGTCTTGTAAGGGATCTTGCTGTTCTTCTATATTCGATGTAGTGGCTGTAAGTGAATTTTAATTACATTCGTTTAACTGTCCTTCAGAACCGGTAGGGCTGCTACAATGGAACGGAAGAATCTTCCAAACACGAGCAGAACATGTCCATGTTGTATTTTGGTTTCGTATCCACTTGAATTGAGTTGGAGTTACATCAGTGCACTTTATGTGACACTCCAATTTGCATTCACAGCACTCGAGGAATCTGTGATTTCGGGCGATAGTTCTTCTGCAAGCGTAGCAGTCCGGACCAGGATTTGGGCTAATATCCCCAGATGTGGCGATTCTCGTAAGTTGAAAGCTAGCCTCGATGGTAGGGTAGTATTTCAGTCTAGAGGAAAGGTAGTGTTTTCTCCGTGGCCGAGAACAAAGATGGCTGATTCGGTGTCCAAGTTGTCTCGTGGTAATAGTCACTGAAGAGCTTTGGAGACGTGCTTTAATGGTCTGGAAACCGTCTTAGCTTGTTGTCCGCCAGACTACATCACTTCTGGAAGTGATGGTATCGATACGCTGGTTTAGTAAAGGCAGCAGAATAGTAAAAATGGTCAGACATTTCGCGACGTGACCAACCATATTCATGCATAAATCACACAGAGTTTGTTGTGTCGTCTAGACTCAGTCAAGTTACTCCTTTCATTGCTATTGCTCAACTGAATTTTATTAAAGAATCAACAAGCTATATTCACAATACAATACTAGGAATCAGTAATACTACTTTTACATAGGAATGTACTTTTACAATCAATACATTGCCATCGGGAAAACAGATTTGTTTTACAATAGTATGGGGCTGTGCGGAAACTTTACCCGACTCTTACTTGTAAACAATATGGTCAAGCGTCGTTTTCAAGTCAGAATTATTCTACTTTTATTAAGTTATTAACAAATTATAGTATTCCTGGTGTTTAATTTACAAAGGACATAAAACCCTTATCCTCAGGATAAAAACTCTTCACATGCAATCTCCAGAGGCCAAATGTTGGTAAATCGCAAATGGTGTTACTGGAATAGTCCGCCATATTACAATAGCCGACAATTTCTGATAATCACCTGACTCGGAAACTCGTCACTAGTGCTCCTCGGGCGTACCTCTAGCCAGTAAGATTTAAGCATTACCATTGCAGCTTCGTTGCTCATTTTCGATTTCACGGCATCGTCGCTTGACCCTCTGTAAGACATACAACAATCCCCAGGATAAAGCTAGCGTCATCATGAAAGCTATTAAGATCAATGCACTTGGAGATTCGTCTCAATTGAAATACGAAGAGGCATCTATTCCTGAACCAGGACACAACGAGGTAAGGCTCTCAAAGGTTGTAAGGAAATTTTTTCACGCGTGCGCCAAGTAGTGATTGAGCGCCTTTACTCAGACTCTAAATGAAGAACTTTTGTCGCCAAAAAGGTTCGATTAGCAAAATTTTTTGATCGAGAAAAGATGAGGGTTTTAAGACATTTCCATTGCCCAAAATATATTCAGACTCGCAAACAATGACCAGTAGGGTGTGGAATAGCACAAAGAAAAGTCTGCACTCTCTACCTCTTAGTGTTATGATTGGAAAATGATCCGAAGGTTGGCAGACAGTGAATTTACGCTCAGTAGAGTAACAATAATAATGACTGTCTGGGAGAGTCGTTGACCGCCCAAAACTGTTGGCCTCTTTCACTTTATCTTATCATAGATGTTCAAGACAAATTAAACAAATATTGTAATAGCATCAGGTAAATTTGTGTCCCAATGGAAATTATGCCGCCTAATCCTTTTAAGCAAATAAGGTTAGGCGAGCTTCAATCTTGCATAAGCTCATTTGCATAGTAACCAGACACTTGTAATTCACACAGACGGCCTTCAAAGGCGTGAATACAGATGGACAGGTTGGAAAACAGGAATGTTGGAATTCGGAACTAGAACCGGAATACTTGGAATACCTAGAACAGCCGGAATTTCCGGAATGACCGAAAAATGATAAATTTTAAAAAATTATTTTTTTTCGCTTTGTGTTCTAAAACTTCAAATTCAGGCATCTGAATGCCTAGAAATAATTCCAGACACCTGGTCCCTGGGGCCAGGTGTCTGGAAATTTAGCCACTGTCTTCTTGAAGGCAAATAATTTACTTAGGGATAAACAAACACGATTTCACTGTTTGCTCTAAAATATAAAGGTATTGAGCACAAAGGTTGTCCGTGGGAGTTGATGAGAAAGGAAATGCAAATTTTTACATGTTTAAAAAAAATGGTTAAATAGACGAGATTGGAAGGATTGTTTGGTCACTAATGTGTGCTTAAGTAAGCGGACTTAAAAGGAAGATGTATATAACGAGTAGAGAGCATTCCGTCTTTTAATCTAGAGAAAGTTAACAGAACTCTAAAGTCGATCACCATTTCGGTACGGAACCTTTTGAGCTAAATATTATACCTCTCTTTTACTTTGACATTTTACAAAACATGGGGAGAGATTACACTGACATTTACTGGCCAATCATTTTGAACCACTCCGAATTTAAGACATTGTTTGGAACAATGAGAAAATTACCGTAGCAGGAAAATCCACAGAAAGGAACTTCTGGTTAGACGAAAGTGATGAATATATACAGGAAGACAAGTTCGGCAAGAAACTGGTCTCACGCTATCACCTGACAACTTTGGGAAACTAATCGGTCGATCAATTTCGAAGCTTCACCCTCGCCTCCTCTTGGGCAACCCTTGGGCATTTGTATGTTGTCTGTGCTTGAGGAAAGGGGAATTTGACATGAAAGGCCTTTCAGGGGGTAGGGAATTTAAACCTTGCCTGAATGGGATGGGGAATTTGAATCGGAATTGTCAAGTCTTTCCAGCAAAATACACGTTGATTTGCCCTTACTCTACCAGAACCCGTTCAATATGAGAGGCAACTGAAATGTCATGAGACGTGACAGTTCCTTAAAAGTGGAAGAAAGGGTTGGGAATAGTAGGCTGTACAACGGAACGTGTAACTGTAAAGCTAACTTGTAAATTATTCGAAAGAAATTCATAAAACGTCTCAGTGACCTTATTGCCTTTTTTATCTTATTTTTCATTTAACCCATTGTTTCTTCTTTTTGTAGGCCTTAGTAAAGAATCTTATTAGCGGTGTTAATTATCTTGATGTGTATCATCGTGAAGGGCTTTTTCACATAGCTGGCATTCCTGCAATCCTTGGAGTGGAGGCCGCGGGGGTTGTTGAAAAGCTGGGGTCTGGTGCCACTGGTGTGGCAGTAGGAGATCGTGTTGCATATTTTCATCTTAATTCAGGTGAATAAGTTTAAATTCAGCTATTTTGTAAAACGGTTGTACCTGTCATTCCATCGTTTTTCAGTTCACCGCTATTTTCTGATACTTTGATCTGTTGGCTTCTCAGTAATGTATAGGGGTTGCAAGGAGAATTAAGCAAACAGCTCACAATTAACAACGGATCGAGTCTCTTAGGGTATCTGGGTACACATCCTGTCAAAGACTTTGTGGAAATTTAGAGGCTTTGAATGCTATTTTAACTTTTACACCCTAACATCAGTATGGATTTTCTCCTTACTGTTCTCTTTGGATTTAAGTGCCGACAAGGAGAATTTGTTTCTCAATCAAGTGCTGCTTTTGTTAGTGATCCTTTCTGTTATTCTGGTGACCTTAATTTTTGATTAAGGGGCAATTTTGCTCGGAGAAATTAGATCTTAGTCATTCTTGGGGTTTCAATGGTTTACACATTCCCATAAACATTCGACTGCAAACACGTTGACGCCTTAAAATGCCATGGACGTTGAGACCAAGTGGTCTTATGGGTATACGGGTGCATAATAACCACACTGGTTTGTGATGAATAATGGAAGCTATCCACACTCAGTTAATATGCACGACTGACATAATGAAATACAAAAAATATCAGCTCAGAGATCAAAGAAGAAGCAGTTTCTTAGCGAGCTACCAACTTTTCTCTGGACCCTACATGAATGTAAGTTCTCAGACTCTGTTGCAGGTAGGAATAATGAGGTAAAGAATTTCTGATTAAATGTAATTTCATCTCTTCGAAACAAATTAGGAAGTTTTGCAGAATACAGTGTTATTCCAGTGGAAAGACTTGTCAAAGTGCCATCAAACATCACTTATGAACAAGCAGCAACAACCATGATTCAGGGTATCACTGCTCATTTCATGGTTCACACTGTATTCCCGGTGGGACCTGGTACCAAGGTGTTGGTACATGCAGCTGCTGGTGGGACTGGATCCCTGATATGTCAAGTGGCTAAAAATGCAGGTAACAAAATTATTTCTTGAACTCCCAGATCAAATTTGTAATTCTCCTTATTGTCAACCATGCAATTCTTGTAATGTTAGTTCAGAGAATTTAGTACTGGAGCAACTAATTATCCCTAAATTGATCTTTTTCTTTAATCTCATCACTTATCTAGTTGATGTTGTATATATATTGTTAGGAAAAATTCTGTCTTGGTCATTCATGAGAGTTAAAGGGTTAACAGGCTTCAACTCACTCCAATACAATGACTCCTCCTCCATTTCAAAAAAACACGTTCACAGTACATCCCGGTTCTCATTTACACCTCCAGAGGTGAAGAGAGGCTCTATTAATAATCATAATAATAATGATAACAATAATAACAATATTGATATTGCACTTGTACGGTGAAATTTAACATAATTTTGGTAAGTAAGTTTGGTTTTTTTAAGAATGTATCCATGTATCACCAGTTCGCTCTCTAGCACAAGTTAATAACGAAGATTAAACTGACCAAGACTTTCTGTAGACGCTGACCTGTTGTGTTGGATTGTAGGAGCGTATGTTATTGGGACAACAAGCACCCAAGAGAAAGCTGTCAAGGCAAAGGCTTGTGGAGCCGATGAAGTTATTCTGTACTCTGATCAAGACTTTGTTCAAGAAGTCAACAGAATCACGGGAGGTTCCGGAGTCAACGTCATTTATGATGGGGTTGGGAAGGAGACCTTTCTTAAAGGCAAGTTGTGTTTACAAAGGTACATGTGTGTATCACAATGATGATCAGCACAGTGAAAAAAAAATAACGACAGATCTAAAGAAAAACACAAACAACGCGAGTTGCGAAAATAGGGCTCGATAAAAAGCACTATACTGCCTTGCGATGGACTGGCATCCAATCGAGGGGGAAGTAGTCATACTCCTTGTCGGTTCTTGCTGCTCGGAAACCGGGATAAGCTTCGGCTGGGTTGGCCAGTAGGCTCGAGTACAGACTTCACCTCTTATTTTTCAGGCTTTACTGTAAAAACCTGCTTAGATGTTATCCAACATACTTACTGCGCAGTTCATATTTATTACATATATTGTCCGTGATATGCAGAGTTTTCATGTGATTTTGTTTGGATTGACATAAAATCTTGAAGTAAGACTTGGTTTTCTGCAGGTTTTAAGTGCCTCAAGAAACTTGGTACCATGGTTCTTTACGGCTACGCATCTGGTATCCCTGAATCTTTGGATCCTTTTATTCTGTCAAATGGGAATGGGTCACATACTCTCTCTCATCCAAAAATAGTCGACTATGTAGCGACACCTGAGGAGTTGTCTGAGAGAGCAAACGCTGTATTTGATTGGATCGCCCAGGGCAAGATAAAAATGGAAGATTTTACCATTTTTAAGCTTTCAGAAGCGAAGAAAGCTTTTGATCTGCTCGAAGGCAGGAAGACAACTGGAAAACTCTTCCTTAAGGCTTGATTTTGTTTTTCAAACTAGATGTCCTGAAAATTGTTAGAAAGCTTTTGATGCTAATTAATCTAGTTAGGCAGTGTGATGTTTTAAAATTGATTTCAGCGCTCTTATATTTTAGTATTGCACGGTGCTTGTCGTTACCTTCCCGTTAACAATTAAATTGTAAGTTCGAGATTTCTATCGCGTGATAGTTGATGAGAGTGAAGCCCGAATCAATCACGCATAGAAACTTGAGAGCAAAAACCCTTTTATTCTAAATCTTCTAGTCGTTCAAAATTAAACAACAAAACAGGATCATGTTTTTTTCGCAAATCTGTGATGGTGGTAGAAGTCTTTATTTCAATATTTCATTGGCTGAAGTTAGGCAAATAACAATAATAATAACTTTAACAAATATAAAAGTAAGTACTGAATTTGTTTTCTACAAAATTATTTTATTTTCTACCTAAGTTGGGAACAGTTTTTGACTCCTAGCTAAATGCATCCTTGTAAGTTTTGTATGCTAGAATATGTAGGTGTGTGTTTCCTTGTATTCCTGAAACATTTCCATGATCCTTAATTAAACCATTTATTATTGTGATCCTAAGTTTGATTTCCCTGTTTAACCAGCCCCATATGGTTACTTATTAGGGTTGCCAGTGCTCGCTTCTTTTCTCGTCAACATTAAGTAAACAAAAAAATGTAATTGCAGGATACAAATAAAGAGGTGCTGTTTTCTATTGTTGTTTTTGTTATAGCATAAAGAGGAGTAATGAAAAATTATAATTATACCATTAGTCAAACCTATGTATGTAAGGATGTGAAGCAATCGTCATACTCCACCAATGCCTTCGGGCTCGAGACGACCGCAATGGATTAGGGAAGCGTAGCCCGGCTCTGGGAACGTAATCGACTAGGAGGGTAGAAGAAGGGCATGCGCAAAGTGGACAAATGACGTTAAGGTGTGATTAGGGATGTCTCTAATGGAGGTGGCCCAGGATGGAGACTGACACAGAACCATTTCACGACAAACTGCGGTTAGGACTTTCGAGTGAACAGTTATATGAGGACTTCGCTAGATAATTATGTTTTACGGATTAAATCGTTTTTTTTTTCTCGTTGTTTCGTCACTTCAGGATTTGGAATATTTCTGGGAAACGCACTTGCTTCGGTTTCGTTCATCAGTCTCTTCCAATCTTTCTATTTCTTCATTGGTAACTTTCATTCTGTACAGTTTTCTCACCTGTCTTAGATATTTCCCATTCTGTGGTCGCCATAACACTAGAAGCCCACAAATAAATGGATTTCTTTAATTGAGAATCATGAGAGGTAGTTCACAGTATCACTTTAAATAAAAGCAGTCACTTTCGTAAGCTCATTGAGTTTCCCCCCCCCCCCACACCAACACTTTTGTATTACTCGTGCGTTTTCAACACGGCTAGTAATTTGCAAGTTGATCGAATCTTGTTACGCTTTCGCTGTGAAAATCGCATGTTGGTCGCAAAAAAAGCTCGATTTTGACTGGAAATGGAAGACGAAGCCAACAATTATTCCACAGTAATGACTAACGAACGTATTTGAATGACTTGAAGGCGAACTGGTAAAGGTGGGGTCGAACAGTCAGATCAGTCTCGGAAAAGGTTGTCTTTAATGCATTAAAGAGCCTTAAGAGAAATAAGTCCTCTGGCCTTGACAACTTTCCTTCTGGAATGTTAAAGGACTCTGCTGATATAATAGCCAAGCCTCTCACGCATATAATTAACCTGTCTCTCGCAACAGGGTCTGTACCTACTGACTGGAAAGCGGCTAAAATTGTACCACTTTTTAAATCTGGTTCAATGGCCGAAATCGACAATTATAGGCCTATTTCAATACTTCCCTCAATGTCAAAGATCCTGGAGAAAGTGGTATTTAAGCAGCTGATGGCTCATTTTGAACAGAATGGTCTACTTTCTCATTTTCAGTACGGCTTCCGTCGCATGCGCTCTACTGAACTGGCCGTTACTCATCTTACCGATGTTATCAGAAGAGAAGGTGAGAATGGTAACCTGACAGGCTGTGTTTTCATCGATCTATCCAAGGCGTTTGACACCATCAGTCACTCTGGCCTCCTGAGCAAGCTTTCAACTTACGGAGTTCGTGGAACAGAACTCGCATGGTTCACTGATTACCTTTTTCTGCAGATCACAAGTTGTCCAATATAAAGGCGTGCTATCAGAACCTCAACCCATTCTCACAGGTGTTCCTCAGGGAAGTATCCTGGGTCCTATCTTATTCATTATCTTTTTCAACGATGTACATAAACCGCTTCAACACTCGAAGATTATCACTTATGCCGACGATTCAGTCATCTATACCTCTTTTAAAGATATTGATACTATACAGAGAAGCCTTAGCGAGGATATGAATAACCTGTGCGAGTGGTTTAAAGACAACGAACTGATCATTAACCTAAAAAAGGACAAGACGGAGTCTATGTTATTTGGAACAGCTAAAAGAATCAACCTTCAAGACAAGGAACTTAAACTTTCTGCTAATGGGTCACTCATCAATAATACCTCTACCTATAAGTACTTAGGTGTTCACCTTGACTCATCACTAAACCTCGCATCACATTTTGACCGAATCTATAAAAAGCTGCAACCAGAATCAATCTCTTGCGATCAATTCGTCCTTTGATCGACCAAAAGTGTGCAGAATCGATCTATAACACTATGATCGCACCTATCTTTACCTATTGCGGAACACTTGGTCTTAGCTTTCCGGATTACCGAAAGGAAATGATAAAGAACATCGAACGACGAGGCTTTAAAGTTATCGGCAATAGTTCTTTTAATCCCCCATCCGTGAACAATTTGATCAAGCGTAAAAGCTGTCTGTTTGTTTTCGACTGTCTCCTGAATAATGTTTGCACACCCTTTAAGAACTACTTCGAAAGGCTGGTTCATTCTAAGGCCACTAGGAATAACGGTATATCAGTGAAATTACCCAAAGTTCGTTTAGAATTTGGTAAAAGAGCTTCTATTACCAAGGAGCAAAGACTTTCAACAACCTGCCTGCTGAACTAAGGTCGTTAGATTCGAGACTGAAATTTAAGAACAAATTGCGAGATTATTTTAGTTAAATTCTATCTAAACGTGGTTATAGGTATCTTTTTCAGAGTATTTTTATTTAATTTTTAATTTTTTCATTTTATTGTATGCTTTTCTAGACCTTAAGATCAATGATTATATCTTGTTAAATTTTATTTTATTTATTTATTTATTATTTTTGACAGGACCCCAAGGACAACAGTGTTACACACTGATGGGTTTCAATCCTGTATAAAAAATTCGTTATTATTATTATTATTATTTATTAACTTGCAATGAGGCGAATTCATCAGTTACCTTTTAAAACGTTCTGTAATAACTTTAGGGAAATGGCAAGATCTATTTCTTAGTTACATTTCTTGTCCTTTGTTGGGTTTTCAGCGATTGCTGTGTGACATGGTAAAGAGTTAATATTTAAATTGCTAAGAAATCTGCTAGGGCAACAGTCAGTGCTACTATTTTAGCGCTGTAGGTTGAAGTTGCCTCAGTGCCATTCTCTTGCGACCATTGACATTCATAAAAGTACTGATGAATTTTCAAAAGATGATTGTTATCCCTGTAGTTCTTATAGGGGAGAATTCACCAGTTACCATTTCGTACCCTTTATTGGGTTTTCAGCGCTTGTTGCGCGACATGGTAAAACTTTAATATTTAACTTGCTACCGGAAGTCCGACTTGATTAATCCGCTGGGAACAACAGACAGAGTTACAATTTCAGCGCTATAAGCTTATTCTGGTACAGTGCTAATACGCGTGCTACCATTAATTCCAGCAAGGTAGTCAAGAATTTTCAAAAGATGGTTGTTATTCCTGTAGTTCTTTTTGCAAGTAAGTGATTTTTCTTATCCTAGAAACTATCTTGCTTGTTTGAGTGCGACGTTAATGAACAAACATGATGAAATGGTTCGTTAGAAAACGTTTTCAGGAATTTCTCGCACGGAAATCCTAAGTTGTTGAGGTTTCTAGCTTACATTTTCGTTGGCAGAGTGTTGGGTTTGGTCGAAGAAAGCAGAGAGATCGATAACTTTAATTGTGCGGGCAATTGGAATTTAAATAAACCGTAAACGAATGAAGCCTTCATGAACGAGTTTTTGTATGAATGAATTTTAATGAAGCACTTCGTAGATATGTGAAAGTTGCATAATCAGTTGGCAAGAGGACCTCCTGGATTATCCGCGGACTCCTACCTCTCCCAGGTTCACCGAGTCAGTTTTTCGATTTTTAAAAGCTATGACAACCGTTCTTGTCATTTTGAATTCGTGCTATGTATCAGTGTAACAATTCCACATTCAAATTAGATGACTGGAATTTCATAAAGCAAACATACCCAAGACGTAATTAAAACCACCTTTGTTTTTTGCGTCCAGCATTATTCAGATTATTTACTTCAATGGAGTTTCATGAATACATAAGAGAATTTCGGAGTACATTTCCGCTTGTGTTCATGGCTGCGACGGAGACAGAAAATTCTTGATACATAGGAGCGACCGTGGAAGTACATACCTGTGTTCATTATTGTACACTTCATTTCTGTTTCCCTAAGTAAGTTTTGCATTAAGCAACTTATCTGTTTTTCGGCGATTATATATGACGTCTGTTTAGACGGCATTCCGCATATTTAGGAAAGGATGAGTTTCAGCTAAGATATCGGATCATGTGTACTATAGGTGGCCTCGGTCGATACATCGGCCGATATATCGGTCGACTATCGACCGACTATAGGTCGACTATCGGTCGACAGTGGACTGACTATCGGTCGATAGTCGACCGATAGATCGGCCGACAGTAGACCGATATATCGGCCGACAGTCGACCGATAAATGTGCACATATCGGCTGATGCATCGGCCGACAGTCGGTCGATATATCGGTCGATTATCGATCGACTATCGAGCAACTATCGGTCGACTATCGGTCGACTATCGACCGATAGTCGGTCGATTGTCGACCGATAGTCGGTCGATTGTCGGCCTATATGTCGACCGAGGCCACCTATAGTACACATGATCCAAGATATCTCCCCTGAACGAAATATTAGTGATGAAAGAAAAACAAACGAGAAGACGATAGGGTGATGAAAACAAAGATGTTTAGAGATTGTGTCATTACTTAGGAAAATAATTTTGTTGTCTTTTTTGTTCACATCATGAAATTAATTAGTGCTTTGACTGGTTTTACTGACCTCTAAGCTTGTGGTGTAGTTTTAACCACAGATATTACTGACATTACTCTATTTTGCGATTTTTAATTTTTCTCAGCTCTCCTGTTACCAGTTCATTCGTCGATAACAGCAACTGTTACCCCTACCTCTTCATTCACCCATGTTAGAAGCAGCTCAGGTCAAATCTCATCAAGACGAGTTTCCCCCCGGGGTTCTGTTGTGGTCTCTACTAATACTAAGCAGCCCTCATCTCCAGTTTCTCTTCCGGTCAGCCCAAGTTTGAGTCTACAGCCCACTGGGCCGGATGCTTCTTCCCTGTCTGTTAGTAGCCACAAGACCTCCTTAGTTAGTCCAACCAGGTCTGTCACTGTTCAAACCAGTGTTGTCACTGTTCAAACCGGTGTTGTCACTGGTCAAACTAGTGTTTTCATTGGTCAAACCAGTACAGTCACTGGTCAAACCAGTATAATCACTGGCCAAACCAGTGCAGTCACTGTTCAAACCAGTGTTGTCACTGGTCAAACCAGTACAGTCAGTGGCCAAACCAATACAGTCACTGTTCAAACCAGTGCTGTCACTGGTCAAAGCAATACAGTCACTGGTCAAACCAGTACAGTCAATGGCCAAACCAGTACAGTCAGTGGCCAAACCAGTACAGTCGCCGTTCAAACCAGTGTTGTCGCTGGTCAAACCAGTATAGTCAGTGGTCAAAGCAGTACAGTCACTGATCAAGTCAATACAGTCAGTGGTCAAACCAATACAATTGATGTTTCGCCCACTCGAGCATCACCTGGTGTAAGTGCCTCAGTACCGACTGGTAAGTTGATTTCCCATTTCTTTTTTACTTGTCACGCAATTTGTTTGTTACACAACGCATTCCTCCACAGGTTCCTGAGGACTCGAATTTTACAGATCGCTTGGTTTTGCTCAAGTTTGATTTCAACGCTATTATGCGATCATCACATCCCGAAATTGTTTTGGGAACACAACTCTTCTACAATTTTTTTCTACTTCCTGGCCAGTTTGGTTTTCTGTCTTTGTTTTTTGTCTGTTTGGTTTGTCGTCCTTTGATTTTGTTATGACGGTTTTTCATAATGTTAAAATTTTACTTTTGTATGCAGATGTTAATCCATGCAAAAGGAACAACGGTGGCTGTGCACACTATTGCACAAGACTTAACAGGGAATATAACTGCAGTTGTAGTTCAGGTTTTAAACTGAATGCCGACCGACACACCTGTACAGGTAAAAACGACTTAGAGATACATATAATTAAGACAGGATAAGGCCACCATATCTTAGGCTCGGTTTCTACTGTTTGCTCGAAAGCGGTCTTCGACCCTTCTAAGAAGGATAAAGGGAACGCGGGCTCATTTCCCAAACAGTGGCTAAAATCCAGCCATCGGAGCAAGCTTTTGTTGTCATAATAGAATTACGTAGCCTAAATGTTTTAAAGGTAAACCCATCTAGCCGGCTATGGTAGGCATACCGTATTAATCGGGTATGCCTCATCTTTACCGCTCTACGTAAGTCTGAGTGATAGGTGTCATTTGTTTGCGTTCTGTTGGTAAACGAAAGCAAACGCGCGGCAAGCGAGTGGAAAGCGCGAGGCAACTGCGTGGATAGCGTGAGGGACGAGACACGCACAAGTGTTGGAAATGACCCCAGTACCACAGGCCAGCTTTACAAAGTATTACCGTATCCAAACAAGTAGTTTGTTTCTTTTGCTACTGTCAGTGTTCTCTTTCTTTCATTTCCTTTTTTTTTTTTTTTGAAATAGTCCCTGTTCTTCCCAACAGAAGGAGAAGAGAAAGCGAGGCCTCGCTTTCTCTTCTCCCTCTGCTGCCTTCTTTTTCTCCATGGTGTTTTCTTACTCCTTCAAGCCTATTCTAAGATTTCATTATCTAATTCGGAAGTCGTGAAGCCTTCATTTGTCAAAACAGTGTTAATCGGATACCAGCTGAAGGTTAGCGACCCGAATGATTTTATAAAACGGTTACTTCCCCCACACCACTGACCAAAATGCTGTCTTTTAAATCTTACAGAAATAAACGAATGCAACAGCACGACTAACAAACATAAATGTGCGCATATTTGCGTGAATACTGTGGGCAGTTATGCGTGTGCTTGTCGCACGGGACACAAGCTTGAAATGGATGGTCTGACATGTAAAGAAGGTAACCATTATACTTGATGTAAAGTGCAAAACAATGGACGTACACTTTTGACGTTAAAGTATCGCTGACAGTTTGTGCCAAACTGATATAAAAGCGTTAGGCCTTCACGCTTGATCATAGGTCCGTTGTCTTCAATTATTTCGCTTAAAATCTATCCTGTCAAGGGACGAGGTTTGAGGGCGAAACATCGTAACTGAACAAAATATCAAAGCAAAACGAAACAAAGTAAAAGATTATTGGCCAATCCCCATATCACCGGACTATTTCTTTAACCCTTTAACTCCCCGAAGTGATTAACATGTAACTTCTCTCAAGGATATCCATACATTATCCAGAAAACAGGTAGTGAGAATAAGGGAAAGGGAACTTCAGGATCCACTCCCCTCCCCCCTTGTAGCTACGTCCATGGTAAGAGATGATATTTCTCAGAAATACAAACCTGCAGTAAATGGTGTTTTTTTGTACTAGTCACCACAAGTTCGCCCCCAGAAGCTGCTCAAAGTCACTACTGGGCATGGGTCGTCTTTGGAGTTGCCGTAGCACTTGTTCTACTATCCATCGTCATGTTAATTCTAGGAGTAATGTGAGTACATTATCATCTAAAAGGACCTTTTTGTAAATAGTTGACCATCTCTTCCCGTAAAGTAGGATCCTAGTGACACCAGTATTTCGTATTACTAGCTGGGCTTGGGTGATCGTCGTTTCATGATATCACAGCAATCTAAGTCTATGTTGCTTAGGGTACGGACCTATTTGACGAGATCTCTGTACCCTGGCTGGTTATGAGTGTTAGGTTGTTAGGCATACAATAACTAACAACTAGTTGTCCCATTTTGTTATTGCAAAGTGCTTAGAAAGACTCTCAACTACTACTTTTTTCGGTGTTCGTTTCCCGTTTGTTGTAAACCATAGAGCTTCTTTCCAATTTATTTCAACAAATCGTCTGTTGACGTAACATTCTCATCGCTTTAAGCCCTAAACTCCCATGAGTGACTATATGAGTGAGTGAATGTATATACATAGATATATATATACATAGAATTTGCGCCTTAGAAGTCAATAAATTATTATTAATTATTAATTATTATGAGTGACCAAAATAGAGTTCTCCTTACGATGTCAATACCATATCAAGCAGACAAGTGATAACAATAGAGAAAAATAGCAATTAATTGACCAAATGACAAATTCTCCGAGCCAACTTCTTACAAATTGTTCAGCATACAGTAAGGAGAATTACTAATGAGCTCTTGGGAGTAAAATTGTTAAAAGCCTTCTTTTTTCATCAAGGAAAGTTTCCATTCGGTTCATTCTTGGGTTTTCATACCAAACCGCATGACTACTTTGGCAAGCGCTCCCTCTTGTGTTTGCGCGCGCCTAGTTTCTTCCTTGCGGGCGCTGTTCTGAATCAATCGCAGTTGGTTTAATCGAGCGCCAACGAGGCTACGCCAGTGTCGTTCCAAGGGTCTCTCCTCCTTCCGCCAGAAAGACCTTGCATGGGAGTGAGGTTGATCGAGCGCTTATCATTGTAGGCTAGCTTAAATTCATCTCGAGAATACTTGCTGTCTTACTCACTCACTCAGTGATTAAGGATTGATGAGCTTTTGATTTAATTTTCTACGCAGTTCCAAGCGAGTGGTGAACAATAGGAAAAGACGAGAAATTTCAGGAGTCCGGGAGCTGACTGAATTAAGTACTACTCATCCAGTGGCGGAACCCAATCCCGTTGAAATCGAGCCTTGAGTGGAGAAACAATAACTTACTGTTAATTTGTGATTGTGAAACCGACGACATTTCTTATCCCGTCCCGAGAACCGCGATCCTTCATGCGATGTTATCGCTAGGTTCTTGATCATTAGATCGATAGAGTGGGCGTGCTAAATGTGACGGAGGTCTGGGAAGAGATAGCAAGAGATAGCCTGCAAAATTCCTCCCCGTATACCCGCCATTTTTTGCTGACTGGTGTTATCGGCAGTAACCACAAAGAGTCTAAGAGAGTCTTACATTCTGAATAAAACATCACTTCCTTGACATCTAAATGGCTGTTTATACAAGTAAGTTGGGAAAATTCAGGAAAAACGACTTTCTATTAAACCTGGAAAGTAACGATTCTATGGCCGTCTGGTAACTTCACCTTGCGATATTTAAAAATTGAGGAAACTAAGAAGTTAAAAGTCGTGCGTACATATTTTTGCTTTGTTGCGTTTTGTACCACTTTTAGCCATATAGAGGAGATTATTTTTCATTAAAAAAGAGTCGTCTTTATAATGTTCATCCGCCCACTGTCTGTGCAAATTTAAAGGAAAGATAACATTCTAGTGGCGTTTGCTCTGCTAGGCACGTCGAAGTCCAGACGTTTTGTTTCTGGACGTGCTTCTTTTAATAAAGATCTTTTTTATTTAATTTTTATCGCCTCGATAAAAATAAATGATTTTTGTCTGCTGTATTAAGTAGATTTGAAATAAAAACGATTGAGGTAACTTTCGATTGAACCATTTTAGTTGGCATTATTGGTCTTTGTCGTGATATTTGTGTTATTCTCGTCGCGCACTGTCGGGGGGGAAGCGGGGGAGTTCAAGCTGGGGTGTATTTATTGCGTGACATTTGTGCGAAGCGATTGTGTTACTCATTTTTTAAAATTCTTTATTTTCTTTATCTTTTTGCGGTCGTCAGAATAAAAAAGAAGCTGTCACGAATTTTTTGAGAATGATTTGATCGGAAAATGAATTAAAAATGAATTAGGAGCTACTCAAAATGTTGCTACACTTATTGGCTTTGTGAGCATGCGCGCGGACGTAACCTGAACTCCGTCGACGTCGTTACCTGGAGAGAAAGGGGCATTTTACCGAGCGAACACGATACCCTGAGAGATCTGATCTGGCAAAGTATGTAATAGCTCTCTCTAATACCACGCGAGCGAGTCAGCACTTGGGCATTTCTTACTAAGGGTAGGCCTTAGCTAAGTTCATTCCCGGTAAAAGCAAGATTTTGGACTCGTTGGTGTGGCGTATTCCCTTTCCATGCTACAGTTTCTCTGATCAATATTGCATTGGACCTTCACGTTCCTACTGAGCTTTGGAACTGTTGAAGTCAGCAACGTCGACTTCGGATAAAAAAATGGTTCTAGCGCGACTTCTTGTATTTTCGTTATGGTTTGCGAGCTTCTTCACGTCGCAAGGTTAGTAAAATACACAAGTGTCTATAAGGTATTTCTTGAGATTCTAAAGCAATCGGGTTTATTAGGTAGCCGATAGCATCCGTGAGAAAAACACACGCGCTCACCACCAAATGCAATGAACAGCAGCATTCACTGAATACAATGCTTGCTTGTTTGTTACAATTGTGTGTGTGTCACAACAGCTCACTTGTGCTGAGTTGTCGCGAGAAAAGTTCTTTCTCTCATCTTCTGTGAAGTAACTGTTAAGCTGAAGGGGTTAGTTATATACTATTTTACTAAGAGACTCGCAGCTCGAAGATTCAAGTGTGAACAAAACGAAGGTGTCTGGAGATTCACACATTTATTTCAAGACACATCCGTCTGGCACAGGATCGGTTTGGGGCATAACTTAATTCTTTCTCTTCTTTCGTTCAGATATGAAACAACGCATTATTTCACTGCAGTTAAGCTTTTGAATTTTATTTTGAATGGATTTTTCTCTGAATTTAGTGATTTTCTATTTAAGGATCAAACATCCTCACTAACATTAACACAAGGTAACAATAACGCGTTGATAAATATTTTTTCACGCCTCTATATGAGAGTTAACTTCTTGATTTAAAAACTGAATAAAGAAGGAAAACATCGGAAAATACCGAACATTTTAAAATGCATTATCTTACTATATGTTTGGAAATTCAAGGCTTTGTTAAGCGCTGACCCAAGGTTTACGCGCGTCTCTGTTGGAAAGACAGAAGAGCTCTAAAGTCGTAATAAAATTGTCTACCAGATTAAGTTACCAACCTGAGCTTACGTGGGAAATCTTACCATGCTCTGGTCACTCCAAATGGATGTATTTCTTACCTATCGCTACAAAGGTCCTTTTGATAAAAACGTCTAGAATATTACCCCAATATCTAGCGTGGTAATCGAGTCGAGACATTACTTGAGGTAAAATATGAAAATTGTGAAATACTCTGTGAAATATTTCTCAGAATGAATGGAATAATGCCTCGTTTGTGGAAATGGCGTGACACATGCATCATCAGAAAGATGTGAACGTTGCTACCTTTCTCTTAAGCGATTTGTGAGCAATAGTCGGTTACGACTGAAATATTTTCCTTTCTTTTTAGAATAAGCTGTCTTCTATTTATTTCTTGGATCTCTTAGATTCCAAGAATAATAGTTGGCGAAATCGTGGGTGAATTTCACCATTCGCTTTTGCAGTAACGACTTTTCAAGGGTTTCTCCCGTATGCTTAACGCGGCGTGATCTTCCACTTTGTTCGTTAGCTTGCAACTTTCATGGACGATAAACAGGCGTCGATGGATCCCTACATGCCACGATTTCCAAAAAATAGGAAACTTTGGGTAAAAAATGTTTTCTTTAGAACCGGATCTTTGGCTAAAACGATTGAAACATAACGAGCTTTCGACTGTCTGAATTGCAGTTTTAGACGGGTGAAATCTGAGTGACAAGAAGCGGAAATATTTTGAATAAAAATGCGTGGAATTGTGAAATAATAATGCTAATGGTTATGAATGTTTGTTCAAAAGAATGTTGTCCAGGTATTGGACACGAATTATTGTCTGCATTGGGAGTCAGTTTGATATGCCACCTTAATCAATGATAGAAACGTTTTCAAAGTCAAGACCAGGCATGATTTGCAATCCTTGAGCCTTTGGTCGCTATTTTTCTGTTGTTGAAAGTTCTGCCCGTTTCTTCCATGTAGCACCACGAACAATAGGCACAAAGAATTGTGTATACGATGTTTGTCTGCGAATCCTGCGAAGGTCGAAACTTCGAAATCGGGAACTGTTGTTGTGGGGTGATGAGCGGTTTGTTTACAACTGTAACGTGATGTTTTTTGAGGACGCGTGTCAAGAGTTATGCCTTTCATCAAAGAAATAACCGAACCCTTGACACGCGAAATAAAAAAAAACTATCCTCTAATAGTCTTAGAACAACGACAGAGTAGAAATTTACGATTTGGAGACTGAAAACCTTTTTTCATAAATACTATCGTTACCCATTCATAAAGAAAAATTGTATGATCACAATTTGCTAACCTCTGACCCACTTTACTGAAAGCTGCGTGATTGGTAGTACAGTCTGTAATGCATAGCATTTTCCACTTATGACTTGCGTTGTTTTGAAATACTCGTGTTCCTTCAACAGCTGTGCCGATAGATGATGAAAGTGAAGAGGTGAGAGTCGCTGATTTTTAATGATTTTGGAGAACCATCTGACAAACTCGGTTTTCATTTTTGCGCTGCTACCTAGAGGGGATCTTGCTCTATAATGTCACGCCACAGCTCAGTGAAATGCGAACAGTCAACCTCGCTGCCAGTGTCGTTTCTCCCGAGGAAGAGATAGGACCCTGGTAACCAGGTTGTGCGAACTCTTTCCGCATACACTAATAAGAAATACGCCAAGTTTTGCCTAACATTTATCCTTAAATTCATTTTAAAAAGAAAATTCTGATTTTTTTTGCACTGGTGACGTTGAAGAAATGTGCTGCAAAACGCGAGGTCTATAAACTTAATCTATGATTTGTTTAAATTGCTCAACAGATCCTGAGCAGGAGCCGGAGGCAAGCAGCTGAGTAAGTGTCTAATAATCAACAGTTAACGTTAGGAATGTTGACCTCGGTTTAGAACTGGAAGCTGTACACATAAAGGGAAGACCACACTTTTCCGGCACCTACGATAAAATGTTACATATCTCAATTGAAGTCTTTACACCCAAACATCGCCTTCTACTCTTAGTATTGATCTCGTTAAATTCCTTTCTTTTGTATGTAATGATCTTGTCCTTTCTCAATGTATTAATTTTCAAGCAAATATATATATGTATATGCTTTTTCTCATGTTTATTATTTTATGTTATATATATATAAACTCTACTCAACCTAGATTAGCTATGCTATTTGCGGTGTACAGTTACCTCTCTTGCATCAGTTAACTTTCATCAGTTAGTTAATAATAGTTGATAGTTAATAATAAATATCAGTATCCATATTTCCCATACTCTTCTCCTGAATAATTTGCTTTTATGCTGAGAACGAGAATTTTTTTAACAGTCAAAGCTTCTGAGGTTGGCGATCTTTTCCTTTATTCTCATGATCTTAGTATGATTCAGTAGTAATATTTGTAGGAGAAATCAGTGACGAGCATGTAACTTCTCCCTACAATATCCAGTCATTATCCAACAAACAGGTGATGAGACTACTCAAATTTATCAGGCTGTTACCTATATCTAATACCAAATTCTCCTAACTGATTCACAATTAAAAGTGTAGCTGCTATAGGGGAGAATTAGAAGTCAGATCTTGGGAATTAAATGGTTAAAGCTATTTCAAAGGGGAGCGCTTTTAAAGCTATTTCAAAGGGGAGCGCATTTCGAAATAGCTTTAAACTGAGCGTAACCATTAACCTTTAAAACTTAAAGACTGACAAGCATCTAATTTTTCTTTACAATATTACTGCTGAATCATCATGGCATAGCTAACGATGACTAAGGGTTCTCATGTAGCAAGATGTAGTTTATACATGTTCTGTATGTTCACACTCAATGATCTTAGTTTGCTACTCGTGTTAGCTTACAAGCTAGTCCTCATTATTACCGCTGCAAATCGCGCATTTTTCCGCCCGCGGGAAGATTTGAGACGAGTCGGGGAAAGGTCTGCCGGAGTCTGGCGCTGATTCATCATTATCAGTCCCGGACCCCTTACAGACCTCTCGCTGGCTCGCGTTGCTCCAGGCCTCCATACTTTCCTGCGGGTGGGGAAACGCGCGTCCTGCAACGCTCTTAATAGGGGCCTGCTCGTAAGATACCCTGCTTGTTAACAGGAAAAATAGCCTTTTTTTTGGATATGTAGTCAACTGAAAATCACCTTGATATAGAATTTATTGTTTTTACTTTTTTCTCTTTTGTCGTCTCGTAGTTCGAGGACTTACCGACTACCTTTTAATCCGCCTCCCTCTGAAATATTCTTTAATTCGGTAAGTTGACAGAGGCTATCGATCTTGTCACATTTCATGAGTCACTACCGTTCGATTTTAGAGGTAGTGACAGGTTCTAGGTCATTGGTGACAAACTTAGAGACGATCAAAAACGAAAAATTTATTAAAGGTTTGGAAAGGAAACGCGCATCTTGGCACGGGCGAGGACCTCCCCCGCGCGTGCCGGTCTAAAAATATCTTTTTTAAAATTGTTTTCGAAAGTGCTTTACGCAGCCCACTATTTAAAGGAAGAATATATACGTTCTGAAAATTTTACGGGAAATGTCACAGTTCATTAGGAATAAAATATTAACACTGAAATCGATGGTCGAATATTCATTTTTGGAAAACGCTGTCCAAGGTACGAATTGCCGGTTGGTTATGGATATTTTGACAATTTATATGTACCCTACACATGAACAAGTGCGTCGCACATTTTGACTTTTTGACACAGTTATCTGCACTCGCCTCCCAACATATGGTAACCTGAATGTAGGCTGGCTAATTTGGTTTTATTGATTGAGTTGATAGCGTAAATTGGCCACCGTAAATAGTTTCTATAGCTGACGTTTCGAGCGTCAGCCCTACGTTAAAGCGAATTATTCGCTCTGATAAAGGGTCAACGCTCTAAACGTCAGCTTTAGAACTCTTTGCGGTGGTTAATTTACATTATCAACTCAGATGATCAAACCAAATTATATTGTTATATCTCCAACCACAGTTTCTTTAGAAACTTACCTTCTTGATTCATTTGAATGTAGGCTGGAAAGGAAAAAATGAAAACGGAAATAACGATTTTTGTTATCTTTATGACAGACCCTACCACCCAAAGGAGAGCCAGGAAATCCGGGACGACAGGGATTATCAGGCCTCCCTGGATTTTCAGTAAGTATTATCGTGTGAATGTTTATCTTATGTTCGCCTCGAGGCGGTCATTAATGGAAAGCCATACGCGAGAGGAGAAGTGCGCAAAAATAAAAGGGGAATCTGTCTACTCGCACGAATACGCAAACTGAAAAAAAATTTACGCCTATTGTGCAGGTGTATTATGATTATAATCAGACATTTATTCTTCATCCGTTTCTGATGGCGAACTTTTTACTCAAGAGATAATTTGCTTCCTTCGTCAGAAGGAATGACGAAGGGCTAACGCTCGAAACGTTAGCTCTATAAACCTTTTACGATGGTTATTTTACATTATCAACACAGTAAATAAAAACAAAATGATCTTGTAATACCCCCACCGACGCAGCACCACAGTTTTTTCAAAAACTTCCCCTCGTTTCATGTGAAAGCTTTCCTTCGACGCCTCGTTACTGCGGGCAAAGAAACAACTGTGATGGTTCAGGTTCCCAAATGTCTAAGGCCTGGTTTCCATATAATCAGCCGGATCGTCTCGATCGCCTCGGTTTTCAAGACGATTTGATACGATTCGGGCGTTTACATGGAAATCAGGCCTGAGCTCAAAATTTGACGTATTGTGTTTATACCAATCCTCCGGGTCGTTTATGATTTCTTGGCCTGGTTTTCGTTTAGCCTTTCCGAATGCTTGAGCATTTTCTGGAACGATCGAGGTGATACAAAAGAATAGAAGGAAACCAGACTTAAAGAAATCTGTCTTTGAATATAAATTGTGATACCATCTTTTACCTTGGGAGCCTACATTATGATGCATCTTTGAATCTGATGCTTCATCTTTGGATTAGATTTAATAAACAAAAACAAAAAAAAGAAAAAATTTGCAAGCAACTAGATATAATTACGCCTTGCGCGCTTTCCCAAGAAGACGACTACCACTCAAGCCAACGAGATTTCCTTTGTAGGCATGTCAATCAGATGAAGCCTAGATCCCAAGCGTTCTCGACTTGTTTTAGCCTGGGCCCCTCGTGGGCCTTGACACCATCTCGCCAAGTAAGTAAGGTGTGGTCTCTCGCTCAATTCGTCTCAGAATTTGTGCGCGCAACGGGGCTAAGCGAACGCAAGTGAAGAGGCTACTACCGAGGAATTTAAGTTGGTCTTGAAGCAGTTACAGTCTTTATTATGACTAAATTTGTAAAACGACCTTAAGTAAAACAGCCCTTAGCGTCTGTAGTGGTTAAAATGTTTCCTTTTTTTTTACAGGGTTCACCTGGTGACCCCGGAAGTCCAGGAGTTATTGGAAAACCGGTATGATAACATTTCGGATGGAGATAACTAAAACTGAATTATGGGAAGAAGACAAAAAAACGCAGTAGCACTTTATGATCGATTACTTTTAAGCTTAGCGCTTGTTTGCTGCAAATAGGAATTAAAGTTAGCTTCTTGATTTTCTGCTTTCTTTCTTTTACATTCACTAACGTTTTGAAATTGTGATATACTGGATCTTGAGTTCAGCAAATATATCTCCCACACGTATGCAACATCTCAAACTATAACTAGTTGGTATAATGTGCCAATTAACTAGTAAATCATTCACAGCGTAAGTATCAAACGTGCAGAGAAATCTTCTGACCTCCATTTTTTCCATTTATAGGGGAATATCGGATCTCAAGGAGGCAAGGGGCCCCCGGGTCCTCCCGGAGGTGCAGGTCCGTCGGGTATTACACTTATCGGGGTAAGTGCTGAGTAGCTGGTATGAAAAACGATTTTTCTGCTTTTCGTACTTTGCAGGATTAATTCGATTTTTGAGGTCGATCCATGCTCCATGGAGATCACCCTGATCACATGCGTAAGAACAAGTCTTACCTCATCGTTGAGTGAAAAATTCATTTTTAGTGAGGCTCTGCTGTCCAAGCGGAAAATGTTTCGCTAATATATTATCGTGTCTGGGTGTCATGTATAACATTCTACAACACCATAATAGATTTCTCAATGAACTGACGTTGTTTTGTTACCTTAACTTGCTTTATCAAAAGTTTGTTTTATTTTTTTTCGCGTGTTCGCGTCACGGACTCGTCCTGTCGCTCGATTACACTCTTGGTTCTCAGATTCTCTTCTATCAAATATTTTGATTTACCCTGAACAATCAGTTGATCATCATCAAACGTAAGCTCACCAAACTTGTTTGAGTGCCTGAGATTTCCCTATCGACAGGCTTGAAATTCCTTGCTCTGTATTAATATCTATACAGTGAATAGCGCAGTAGATTTTGTAAGCACATCCACTTGATAGCGTTTCCATAACGTAAAGCGTTATCCGCCCTTTGAACATTTGGATCAAGGCTGATGACAGGTTATCGTCGTTGGGTGTTACTGTGTCGTCACGCAACTTTTCCTTCTTATGGTTTGAATCTTGCGTGATGAGTGACAAGTGAAAGAAATAGTATTCAGCTATTTTAGGGAATGTTTAAAGCTACTCTTGTCTATTGTTTGATTAGGCACCAGCAGGAACACTCTTGTCACAGGATGAAATTGACCAGATCGTGCAAATTTGGCAATCTATGCAGCGACAAAAGGTTTGTCAACATTCTTCAGTCCCACAGAGGGGGGCTGGTTTTATGTCAATGTGTCGCACCATATAGAGCGTTTTCCGATTAAGTGTCGTTAGGAAAAAAATCAAATTTATCATACGGCCAATCAGAAGAAAGGAAGATACCCTGAAGAGCCAATGAGAACTCAAAGTAAAAACCAGCAAACCGCCTAAAGCGCGGGAAAAAATGCGAATGACCAAGACGCGATTGGGTTTAGTTTCAACTACGATCGATAGTGACGCGAGTTTTCTGGACCAATCATAAAGCGAAGAAAAATGTAACCAAAACAATCCCGGCTCATTTTCGACACTAAGTTGGAAAAAGCTACATTTGAATATATTAATTTCTTTTGAAACCGCGTGATGTCTTTGTTGTCAGGAAAGGTAAGTTTTTCATTGGACCTTGTTAACAATCATGTTTTTACAGCTCTCTAAGCTCACATACTGACCTATTTTCACAAAACCAATCTCAAGGCGTAGAAGCGCACAATTTTTTACGATTTTTAATAACTAAAGGCGGTCTGACTTCGTCTCTCTCTTATGTTTCATGCACTACTTATATCAATAGCAGAGATTGTTATTAAAAGTTAATGGATATTGTTTGGAAGTATCGCGGTGCTCAAAGCGTTCTAATCTTCTTAACGTTCGAACAACTAGTAATTTCTGTCTAACAGGTGAACAGGGTGCAGCTGCTGGAAAAAATTCCTCTGATATAAAAACAAACGTAAAAGATGGAACGAAACTACCACCTGGTGTAATTTGTTACGAATTTTTCTTATCTTTGAAGGGAACTTATGGAAGGATAGGTGCCGCAGGTCTTCCAGGAGAGCCGGGAGAAACTGGTAACCAGGTAGGGCCTAAGTATCAAATTTACACGCGATTTGGACTACTATTCGTTTGATAAGTTACGTTCGTGTTCTTTAAGTTACGGGAAAAAAATCCACCAATATCCTGTTTTTGTTAATCTTGCTATCACCTAAGCGTAATTTTGTGTTACCCGTGAACGGGTAAAAAATGTCCTTGTTTTTCTGCCTAATCTATGTCATGTTTATATCATTTTTAATAGACATAGTATAAATTTGTTCAATGCCGTAGTTAGTTCATGAAATTTCCTCTGACGTAGACGAGCGTCTTGATGTTCCATTATAATATGTTTTGTGTCCAAGAAAGGACACACGTGGACACTGTTTGCGATTTAAATCTCTGCTTGTTTCCAGGGCCTTCAAGGAGAACGCGGAGAACGTGGTCCTAAGGGAAATCAAGGAGAACAGGTGGGTTGTGTGTATGACACGAGGGGATATTCCGTTGACACGTTTGTAATGCAACACTAAGTTGACTGGAGGCAGTTAGAGTGCATTTCGGTTGAATGTTATTAAACTAAAATCTAAATGATCACGAAGCCCATTGAAACAAAGGAAAGTATCACATGGGGCAAGACTGAATTAAAAGGAAGTCTCCCTGAAGCGCAAGAAAACGCGACAGGCCAAATCCCGGTTGATTTAACCGTTAGATCTGATTGATTAAAAAAGAGGAGTTAGTTTTCTGGACCTATCACTATTATGTTTAACACTCAGTTGAAAATTGTTTAAACGCACTGAAAGCGGAATTGGGCGAAACATCATCCACACTGGTTCTTAAGGTTGTCCTGCAATTTTCCATGAAATGGCAAAAGGACAGCTGCGAAGTAGACCAGCCTGAGTGTCGAGTGAACAAATTTACTTAGAGGCAGACGTCTGTTTTAGTTCCCATGTTTAATTTTCACCGAAATTTTTATAGGTCATCTCTTGAGCGCACATCTTTCTGGTCAATTTACTGATGAAAAATTGCGCATTTAGCATGATCGAGTTGGGTACCACGAATGTTAAGTTCTATGCTGATCAGCCTTTTAATCTTATCTTAACCATCCCTCTCATTATTGAACAATGCAGCGCCTGTTCGGGGCAGGGAAGTTACTTTCGCTGCGATGTTTGTTTGTTTCTAGGGTATCACAGGTGATGTCGGACCGACAGGAGACCCAGGGAGACCTGGAAAGGACGTAAGTATCTTACCTTCAATAAGCTTGCGTTCAATAAAATGAATGTTGTTGTAAATTATACATAGTTGACTTCCTTTTCAGGCATTTTACTTTTTGCCACAAAATATGCTATTAAAACATTTTGAAGAAGATCATTTAGACGACTGCGTTACATGGCAACAGCACAGTACGCCAGACAGTAAAAATTGAGTGATCGAAACAATTTAACAGCTGCAGGCTTCTCTTTTGAGTGTTGTAAAACAGAAACCAAGGAAGTCGGAACGAGGTAGTAGTAAAATAAAAATGAAAATGCTGAAGGAGTTTATAAGAATTTAAGCTAAAAACAAATAAACTTGCAGAAGCAAGGTTTAAAGGGGGTAACCAACAAGAAGCCGTTTAGACCGCAGGAAAATCGTGTATGGACTCGAAAAATATAAAGAAAGTAGTAAGGACCCAAGTTTTTTTTTTTTCACGTTTTGGGGTCAAAGACGCCTATGGCCCCAAACCGTAAAAAACACAGGTACGCATCCATCCTAGCAAAATTTTAGGATTAGTACTCCTTTCTTGGTGGGTCCGGATCGTACCCGGTTTTTCCTTCTGTTAAAACGGCCTTCAAGTGGCGATGTTGTAGTTTTTGTCTGATCGGTTTAGCATTGAAGCATTTCAGCATTGAAGTCTCATTTTACATTTCTGAGAATCCACTATCACATGTTTATTATTACCAACACAACATTTGATATCTCTGCGAAATATGTCAATATACACTCTTGGCTCCCTTTGTGTCTTTAATGGGGTTACTTTGACCGTGAATCAAATGAGTAAAAATTTTAAGCATCAGATATAGCCGTGAAGGAGAACGGTGTTTGTTCAAAGCCTTCCACGTCGACATCAACATCACATTCCTCGTCTGTGGAGCTCTTTCCTTCTAGAGCGACGCTCCTCGGACAATCCATACTCTCGAGACCTTTTTCCATGAAGAGAACGTCAGTGTCATAAACGAATGTAAAACTGTGTTTGAGATCTTTGTTGTGTTGAGCTAGAGGCAAGCTATCGAGCATGATGCTGTCTGTGTGGTACCCCTCGTTTTGGCTACCTTCAGTTTCGTCACCTTCCATTGCGATTTTTGTAAAACTATTCAGATCGTCTTGTGGACGTGTCATGTCTTGCAGGTACCCCAAATAACCAATTTCTCCACTGAGCAGCTGGTTTTGAAGACGGAGCTCTTCAAGATCGTCCGCATATTCTGCAACCCTCTCCTTTGCCGTTTTTATATACACGGCTGTTTCTCTTAAGATTCCGGACCGTGATAGTTTCTTGTTGTCTGATACCAGAGATGGCACTGATTTGCGAAGGCTTTCGAAGCAACCTCGAATAACGCCTCTCCTTTGTTGTTCCAGTGCATTGTGATGCGCTCTTTTTCCTAGAGAATTTCTCGATTTCAGTTTCGTGGGAGGCTGTGTCTTCCTTTTTGAAAGGAATTTGTTTTGCTGCATGTGAGGTGAACAAGACTCCATACTTTTGGTACATTCATTCATAACTTAAACCGCACCGTTTGCTGCAGAGAGAGATGCGATAAACAAGTGGAATAATGCGACTTCTTGCAAGTTATGCAAAATCGTGCGTTTTGCAAGTCAACTTGCACGTTTGCACGAGATTTTAGTTTGCTAATTAGGTCTTAATTGCGTTTTGAATTACCGATTGATTTCGAGCGCAAAATTCAGGATAAACATTATCTGTCCTTAACTGCTCTCAAAAATCTAGGATGGATTATTTACGTTTTTTTTTTAAATAATTTTTCTATGGAAAGGCTTGCATAATAAATTTCAAACGAAGTACTCAACTGAAACGTTATGAAAATAGAGAACTTGGCACGAGGATTCCTCGAGCTTTAAACGAAGAGTAGCACTGGTGACTGAATCTTTGACAACATGGCGGACATTTATATGCCTCAATTTTGCTGTCTTAAAATTACGTTGGAAAAAATGGCCTTCTTGAGAAGAAACACATGATTCTGTTCATGAAAGAACCGGTGCAATGTTAGAAATTTGGCTGCCTGTACCCCAATATGTAGAGAAGGTGATGGTATGTGGAAAATATCTTGGCATCTTTGAGGGGAATTCGGTCGATATCTTACATTTGTTAACCTGAATTGATAACTGGTAAAATTTCCGCACAACGGCCCCATACTACATTATGCATTCAGTTCTTGGATAGAGAAAACAATGACAAAAACAATACATTGCCATTGGGAAAACAGATTTGTTTTACAATAGTATAGGGCTGTGCGGAAATTTTACTCAAATCTTCCCCAGATACGGAAATTTTACGAGGTGCCTGTGTTCATGAGTTAAGAAAATTTGTTGTTCAATGCTACGTCGCAGTGATCACCTACAGATATTATAAACATGGAATGGATTAGTTCTTTGGCTATCTTCAGGTGTATTAAGATTAAATTAAAGAAGGGAATCTAAATTTTTTTTGTAAATTAAAGGCTCAAGTGAAGTATGTAAAGTTTCATGACTGATTTAAAATCATGAATTGCGTGTACAACTTTTACAATGTATTTTTTCCATTATACTCTCAGCAAAATAATTTTCCTGCACTTCCCTGTACATCTTTGTTGCACATTACAAAAAATAAAACTGTTGTTAAAATGATTTGATTATTTTATGCTATAATTTTCACAAATACCAAGAGTTTTTTTTTGCAATAGTTTAAAAATTAACATTTAATTAAAATTTTTCTTATTGTTTTGTGTGTATTTACAGATTTTTATACCATTGTATATATATATATTTTTATAGTATTGTTTGATATTTAGATAGCATGTATATTCTTACTGTCGTTATTATTATTAGTAGTATTATTTATATTTATTTTTGTATTATGCATTGTATTTATTTTAGGATCCTATTCACCAGGGCTCCTATTTATAGCAGAGTCATACATTCTGATGGGACTACCCTGGTGTTGGGATTGTTTTTTATTTATTTTAAATAAAGTTGTCATTCATTAACATGTTTTAGTTATTTTGTAAGGCCTAAATTTCAACAAAGTGCCATACAAAAATTGGATATTACACTCCATGTGATCTATTCATGCAATTGTCTTTGATCAAGATTGAGGTATTCTGTGCTGTATACAGAAAATGAAAAAACACAGAAATGATCTGAGAACTTTTTTGTTTCTACATGTTTGACTTTACCGCTTTTTTCAGGGACCAGAAGGTTCCGTTGGTGATCCAGGACCTGTGGGACTATCAGGAGAAAAGGTGAGACTTTCTTCGCTGCATACAGCTGTATATGGATGGAGTTGATGGATTAGGGAAAGAAATGGAAAATCCTTATTAGGATTTTCTAAGGTCACTTCAGAATGTCTGCTCAAAAATATGGTTCAGATGAATGAAAAAATACTGTAGAAACTGTATGCTTACTTAGAGTAAAATGTAAATCTAAGCTAGGCAGTATCTCTTATATGGGGCAAAGTTGTCACAATGGATAGCAACTTGTTCAGGGCAAAACCTTCAGTTACCTTTGGGCAAGGTTGACAGTTGCTGTATAGAAGCAGATTTTTGGTATCAAGTTTTCTAAACAAGTCTTCTTAAAGGCATCTGGAATTGGAGATTGAATAGCAGAGTATCTTGCAGAGCAAATAATGAAGGTCACTGACTCCCTGTTTATGTTTACAACCCTCTTATTGTAATACATGAATTTTCTGAAGGAATTACTATCTGAAATGCATAGAAAACATTCACTCTGAGTTGCCCGCTGCTACCATGAATTTATCAAATGAATGCTAAATCGCTAGACTTATGTCCTGAATGGATTCAAGGAGTGTGCTATGAGGCATGTTAATTTTTCATTTTAATCTTCAGTATAGCACATGGCAGTGCATGCATTAATAATATTACTGCCAGTTAGTGTGCATTATTGTATTAAGTGGGTGTTATTATTCAGATCTCTTTAAAAAAGCAGAAAAATTGGAATATTATCAAAAGCTAATTGATATTTTTGCCTTTTTTATCCAGGGAGATCAAGGCCCAAGGGGTATGTTTGGTATGATGGGACGAAAGGGTACAAGGGTAGGTATATCTTTATTTATTTGAACAATTAATAAAATCTTGGTCATGTTTTCAGGATTTCATGCTGCAACCATTTTGGTTGCTACATTTAGTTAGAAAGAAACCTGGGGCTAAATTTAGTTGAGGTTGCACTTATGACAACCTTGGGCAGCAGTGACAAGCTCTAATTATAGGGGGGGGTCAGAGGGCTCTCCTGGGCATAGATATCTTTAGAAACTCTGTTTGGTGCCAAACAATCTTTTCTTGTGTTTCCTCTGACCGCCTTTGTGGTTTGAAAACTATAGACAGAATTGAGAAGTACATCCTAAAATTTTCTTTGTTCTCAGTATTCATTGTATTATCTTTTTACTTAGCATTTCTATCTTTTAAGGAAGTTGTTTTCTCTTTGATAAATTTTCACTATCTTAGCTGTTTCTGTTTTGTAGGGGAAAAGAGGCAAGCAAGGTGCAAAAGGACCAGCTGGCTTGCAGGGTGAAAAGGTATAGTCTATCTTTTATACATATACATGTAAGACACAACTTTGTTACCCAAGGGATTCGCTTTTTGTTGTGTTTGTATGAGCAAAGTAGCTCTTGATTTATTGATTACACATTCTTCAACAATTACAGAAGGTCTGTATGAACCACATTGTTACTTTGAAATTTAAGACAATTTAGCAGGGAGTGTATCTCCCTTTGTGAGGAAAAGTTTTTTGGCAATGACCCTTGGAGATTTGTTTGCATTTACATGTGTAAAGGAATGTTAATGCTAGAAAAGAGCAACATCTTTTCTGATTGTGCTCCCATAAATTAAAATTCGTTAGTGTCTCTAAATAGAAATTTGTCTAAATGGTTTTTCTCTTTTGCAAGGGGGAACAAGGAGCACCAGGACCCAATGGAATAAATGGTGCTATGGTATGTTCAAATGGGATTGGTTGAATATGAAAATAAAATAAAATTATAGCGTGATAACATTTTTTACCTTAACTCTTAGCAGCTCTCTCAAACAATAATAAATTGTGTGAGCTATTTATTCTGTTCATACCATTTGAATGGAAAAACCATAAATGGGACTCACCTATACCCTGAATAGAAACATCTGTGGTACACCTCTCTCATTGTGTGATGATTGTTGTGATGCATGACTGTTGAAATTGCCTTTATTTTTACATATGGGGAAAAATGCCCTGTTGCTGTAACCAATAATAAGGGCTTGCTCCCAGACTTTTCTTAGGAAATGTTTCCATTATGAAAATGGTCCTACATCCTCTGAAATTCCACTCATTCTGGAAATTCTCTAGAAGAATATTCCAACAAAAAAAGCAACAACAACAACTATGTGTGATTTTTATCACAAACAGAAATTACACAATTTTGCTTGCAATCTGAAACATCCTCATTCTCTCATGAACTTTAGTTGGTATAATATATGCCCTGTATTTATCTAGTGTATTATTTAATTCTGTATATACTGTCAGAGTCAGGTTAATACTTACAGGAATGTAAATATTGGAACTATTGATGAAAATGATTTATTTTACTTCTGAATACTCCTTTGTGCATCATGCAGGGTCAACCTGGTAGGAAAGGAGGAAGAGGGCCAATGGGTGATCCAGGCTCAAAGGTAGGTTCATCCAAATTTAACTTTGGAAAGCATCAAGTTGTTTATAGTCTAGGATCCTTAAAAGAATATCTCATGCAAAGGTGTTGAATCCATATAGAAAATAATGGAAATAATATACAATGTTACTTAAAGAAATATGTAATAGCTGTTGAGAACTCTTTTCACTGTAGTATTTTATAGGCTGTTTTATGAATTCTTCAATACATGCACAATTGTGGTGAGATGGCAAGTGAAGAATTGATCCCGTCCTAGGTTTTTCCTTGCTGGGAAGGGTGTGGCTACACATAGGCTTATCTTAACCTTTTGTTTTACTGTTATGTTACACAGGGTTTACCAGGACCAATAGGTCCTTCAGGACCTCGAGGGCCTAAGGTAGAGTGAAAATTAGTATATTAGTTATGTTTATCCTTTAACTTCCATGATCTACTCGGTAATTCTCCCTACTCTAAGTTATATATTTCCCTATAAATAAGACAAAAGAATATGGTCTTGTATCAAAATAAGACTCTCTAGCTGATAGGCTAGTCTGATCTCATAAACTGTTTGCAAGATCACTTATACCGGCAAATGGAATTGTGAGGTAAAGTTAAATGTCAATCACGTCTAGAAGTTAAAGGGCTAATTAATTAATAAATAAATGATTAATTAATAGAATAGTAAGATAATTGTTCAGTAAATGGCAATAACTAAGCTTTTTACGAACATGTAATGCAACAAATTGAGATGTCATGGCATTTTTCTCAGGGAGCTGTTGGGACACCTGGACAGCAAGGCGTCAGTGGAGCAAGAGGACCAAGGGTGTGTATTCTACCCTTCATGTATTAATGTGTATATCAAATGCCCCATTCACACCAAAGCTTAAACATGTTTAAAAGTTGTTTTGTTAAACACAGTTTAATTTTTTTTTTCTTCATAGAAACTATTTAACCGAATATTTTTGACTTGAATGTAGCACATTGGAAATGCAAGTTAGCAAGTACTTGAATCCTATGGAAAATCAAGTTTTTCAGTTCTCTGTTTATAATTTTCATTCAATGAAAACCAGTTTAACAAAACATGTTTTGCTGGTGTGAATGGGGTAAAAGATTGCAATAATATGTTTTAGTTTCTATTGATTTACACACCCTTAACCTGTCGGTGTTTTCAGTTACCAGGATGAATAGGAAAAATTTCAAAGACAGAAATTGCTGTAGATATTGCTGATTTGTCACTGTGTGTACAGTGGTCAAGTTGTAAGCCATCATTATCACAGCACTTCCCCTCTTTGCTCACCATTGCATTAAATTAAATATGCATATGGAATCTTTAAGACAGGTGATAATAGCCACTACAATAACTTGTCATAATAAACAGATGAAAATTAAAGTTGTTTAAAGCATTATGAGACAAGGAAAATTTTGATTTCCATCATACAAATGTACCAGTAATTGTATGTACATCTCTTGCTCTTTACAAAAGAATAAGACATCTGACATGAAAGTGAGCTATGGAAAACTGTTGTGAAATTTATCATCACTTATAGTGACTTGATTTAATTTAAATATTTCCTTGGTCATCTATGATCAGAGCCTGTTTTATTTAATCTTTTTAATGTGTATGTTTATTAGTTTGTTTGTTTGTTTTTCAGGGTGACCCTGGTGTAGATGGCCCTTCAGGTGAAATGGGTCCACCTGTAAGTTACAAACCAACTTTACTTTTCCTTGATTGTTGCTGTGATACTCCTGATAGAAAATCAGATAACTTAAGTTGCTGGAGAACATACTCTTTTCATGTTATGAAGGAAACTTAGGGTTTGCTAAATTTTGTCTTAGGGTGCACCAGGAGCTCAAGGAACCCAGGGAGTGCGAGGGAATCCTGGAAATCCTGTGAGTACCAAGATTAGGATTGAATCTTTGTAATGATTATTTTGAAATTGGAAATTCTTTTAAAAATGATTTCTCTATTTCAGGTGAATGTACACATAATAGCTTACTGCAGTGATGTTTAATTTGCTGTTTTACTTTTGACAGGGTATGCCTGGACCTGATGGAGTTCCTGGTGAAAAAGGCGAAACTGTAAGTCTACCAAATAGACATTTGGTTACTTTATATTTCCTGATTTTTTTTTAATGTATGACTTTGTATCTTGGGGCAGAGTAATCAGTTGAACAATGGATATGTACTTGTGTAAGAGTTTTTTAGTATGTTTGGTGTGATTGATTCATCTGGACAGTTCTGATTGTTAACAAAATTCTCTCAATGTTTTGGCCAGTCTGCCAAGTCAATTATAGTTTCTTTTTGGTGAACTAGATAATTATGGGGTTTGAGAAATATCCTCATACAAACATGTAAATGCTGAATCAATTAAAAAATATGCCAACACGAGAAAAAATAAATTTATGAATGTAATTTGAAGCTTTTCTGTGACTCCATCACCTCTCTCAAGGTTTATCTCTTGAAGTAAGATCAATTAAGTACAGATCCAATGGGTAGTTTCAATGTAAGATAATTCTTTATTCTTCAGGGACCACCAGGCCCACCGGGAGCTCAGGGGTCACAAGGAGACCTGGGACCAAAAGTAAGATAGCGTTTCAATGGATTTTTCTTTTAGATAATTCCATGATTTCAATAACAATTTTAGGTATGCTCTTTGAACATAACCTGATGTTTTCCACATAATTGGTATGCAAATCCCTAATTATGAGGTCTAAAAGCAAGATTCAACAACTGAAAGTGAATAAATCTCTCCCATTCATGTCTTAAGGTTATATTCTTTTTGATACTCTTGTGATAACTGTTATGATTATATATTGTAATTGAATGGTTGAAGTTAAGAAGGAGCTCCCAACCTAAATTGCAGCACATTTGTCTCAATTTTTGATTCTAGGTCCCTTTGGTAATTTTAGTTTCTTTGGTAACTATTTTCCTGTACTAATTTTGTTATGCTTTAGGGTGTAACTGGACCAACAGGAAGGAAAGGACAGAGAGGAGTGGCTGTAAGTATCCTATGAACTAAAAAAAAATAACTTACAAATGTACTTATAATTTTCTAAAATAGCTGGTTACAGGGCAGTTGGCCACCTCTCGTGGCCTCTTAATGCCCTCTATTAAGAATTTGTTCTCAGGATTCATAGGAGCATAGCCCCATTTTCCTCTGGTGGGATGGACTTACTATTGAAACACCTTCTACAGTATAATGGCCAACTTCAACCTTGAAGAGTACCTAGTCAACTTCAAGCTTATTTTCTCTTCATCAAAGATTTAAAAGATACTAATGGATTGTTTAGTGTACATATATTTACTGTGTATGAACATTAATTTCAAGGGAAAGTAATGTCACTTTTTGCTTAGTTACTTGAGGCCATTGAAACTAAAGGAGGCCATTGAAACTAAAGTAGGTACACTGAGACTGATAGCTGTGGTTCTCTTGCTTCTGTAAACTTGCCTCAGTAAACTTAGAGAAAGATCATATCTATTTTGAGGTCTTGTCATGACAGGGTTAGCATGAGTGTCTCATCATCTTTTGTTTGATAGGGTGAGAGAGGAGTGGCTGGGGTCAAAGGATTTCCAGGCCTACCAGGAGACAGGGTAAGCAGTACAGTTTATCACACTACCTTCTCTCCCCTCCCTCTTGTAAAATGACAGTGTTAGTATGAATAGTCATTTAACAGAGTGTAGGTGGACTTACTTAGTTTAATTGAAATATTTAAAGTTGCTGTTGGTCTCTTTTCCCTTCTCAGTTTTTTCTGTTTCCAATTTTCTAAGTTTGACAAAAACCAAATTGATGCTCTTCAGCTTCTAGCACAAATTTACTTAAACAACCAAAATTTAAATTAAATTTGTATACAAAATGAATGGTATCACATTAAAAAGACTCTATTTATCTAGTTGAACATGGAAGTAGTACTCACAATCCTAAAGAGAGAAGGGTGTTTGAAATGTACCTTTTCATTCCCAAGTTCTTGATATCAACACTCCATATTGCCTGCTATATGTTTTGTTGTTATTGTTTCCCAGAGAATTTGGTGTTGTGTCTTGACCTCTTTCTTCTACAGCATTTGATATTTTTCTTTCTTCTCGTCACCTTCCAGCATGACAGTTTGTGTTGATATTGCTGGGAGATATTATTTAATAATTTTTTCACTTTTTGGATTTAAAGGATTATGAAGATTCACATTAGATTTCATCATCACATAGGGCAGGATTTTTGTAGGTTGCATTTGTCAAGAGCACAGAGCATCATGTCTAATCCCATAAATTTACCTCTTCATTAGATTTTGACAAGTAATGATTTATTTGTAATCCATTACAGGGAACTGCTGGCCTTCCTGGAGACCCTGGTGTCCCTGGGCCCCCTGGGGCTCCTGTGAGTTACTTTTATCTTTATATCAATTGGTGCTTTCTTTTTTTTCTCTTTCATTTATGCCAATTCGGCGATCGATGTCTGTTTTATTCTCCTTGAGTAAGCACCCATCACAAGTAGTCACTGCATTCTTCAATGCATTTCAAACTTTCTTGTTGCAGGGTTGGGTGTTTTGATCTGTGTCATGTATCTCTGCGATTAGATGCTTTATAGAATTATGAATAGCTAAAGAAATTGCTAGTTTGGTGTTTAACACCAGAATCTGCTTGCCATTGAAATGCACACATCTTCTCTTAAGTGCATTAAATAACCCCATTGGAATGATAATTCATTGGTTATTGTTAGTTATTGTGGTGCATTTCCTTCATCCAGTTTTTTTCTTAAACATCACATTTCATTTTTGCCAGAATTAATGTAACTTTCTGTGCAATTTTCATTTTTTTTCTTTTTTCTTTCCCTTTTTCTTCTTTTTTTTTATGTTAAATCAGGGTGAAGTAGGAATGCAAGGGCCTCCAGGTGGCCCAGGACCTGTTGGACCAAAGGTGATTTTTCAAAAACAAACTGAAATACAGTTAAAGCCCTAAAAGCAGGCAGCCTCTTTTAACTTGCCAGTGGCTGAGGTCTGCAAATTATAAAGTGGCAAGTGATAGTAGTGGACATGGATTACTTCTCTCAATTGGCCTGGAAGGATTAAGGCAAGATTTTTCCAGCCAGATAACATTGGATGAACAGTTGTAAAGTACTTAAGCCACTGTTTTGATAAAAGAAGCACCATCTCAATCAAGCCTTTGTTTTTTTGGCTCTTGTGGAAGGTTATGGACTATGTTATGCCCATCACTGTTGTTCTTTTACACTGCTAGTTGATCAGGGGTTTAAGTTTTGAAGTAGATAGCAAAAACTGTAAAGGAGGGGGCTAACGAAAGGTAGATCTTTACTCTATAGTGGCTAATTTGAGAGAAAATTGGTGGTGATTTTGCTTCACACAGACAGCAAATTTTGCCAGATACTGCCTCTTTTTGAAACACCTATATATGTTTGTAGAAAACACCTTGTGGATTATGTATGTGTATTGTGTGGTAGCATTAATTGTCAGTCAGAAGTTCATTCTCAAAGAGTGTTTTCTTAATAGAGTGTCAGTGTCTATGGAAAACAAGGTACAGGGGATGCTTCATGTCATGTCAGGTCAAATGCAAACTAATTGTTCCTTCCCTTGTTTCTTTCCAGGGAGTCATGGGTACTCAAGGGTTACCTGGAATGCCAGGAATGAAAGGTGCAAAGGTGGGTGCTATGAATGATAAGTGATAAGTCAGTCAATTTCAGATGTGCAAAGAAAGCAATAAAAAATGAGATATGCTCTATTTGAGAAAAAATCCATAAACATTTACAATGGTGACTTTTTATTGTAGGGAAGTACAGGCAGAACTGGAAGAAGGGGATCTAAAGGTCCCAGAGGAGACAAGGTCTGTTCTCAAGCTACAATATGCCTCTTTTATAGTTGTTAATATGTTTGTGAGGCAGTCTTCTGTAATTTTTTCATCGGCAGAAGCTATCTGGGCTGCTTGGCCAAGCATATTCCAATTTAGGCAAATGAAGCGCTGAGCAATAACAAGTGTAAAAATAAACAAAGTCTTGAAGATTAGAATTTGAAACCATAGTTGAGGAACAAAGAAACACTGAGTGAGCCAAAATACTGACAAACTGACTTAATATATTAAACAAAATATCTTTTGCATTTGAAGACACTGGTCTGGCTGTGCAATGCATAGACATTTATTCTTTATTCTTCTGTTGTGAAGGACATTGGATAGAAAAGTGTATAATAAATGAATACATACAGAATGATGGTATCCCTGCATCTTTCTTGCAATTTTTTGTTTTAATCATTTTGTTGCAGTTATTATTTTATAATTTTCTGGGAGAATTAACACATGTGAGTCAAATAAATCAGGCATAGAAGTTTGTTGCTTTTTAACACAAAAAAATTTTGAACACTTTCCAGTAAAAAGTTTTTTTCATTGTCAGCTTTCCTTTTGGAACAAAATTGGGACAAAATGGCACTCCTTGTGCTGGGAAAATTTTGTTTGAAAAAGCTCACATTTCAGCCAAACTTTTACTCCAACTTTCAGAGAAAGTTGCAAGAACAAAGAACAAAATCTGTGCATTTTGCTTGACTTACTTTTGCTCTATGCAATTTACACATGCACACAAAATGGCAACTGACATTTTGCTTTTGTCTAGGGTGAGGCAGGGCCACTGGGTGAGAGGGGAGGTCCAGGCCCCAGAGTAAGTAGTTATTGTTCATTTGTTGTATACTGCTTTGCATTTGTTTATCTCACCAGGTAATTGTCTACAGTGAGTTTTTTTTGTTTTTTTTTTGTATTTGTAATTTAAATCTTTCTTATCTTCATTTCAGGGTCCAAGAGGATCAAAAGGAAGTACTGGTTCCCCTGGTAGAGATGGGTTTTCTGTAAGGAAGTGTTTTCTTTGAATTTCAAGATTAGACTCTGGCTTGATGGTGCCTGCTTAAATTTGATTTTTACTGATGGCTTTGGACTTTGTCATCTTATTTTTACAGTCTTGTGATTGTTTTAATGCATCAACAATGTTAAGTGCTTCCTGTTGAAGTGACTAACATTTTTGGGTGGAAATCATCAAACTCAAGATTTCAAATAGCTATAAGCTTAATTAAAATCTTACCAGTGTGTCATTTTCTGGTTATCAACATAGTTGGTTGGTAAGGTTCATAGCCTGTTCCTTGCCATAAACTTTCTTGGACTAAAAAGTAATTGGCAAGCTCAGAACAAATTACAGGATCTAAGACTGTGATTTTCCCTTAGGGCTTCCAAGGAAATGCTGGTACACCAGGAAGCCAAGGAGCACCTGTAAGTACTGTAAAACATTTAGCATCATCACTTTCTCCCTAACTCTCCCTCCCTTCCCTCCTTCCCTTCTTCCCCCCTCCCCTCCTCCCCCTCCCATACTCCTCTAAAGGTTGATAGCAAATGATATCCGGAGTTTGAGTAGCCAATCAGGGCGTGCCTTTAGTGCAATCCACTGTTTTAGTGATTATATATACCAGAAACTATTGATAGTGCGTTTTTTGTCAGAACAGAGTCTGATTTGATTTCTACTAGTTTCAGGCACTGGTGGCTTTCAGAGATCAAAGAAAGGGAAATCAGCACATACAATTTTTTGAATATCCTTACATATTTTAAACTGATTTTAGGGTGTGGCTGGGTCTCAAGGACTTCCTGGACAGATGGGAATGAGAGGATCTCCGGTATGTACCCCCCCTGTATCAACAACACATCAGTAAAGTAAATATATCTTTACCATGTGCGTGCTTCTATTGTTTACTATTTATTTTCAAAATGTCTTCCTATGGTGATGTCTGTGGAGGCCATTGTAGTCAGGTAGATGTGAAGGCTTTTTGATCGGTGATTCAATGAGTACTCGCAGATAAAGGAATTTCATCTTGGTTATTGTTTTGATTATAATATTTAAGATCAGTGTCAAGGAAGTTCTCTAACCCATCCTTTTTTGATCACTGAAAAATAAATTTAAATTCTAAACCTTAAAATCTCCCTCCCCACCTTCGAACCTTTATGAGACTTTGTTTAAATAAGGTGACACGGGACAGCTTTCACTGATAACCCTGTGGCCCTCACGACTACTTTTATGGAGGTAAAAATTGTAGTAATTACAGAGATAAAATTTTATTAAGTGGCACTGTATTTAGCGGTCACTCTGTATTAGTCCCGAAATTTTCTCCCCTTAATTACTACGATTTTTACCTGCCCTTGACTGAGACCCAACGGCCTGTTTGTATAGTCCTCCACTTGTATTAAACGGTCACTTAGAGCGTAACGATTCAAACAAAACTAAGAATAATTTCTCATGTAAAATTTATTCCTTGTTTATCTCCCAGAATCAGTATTAGTACTTTGAGTTCCAAGTTCCTCAACGCATTGCAGACTATCTTTCTTGTTTAGACTGTAAGGACAAATATTACGCACGAACATCACTCAAGTCACTTACTAGACAACCTGTTTTAAACGGTCATTGTTTCATTCCCCGTGAGTGACAGCGTAAGGCAAGTTTGACTGTCGTATTCCCGGACATGTTGGGGTGTTGAATAATAATTTATTATCTAATAAATTTGCATTCCTATGCATTTGCTTAAATGTTTTTTTCTATGAGAAGTTGGGTGGTAGTTTTCATTACAAGTATCATGACTTTTGTTTCTTTTTTCATATTATGTTTATGCCTTAGGGTCCTCAAGGGAAACAGGGAGAGACTGGACCCGATGGAGAGCGGGGACCTCAGGTATTTCATGTCCTGTGAAGAGTTTGTTTGTTTGTCAGGTGTCTTTATCCCCCTGTGTAATTAGGCGATAGATTCCACGTTGCGGTACCTCAGTTCAAAAATAAACCCAGATAAGGTAGAAATATAGTATGCCGAAAATTGACATACGAGCCACAGCGGAGTGTGTCAACTATTCCACCTCTTATTAATGGAAGTGTAAATGGTGATGCAAACAGAACTTTTTGAAAAAAGTTTCTTTAATCTGTCAGTGTGGTACAAAGAAAAAAGAATCGTGTGGCTAACTAGAATTACAATTTCAGGCCGTCAGATTTGCGTCTTGATCTACTAATCAACGACCGAGTTCAACACTGACTTTTAGTGAACAGGACGCTTTACATTTGAACTTATTGCATGGCCTGACTGCTCTGTGACTCAGTGGTATTGCATTACGTCGGAGCACGAAATTCAAATGTCCTAAGTCAAAACACTGACTTTTAGTGAACAGGACGCTTTACATTTGAACTTATTGCATGGCCTGACTGCTCTGTGACACAGTGGTATTGCAGTACGTCGGAACATGAAATTCAAATGTCCTAAGTTAAAACCCTCGCCGGAGACTCAGATTGCAAGATTGAGCTACACCCGTGAAAAAATATATACCATGTATCCATATTCGATAACCCAGCTCAAAATGTACCATCTTTCTTTATCCTAAGTTTAAACCTCTTTCCTTCTTCTTTGTTAGGGTGACTCGGGTCCAGGCGGCAGCGAGGGACCCCCGGGTCCTCAAGGTCCCATGGTAGGTCATCAGACAGTCCTTAATTTTTTTCGTTTGTTTGTGTGAATAATGGGATTTGCTTGCCACTTGATCAGCTTCTGTTTATATTCGTAACTCTACTCAAAGCGCAAATTTCATTTTGTTTAAGTTAATGCAGAGAGGCAATTTTCACACTTATGGTTTATAATGTTAGATCAAGTCCAGATATTTTCAAATACTAAAGAACTAGGAACTAGACTTTTCATAGGCTACAAAAAGGTTATTGAACTAGCCAGCCATTGTAATGATACTCTGTTAAAAAACGAATTTGTAGCACAAGCACCGACTTGAAATGTTCAGAGAGGGACAACCTTTCAGTGCCTCCTTCCTGATCCCAGTTAGTAGAATGCTAGAGCCCTATGTAACCCTCCCTGTCGAGTTTTTGGGGGAACTCACTTCTTACTTGATTGGTTTCTTAGGGTCCATCGGGCTCAAGAGGTGCAGATGGAGAGAAAGGAGCACAAGGAAGACCGGTGGGTGTTAGAATGTTCTGCCTTTTGCGGAAGAAATATGTCATCAAAGGCAGTGTGGCCGAATGGTTGGGGCAGTTGGCTCCCCCTCTAAAACTTCTCATTTGCTAAGCAATCGTCAATCCATGACTTCCTAATGTACAGGGTTGATTTCAGGTCATTACAAATCGTACATTAACGCAAGCAAGGGTTAGGACATTATTGAACCTTAACCAACACAATGCGCTTTAATCATCTGAGATTTGACTCAATCATGTCGCTTCGAAGGATTTTTTTCTTGCATAATTTTGTGCCATTTCGTGATTTCGCTTGTTCAGTGCTAACGGTGCCAAATGTTTTTCGATGTAATTGTCTCAAGATGTGTATCATCATTTTCATTTTTTGATTCAGAGTGATGATTAAATAACCTTTTTACCGTTGTTTACAGGGTTCGAGAGGAGTTAAGGGAAGAAAGGGGCAACCTGGACAGGATGGGCAAAAGGTAGATATTGGACAAAGTAAACGATTGGTTTTTATTGAATTTGAAACCTTGGAACATATCCAGGCGACTCCTAATAACTCGAAATGAAATCGGCCACCCAGAGCTTCATTAATCTTAATACTGTAATTTTCACTAGAAAAACTCGAACCTTTAGAAACTCGAACCATCTTTGCCAATAGTCTTTTGTAAAATAAAATGATAATCAAAATTTGAAAATGAAAACAGTGTGATAAGTTACAAGTAAAAAGAGAGTGGGTGAGTTAAAAGAAAAAAACTCGGTGCAGATGCGTCGTTGTTTGAAATGTCGTTAAAGTTTCCCATCTGCGGTATCCTTTTAATTCTTCGCCCAAACATCACTTGCTATATGTTTGACTTGATTCCAGGGCCCCCCAGGCGACGCGGGAAGGAGCGGCAGAGATGGTGAAAACGTATGTTTTGTGTTGCAAATGAATGATGTTGTTAAAATGTGCTTATGTACCCCGGTTAAGTGATAAATAACAAATCATTAATGATAATAAGTGGATCCATTCATTTTTGTTTAAGCCTATTGTGATAGTTTCTCTTGTGTAACCTCTTCCATTAGCAACGTTTCTTTGGCTCGCTTGAAAGGGACTGGGTTCTATTTACTCTGATTTGGCCATGCATGACGCAATCCTCGCGCGATCCTTGCTTTATTGAAGCATGCGCATCTTGATAATCATTTACATAATTACTCTACTATCGAACAAAGGGGGTAAGTTTCTAAAGAAACTGGTGCTGCGTCGGTGGAAGGGTATAACAAGGGAATCTGGTATTAGTAATTGAGTTGGTAACGTAAATTGGCCACCTTAAAGAATTTCAAAGCTGATATTTCGAGCGTTAGCCTTCCGTCAGAGCAAGTGGATAAATACTCTACTTTTGTTCGATTTTGACCGTAATACTGATTCTTTTTTTATTGAAATACAGGGACCCCGTGGATTGAATGGAGCAGGTGGTGATTTGGGCGGAATTGTGAGTTGATATCTTAAAGGATGGACACAGGTTTTAAGCCTATGACCCCCCCTATTCTTTGTACTATGCTCTAACAAACTGGGCTATGGACCCACTGTGGAATGAGTTTCGCAGTGAACGATATTTCTTAGAGTATTTATGAGTCTGGGGCAAAGTTATTGATCGTGGTGGAACCAAAGCCCTCAGATTAAATTGGCAAATGCCGGTTCCTCCATGGATCCCATGTATTTGTCATTTTGCGGTTGTGGTCGCTGTTAAGAACTTTTAATCGACTGAAAGCTTCTGCCATAGATAAAATATAAGAAACTTTGTGAACTTAATGTGTAAATATCCAGTAAAGGGTGTTAAATGGTAGCCAGTGCTACGGATGTTTAATGAATAAGGATGTTTGCCAGAAAGTCCTGTCGTTTTCTACTGGTCTTACTTTTTGTTCCAAATCAATAATATACATACGGTAACCGGTCAGGTCGCCTGAAACAAAAGTTTTATCGCCTGAGATCTTATTGCGAGTAAACAGAAGAAACAATTACTTATTAGATCAGGTTTACAGACTGTAAATAGGTAATGACGTTGAAGGTCGTTAGGGTTACAGAGCTCATATCTCTCTGTACTGCTGTGTGATTTTTTACTTATAGCGAATATACTCTTTTATGCTATGTTTGAAACATTTCGCGCCCTTTAGGGACTCCCAGGTGCACGGGGCGAAGCAGGACCACAAGGAAGACCAGGAATGATGGTGAGGAACGTTTTAAGAACTTCAGCTGTGGTAGATAGCAGGGGCTTCAATATATTTTTTTTTCCATAAGTGGCTGCCGGTGGCGGGGCAAATCCCGAATACTAACCTTTTCACAGGCTGAACCGACGGTGGTAAGAGGTCTCATAGGCGGAGGTAGACCGCCCGTTACCAGCTTTATTGAAACTTGTAAACTAAAGTCATCACCAATGCCTTTCAAAGAAAAAAGATTGTAAGGAAAAATGTCAAGAGGAGCTACTGAGCAGTCACTTATACTGATTACCTGTAAACTGCGTGAAGCGCGGGAAAACGGGGGTGACCAAGTCACGTGTGGTTTTAGTTCCGACATATGATTGGTTGAATGGATGGTGAGAAATTTTTGGACCAATCGCAGAGGGAAGTAAAGCGAAGGCTTTTAAATACCGAAATACTTGCACTTCTGTATTCATGATTCATCTGACGCGAAATGAATTCCTGTCTAATGGGCTAATATGATGAGTTCGCTATTAATGCAGACATGAATCATTATTATATTTACATTATCTTCAAATTCAGTGACAGGTGTTACAAACGAATTTCTGTTCACATAATATAAAAGAGACTCTTTGGAAAGCGTTTATATTCCAGATATCACGTTTGTGACAACTTCAGAAATCAAAGGCTACTCGTCAGATTTCCTTAAAATAATTCTGATGGCAGGGGCCAAGGTGTGGAAGAACTGACTTCAAATAAAAGCGTAAATTCAGAACAGATAAGGTTCTGAAGCATTGATAAAATTCTTCGATAGATTAGAGCAATTTTAACCTTGTTATGGAAAATGTTCGTCGTGGTTTTTCAGATAAGGGACGTTGAATCGTTTGTCTCACGGTGAAGGCTATCAATTGTATTTATCGCGATGTCCCGATTGCCATACTACTAGCCTTAGTTTGGCGACGAAGTCGAAAGTTTACGTGTCACTGCAAAGTATCTTAGTGGTGTGTTTGGCGCACTGTCATTGGTGCATTTGATTTTAACCCTATGATAGCATTTGATTTCTTCATTATGGTACTAGCTTATTGCCACTTAACCAACACTTGCACACAACTTCTCGATTCCAAGTATTTCAGTAGATATTGTCCAGATAACTTTTAGAAATTTCATCGAATTGTAGTGGACCAACTCTTTTATTGTCATTCACAGGGATCCCAAGGAATGACTGGACCTGCTGGTAAAACTGGGGCCCAAGGAGCTGCGGTGAGTAAAACAGTGAATTACCAATTATTAGACGAAGTCGAGCAAAGTATCGTGTTTTACTAGCGGCAAAGAGATCAACTATCGAAATTGAAAGCTGGGACAAAGCAACTGACAGTTGAAAGAAGCGAACTGCCACATTCCCATTCAAGATTGGGAACCCAACAAGCTATGAGCAGTATTTACAGTCGCTAGACGAAACCACAGAAGACAGACATCTCGGCATGTCAAATAATCTGTCACCACTATCTATTTATATTTTGAAGGTTACATTTCATTCATGTTACATTTGATGAATTGAATGAACTTATCTCCTTGGGTTATAAATAGAGCTTGAATCGTCGGTGGCATCAACGTAGTATTAAAATTTAGATGTGTACATTGTTGTTGCTCTCTTTCGCCATTTTTTTTTCTGCTCTGTTGCTGGCAGGGTCCAGAGGGTCCAGTAGGAGCAACAGGACCGGCAGGAGAGAAGGGCAGTACCGTAAGTATCAAGTCGTTAACTGTGTTAACAACTCTATTGTTGTCACTAAAAAGGTCTGGATACGAGACTGACTCGCAGGGCTGATAAGCGCCCCCCGCCTCCTCCTCCCCCCCTCGAACATGCAGAATGCTTTACGGTATTGACACTCTTGCTGTGATGTTTCCGTAGAGATTGCTAAAACAGGCATCCATACTGATAGCACTGTGTTGATGGTAAATAGGAGAGAAAAAAGGGCTTTTCTACCCTTTTACGCAAAGGGGCTAGGTCACGCTATAAGCTTGCGCACTGAGTTCTTCCAGTTGTACACTTATAGGCATCAAATTGCCGTTGAACTATGTTAGAAACGACAAATGCAAAGAGCGTCATCGTAAAAACTGACGATTACAAGGTGTTTGTTTTGGATTGTCGGAAACACGAAGGCCAAGGTTACCAACTGCCCGTTGGTGCCATTTTTTCCTGTGTTCTAACTGTACATGCGTGAGTCGTGACCTAGCCCTTTAAGTCTAACCAGCGATATATTCTCCACATGATGCCTTCTTCGTTCAGCTTTTTTAATAATTTCTTTTTTTAGGGACCAGATGGCGAGACTGGGCCTATTGGAGCCCCAGGGGGACCAGGAGCTGACGTAAGTGGACTCTTTGAAAATTAACCGTCAGTTTATTGTAAGAATGAACAAGAGAGCGGCAAGTCAGCATTATTAGTTTACGGTTGATCACCGAGTCAGAATTCTTGATTAGGATTGGCGTAAAAAAGGGGGGGTCGAGTGCGAGGATAGACGAGGAAATTTTTTATCAAATGCAATTCCCCATAGGAAAATAACTTGGGGCTCTCCTAGTTTCCATCCCACCAGAAAGGATTAATTGCGTAATTAACTTCAAAAAATTACACAGCAGCGCCTGGATGAAAGGGTGGCGCTATTTTTACACACCAATTACAGAGCGAAGTAAAGAAAAAACTGGTGCAATCTGGGATTACTTTCGACACGTATGTGCTCAAAAAACCGTATACATTGGAATGCCCCACTGATTTTGGCTTTATGCATTTAATAACACATACCGCAGGGTTCCACCGGTATGCCTGGACCTGTTGGTGAACAAGGACCACGAGGCGAAAAGGTGAGTGAAAAAAAGGGAACATTAAAAATCAGAAAAGACTGTTTCGTTGGTAAGCAATAAATTGAAATGTTTAGGAAATGAACCACACTGCCACGTGAAAGCTACATTTATTTTTGTTCTTAGGGAATTTAAAACTTTTAATAAGCCAGTGAAAGTGCAAAATATGTAGCCCAAAAATACATCAGTACCTGCCCTTAAGTCAGATGTGATAAGACTGTTATTTCACTATATAGGGAGACGCAGGGCAACCAGGAACGTCTGGGCGAGATGGTGCTTCCGGAGTTAGGGTAAGACCACGCGACTGATTGTCGAGTTCGTCTTTTTTTCAACACTTATAATATATTCAGGTATCATAGTTATGATAGAGTGTTTTTTTTTTTCGCTAACCTTGACCTCCTGTTTTTACACCAGGGATCCTCTGGGGAGCCGGGAGTGGCTGGTCCTCCTGGTCCACCAGGGCCAATGGTAAGTGGCAGATGAACCTTCCTCTTCTCCTTTATTAAACGACTAGATCATTGGCTCGAGGTTTCTATCACGTGATACGCGTCATAGTCTACGAGGGCAGAGCCCGAATGAACTATCGCACTCAAGAATCAAGAGTAAACAATCTCATGGTTGTAAAAATCAAGTAGTCGTTCAAAACTTATCAACAAGACGGGTTCATGTTTTTTATTTTATTTTGTTTGCAACCGTACACTGTCGACTCAGTCTCTTTACTCACCCTCTGTTACAGAATAGATAGCTAGTTGCTCAGCCAATCAGATCGAAGCATTTGTGTGAGAACTCAAGCAGACTTCTACTATTTAACATTGATATGCGGTTGTGATTGGGTTTAGTGTGCAACTTGGCTAATTAAGAGAGGATTTTCGAAAAAGAGTCTCTGTTGACAATGTAACAAGCACTTTGTGGGTAATTATAACTACAGAATAAAATAAGTTTGTTTCGGTGCACTTCTCGATTGAGTGTCTTCAAACCAAAACTTGATTTAACCTGCCATACAGACTTTAGTTTAGAGTTTTTCAGGCTAGCGCGAGGCAAGCGCTAGGCAAGCGCGAGGCAAGCGCGAGGCAAGCGCAAGGCTTGCGTGAGAAGAGCGTGAAGGGTGAGTCAGGTTCAAATGGAAGAGTACTCGCCCCGCGTCGCCTGTCCTGCAGGCTAAACTTAATTCTCCAGCACTGCTAAGGTCAACATCACTTAGGACGGATGAGTTCTCAAATTCTAAACAAGTTAACAACTTCAGTGGCTAAAAAACTTTAGCCTTTGAAAAATCACTTTAGCATCTGATTGGTTGAGAATGAGGCGTGAGTTTTCTAGCCCAGTCACAAAACGTTGTAAAGCAAAACAACTGCAGTTTAGGATCACTTTCAACTTTGAAATTTCTCGAAAAACTTAGTCGTTTGCTTCACGGTGTGTCACCCTGGTTGTTCTGATAGCATGACAATAATCTTGTGATAGAGTAACCTTTAAGTGAGCGTTTGCAACTGTTTCTAATAATTACTACAGCAGTTTCAATACTCATTGGCTTGTTTTAGGGAGCTGCTGGCGGACGAGGATCAAGAGGTCAAACTGGACCTGTTGGAGACCAGGTGGGTGAATAATATGTCACCCAGTTTCACATTTGAAATTAGCCGTAGCAAGGGCCTGCTTCTCGAAGGTCCCGGTAACTGAACGGGCCCGTAAAGCTGTTCTGTTTTCATTCAAAATGGAGGTTTGAAAATTTTTTAGAATTATACAGTAAAACTAGCAGCCGAAGAAACAAAATGGACTGGTTAAGACGCCAGAGCCTGCTTCACTATTCTTTAAATTTTTATTTTAAAATATGACTTCAAGCCCGTTAAGTTATAGGGACGTTCGAGAAACGGGCCTCAGGAGACCAACCTGTAGATTATAACGATAAGACCAGCATCCTCGTCCCGTCCCGTCCCGTCCCGACCTTGTTTTCCCAAATTAAATAAGCGAACGTGTTATTTAACTAAGATTCATTAGGACGGAGTAAGCTGCAACCAAAAGCTGCACGAGTTATGTCCAGGATTGAACGGACACGGGAAAACTCACCAAGCACAGTTTCGTATTTGTACAAATGCAAGCAGTAGTCCATGTTGCTGAAGTTTCGGGTGATGCTGTTCATTTGGAGTGAACAGAAATAAAATAAGAAGGGAAATGACACAGCGAGGCATCTTTTACACTAACTGAATTGTTGTTTAGCTGTACAATATCTCTTGTTTCAGGGAAGCCCTGGAAAAAATGGTCCACCTGGTATATCTGGCGCCCAAGGAGAACAGGTAAGTCATCATAAATACTGAGAAAGCATGGTCTCCGAAAGGAAGATAACGTGTTGCGTGATAAGCCCAAGATTTTTGCTTGACAAGCCCAACTGTGTCGGGTGAAAAGCCTGAACTATGTTTGCGAGGGAAACAACAAAAACAGGGTTTCAATGGCGATAATGTGCAAGGCGACTGTGCCGTAAGGCGAAAAACCAAACTCACGAGCCTGCACGCAGGCTCAACAGAGGTCTTACTCTAAAGTCAATAGTCAAAAACGCAATTTCGATGGACTGTCGTAGTAATAATACCACAGTAATCAAAACACCCATTCGGAGCAAAGAAAAACATCGTTAGGGGCCAATGAGAGCTGAACTGCGAGCAAACGTTTGGTTCAAGTTTTGCATCAGCTTGGAAGAGCAGGTGGGACGAGTTCTCTGGATCAATCACGGAGTCAGAAATAAAGTAACACCAAAGTACTCCTGGCCCTCATTTAGAACTTTCTTGAGCACTTGTAATGTTGATCGAATTCTAGCCAAAAGTAATGACACCAGTAAACTCAGTTAACCATCGTTCATCTCGTTCCCAGGGCCCTCCAGGACCTTCAGGAGCAAAAGGTGACCGTGGAACGTCCGGTGCGCCTGTAAGTACTAGTGGATAAACGTTATGATTATCCAGCGGTGTTATGTTGACTTGTTTGTTTGTTTGTTTTTAAAACATTATCGGTAATAGTCAACCTCTTTCACTCTTGGGACCGAAAGATGATGAGAAGAAACTGTGATTTCTTTATGGGGGTAAGCTTTGCAGGGATTTAACAGCAAACTCTAAGGGCTCAAGTGAGAATAAATGTATGGCAGACAGATCAGTTAGTTGATTGTTAGATCTTGGTAATCTAAAGGCCAAAGAAAAATTGATTTGTGAGATGTGTAGGATTTTATTAATCATCAGTATCCATATCCTCCATACTCTTTGTATACATTTCCTTTGGTACTGACAAGGATAATTCGTTTAACAATCAGAGTTTCTTTGGTTGGTGATGTATTCCCTATTCTTATGATCTTAATGAATGATTTAGCAGTTTTACGGAAAGGAGAAATTGGATGCTGGTCACTTGGGTTTTGAAGGGTTAAATTACGGTCCACTCGAGTATCGAACCCGCCCTGTGTAATAACCATCGGACACTTTGGCCTTTATCCTTATTAAACCTTATTATACGCCTTGATCGGATCGTCTTGTCGAAAGACTCGTCTGTAGTAAAACAGAGAGGAATATTATGAATTTAAAAGCCTGGTTTTCCAGTGAAGAGAGATGTAAAATAGATAAGTGACCAGCGTAGAACAAAGAAACAAATATGAGTGTAGGATTCGGTGTTGTTCGCAGATAGTTACTGCTAGTGTGAAAGTCACTCTATATCCAGATAAGATACTAAGTGATGAATTGGCTGTTTTTTTTTTTTCCCTTACCGTTGAGGTATTTTTGTGACACTTCTGTTTGCCTTGCTATTTTTAAGGGAGCTCAAGGTTCTCAAGGAGGTCAGGGAACACAGGGTCAAATAGGATCAAAGGTAACCAAACTATCCTCATCTGTAGAGTGCCTCGAGTCTCGTAACACAAAAACTAAAGTAGTCATCGTAGGTCAATCAGAACAAAGGTCCACATTACTAGCGCTACAGGACGCGCGTTTCTCCGCCTGTGGGAGGGTTTGAGAAAAGTCGGGGAGAGGTTTGCCTGCGTGCTATACACCTTGCAGATCTCTCGCCAGTTCGTGTACTTCAAGGCTTCATACTTTCCCGTGGGCGATGAAGTGTTCGTGCTGAAGCGCTTCTAATGAGGACCTACTCGCTGGCTAAACACAGGGCAACATCACCAAGAGCCAGTGAGAACACAAAGTATATGCATTAAGACGGCTCCAGGTGCTGTTTGCATTTGATTGGCTGAGAATTTTTTTGAGACCAATTACTGAGGAAAGTAACGCATAACCAATTTCCTCCATAATTGCTTTCAACACTCATTTGAAAATACTGTATTGCGCTTTGATATGTCTCTTGCTTTCAGGATAAGTACCTAGATGTAGTTTTGAGGTTTGTAGAGGATATTTCTCTTTTTTTTTTTTTTTTTTCATCACTCCATTTTTTCATCAGGGACCACGTGGACCGAAAGGAAGCACAGGTAGCGACGGTCTTGATGGTCCAAAAGTAAGTTAAGTTAGTTTCTCCCTGTCCAACATTGCGTGGTCTACTTGGTTTTCAAAATTTTAACTAGTTTAACTAGAACATTGTTTGGTTCCTTTTAGCTGTGCGCTCAGTGTCAACTATAATCCTGACTAGAAGTTTCAGCGGAACTCTCAAAAAATACACACATATGTACGAGGCTTAGTCTTCATTCTCCTTGATATCTTTAATCCACGTAACCTTGGCTTTTGTGTTTTGAAAATGACAAAGCCCACACCCCCCGACATTTTGACAACGGAGGTAAGAGTAAGGGGAGTGGGGAAAAAGAGACTTTACAGTTTGTGGGATGCGTTGTTTGCGCGCGTGCTTCTGAAAAGAGAAACAAGATTCTTTTACAGGGCTTTAGCTTCGTTTGATGTTGAGGCAAAGGTGATTCTTAAAGCTGGGTCCCTTTACCAGTCTACCATAACATTTTGTCCCTTCCAATGCGTGTTTGGTTTTCATCGTAGTTTCCTCTGTGGTTATTTGTCTTAGGGAGAGGCCGGAGGGAAAGGACCAGCTGGAGAAGACGGACCACCTGGAAATGCTGTAGGTTTAAAGTATTAGCAGTAAATGCTACGCAAACTGCGACTAAGAAGATGCATTCAATGATCAAAAAGTTTAGGATAACATTTGAATTTGGCTACTGCTTCCTATAGAGGGTGAAGCCACTAATGTTGTCGAAATGAGTGAGCGAGTGATGGTAACTGTAGAATTCTGATCTTGTCAATTTGTAACTTTTGGAACAGGGTACTCATAAATATGTGGGCTGTGGCAGGTTTTCTGTCTCAGAAAAATCTTTTGCAACACTACCTTCTAGCATCATTATACAGCGTCTAGTTCTTTTCAATGCTATAAAAATTGTGCTATATCAGCAGCCACATGCAGTCTTAAACTGCCTGTTTATATCGTAATGGCTTCTTTACTGTTCGAAAAGGAGATGTAACAGGAAGGTGGCGTTTCGATTAAAGAACAATCTGAGTTAGAACCATAGAAAAAAAACGTCTTCTACCTTAAAATTTATGCTCAGGTTTACTTGATAATAAAACAGTTATTTGTTTATATGTAAAATGGTGGTTTTTCCTCATCCAGGGTCGAGATGGTTTACCTGGTCAGCCTGGAATAAAAGGTCAACAAGGACAAATGGTGAGCATTAAAGGATTATTACCAACTATTCACCTCAGTAGTCACCAAGTACTGGATTCTTTTTTGAGGTGTGAATAGAATCTCCTTTCTCATGGGGTGGCGCAGCAACATGGTGGCAATCACCAAAGCCTCCATTTTGAGCCTTAGGCAGGTCATTGTGTTGTGGTATGGGGGAGGACATCAGCATCCCATCCAGGATTAGTGGACATACTCCTTGTCACTTCGTGGGAGACGCACTGGACCCTAATGGTCAATGTGCTGGACTCTGGGTCGAGAGGTCCTGGTTCAAACACTGGACTCCGGGTGGAGAGGTCCTGGTTCGAACACTGGACTCCGGGTCGAGAGGTCCTGATTCGAGACCAGGCTGCGTCAGTGTTGTGTTCATGGGCAAAACACTTAACTCGCACAGTGCCTCTCCACATTCAGGAGTATGGGTCAGGGATTTTAATAATATGTAAGGATGTAACCTTCGGGTGGACTAGCGTCCCGTCTAGGGAGGAGTGATAATACTACTTTTCGCTTCATGCTATGGAAACTTGGATAAGCTCCGGCTGGGTGGACTACTTGGCTCGAGCCGTAGAAACGGGAATAGGCGTGGGCAGTTATGGGTACTTTTCCCTTCACTGACCTGTTATTTTTCTACAGGGTCCACCAGGAGCAGTTGGTTCCCAAGGAGCGCAAGGAAGCAAAGGGGAGGCGGTATGACCATGTCGCTTGTCCATTTTAGGAGTTTAAGAAAAATGAAGGGAGAAATAACAGCCAACCAACCACGATAAAACAAACAGATTTTTATATTGTTGTAGGGCGTTCAGTTGTAGAGGTCTTTGGATTCGAGAAACATGTTTGCGTTTTATTTAATTACCGTTACCTGGATCATCGGTCTATTATTTATACTGTTTGGTGTATCAAACACGGATTATTAACTACCTTTCCTTAAAAAAAAGCTGTGTGATGAATTAACTTTGAAAGCTTTTTCTTACTCTACCTCTCTTTTTAAAGGGATATCCTGGTATGCAAGGCAGCGTGGGTGCAGTCGGTCCGGTTGGCCAAGCGGTAAAATGATGTTTCTTATGTCAGAAAGTGCTTAAAAAAAAGAAAGAAAAAATTGAATCAATGTACTCTCTAAATAATTCGCTGTAGTTAAGCCTTTTCACCTGTTTACACGTGTGGGGGGTTTGAAGTTGTAAAGATCAGCATTCAGTACATAATTCAGTTATAACAGAATCCATAACAATAAGTTTACGCATTGACTTAATTGCGTTGTGTTCATAGCTTAGTTTTCGAGTCTCTTTAGTTGTTTCTCTTATTGTTGTCTAATTTCAACAGGGAGACCCAGGCCCTGCTGGCAGAGATGGCGTTGATGGAGCAGCCGGCCTTCCTGTAAGTAACGTAAAATCTAAGTAGGGTACAAAGCACAAAAGCGTATCGGCATATATCTTGTAAGCGTTCTATAGCAACACAGCAACAACTTTATTTTTGTATCCAACAGTTACAAGTAAAATTACAGCAATTTCATACTATATGGAGAGTATGGGCTGCACTATACGGACTAGTAAATGTTTGCTAAAACAATTAGATTATTCGCTCTCGATTTCTACGAGTGAAAGGTGATTCGGGCTTCTCTCTAATCGACTATCACGCCATAAAAATTTCGAGCTCATCATTTAATTGCTAAGTGTCCGCGAGGCGGGAGTTTGATTTGTCAATCATGAGTATGATTACAGACAGAATTAGACGACACAAAGTCTTTTTACCAATTAATCATAACCGTTACAATTTCTGAAAACAACAAATACATTTACGACAAATACCTCCGGTAGAGACAAAGTGTAGCGTAAAAATCTCCTCATTTTAGAAATTCCGCGGTTTTTTCGAGGATAAGTGGTTGTTGCTGTGGTTATTGTGATCAATTCTGTGATTGGTGGATGTGGCTGAAAGGACTAAGTATGATTGGCTGCTTCAACTGTCCGATTACAGGTGTTCGATTACAGCCAACAGTCCGATTTCACTGTCCGATGACAACTGTACAGAATAAAGCAGCTAATACACCTATCGCATATGAGGAAATTGTAATGGTTATGATGAAACAAAAAATAAAGAAATATTGATGATAAAAAAAGAATGTTAAGCGACTTCTAATTTCGCAGGGACCTCAAGGAGCGAAAGGAGGCACAGGACCACCTGGCTCTAATGGTCAGCCGGTAGGTGGAAAGACCGATTATCAATTTCAACAGTTACTCCTGGATGTGTTCAGGAGTGCAGTGTTAGGGCTGTGTGACGCACAGTCCATACAGCCAAATAATCGTTTAGTATTACTCTTCAACCTTCATTACTTCGGAAAAGCAGATTTCCACGGTTGGAGAAAGAGATTGTAGACTGTATGGCACCTGAAATACTCGTAGGTAACAGAATTTGTAGCAATCCCCTTTCAATTTTATTGATGAAGGAGATTGTTCTGTCGTGCATTTCAAATAATGTGCAAAGTTGTCCTCCATGTGAGAACTGCAAAGTAAAACTGAATACTGAACACGCCCAGCTGCGAAGGGAAAAAAACTGAGAGATTCGACTGAAAGGCCATCCTGGTGACTATATACTTTTTCATGCGATTACACCCTTAATCAATACGAATTTTCAATAACGCCTTATTATGTTTTCATATATGGTTGTTCGTCTAAACCCAGCACTAACCCTTTACACTCTAAGATCAGTATACATTTTCTCCACACTGGTCTCTCCACATTTCATTATAAGAAGAATTTGTTTGACAATCAGGAGCTTGTTAAATTGGTGATCATTTCCGTAATCCTCTTAACCTTTGCATTTGATTCAAGATTGATACTGTGAGGAGAATTAAGAAGCCGGTCACTCTTAGGGTCAACCTTCTTACATCTTTACTCTCGTGTTCCTATGTCGTGGACAAGTTGCAATAAGATACAATTTTACTCATTACACATCCAGCGTTCAATATTCCCCATCTGTTTATGAAATACAATGATGTTGGGTTCAAACATTTGTGTTTCAGGGTACAATCGGTCCACGAGGTTCCCCAGGACCCCGAGGTGCAAAAGGAGAAAAAGTAAGGAGTTAAATCTTTTCTCAGAAATTTTTTTTATTGTGGCAGTTGCTTAATCATCTAACTCCCAAGGTCTGGTTAGCAGTAATTCTCCTTCTGGAAGCTTTTTATTTCCTTTTAAATCAGTTAAGAGAATTTAATATTTTATCAATATTTTGAAATCACTTCTGAGAGTGTCTTCTATAGCGTAATGATAGTTGAACCGCGGAATCCGAGTGTCTGCAGTTTGGATCTCAATGGGCGATTTCAATGGTCATTATTTATTTATTTATTTGTTGCAATATTTAAACAGGCTGGCCAAGCTCATGGGAATCTGCTATTGCTATTGTTAATATTATTTATTTTTTGTCTCCTACAGTCATACATTTGGCCGTAATAATTACAATGGGTGGTAGTTATTATTTATCTTACTATTATTTACTTTACTTACTTATTATTTATCTGATGTGCAGGGTAATATTGGAGCTGGAGGAATTGCAGGAGTCGCAGGTGCCCCCGGTCAAGCGGTACGTATCAAGTGACGAAAAAAAAGGAATTTCTTGTTCTGATAGTCCCCATTAGATAGTCTCCTTTATTTGGCTCGAACAGTTAGATGAATGGAATTTGTTTTTAGTTGATTCAGAATGTGTGTACAAGTTAACCATGTAAAGCGGGGCAATATGAGGCTGGCATATAGCACAGTATCACACCCACACCCACCAACAAACAAGTCTTTTTTTTTGTTTTTTTGTTTTTTTTAAACAAAAATTAAGAACGTAACTAAAGACCTTAGGTAGCCTAATTTTACAGTAAACACCATTTAAATAAGAACCTATGGAGGCTAACTTGAAAAAACCGAGGTTCTTATATGCGGGTTTTTTAACTGAATACCCTGTAAGGTTGATTTGATTTTGTAAAGTGTAAGTAGTTCTGTTTGTGTTTATTTTAGGGTGCTACAGGACCTCAGGGAAGAGCTGGTGCCAAAGGAGTTTCTGGAAGAAAGGTTACACAGAATATCTGTTTTGTTAGATCGTAGATTTTGCGTGAGCTACCCCGTAATATCAGCGGCATCAGTTATTATATAGATTAGAGGTTAGTTACCAGTTATACAAATTTGAAGAACAAAGGCACGGCCAAGTGTTTCTGCGGTGCCTCATTGTTATCAGAAATAAGAAAATCTTTAAGGAGAATTGGTCGCTCATGGTACCTACGCTTTGGAAAGTACCCTTTCTTTTTACTGGCAGGGAGATACTGGGGCCCAGGGAGCCGATGGCGAGAGAGGTTCAACGGGAAAAGATGTAAGTTGCTGATGAAGTCAAGTGTGTTACTGCATTAATGTGACAGTTTTGATTGGAGAAAAGTGTTTTGATACTTATCGAATTTAAATGCTGTGCAGGTTGGTTTATATTCACGCATGACCAGTTCTGATGGTTAACCAGTTGTCTAAAATCAGTTTGATCCTCCTTTGAGTTCTAAGTTCGATCAATACGTTGAAGATACTTTTCATTAAAAGAGTTTAAGGCAAAGTGAAAACTTTTGCACAAGCATATATAAGGTTGATCACATTTTCCTTTGATTTTTTTCGCTAAGACCTCAAATATGAGTTTATCTTTTGTTTTTTGTTTTCAATTTTTTTATCCCATTCTGTTCTGGTATTTACCGATCTTACCGGCTTGTTCTCGTTTTATCCTAATATGCTCTGAGACATGGCGGGTGGGGTGCGCACGACTAGCTTTCTAGTGGGAATCTTGATAAATCTGCTGCCTTGTAGTTTGATAATTGTTTTTCTCCCTCCTTGTGGAAGTGTATTGGTCATTTTCTTTCAGTTGTTAAAAACCTCAGTGGAAAAAAATGAACTTTTTTCATCATTACAGGGTGCTCAAGGCATGCAAGGTCAGCAAGGCGAAACTGGTGTCAAAGGGCACAAGGTGAGTTAATAGAACGAGTAATGGTTGAGTATAACTAAGATAACAGATACATAATTAGCAGTGGACTTGTATTTGATGGCTCGAATTGTCCACGGTTTCCGGGTCGAAAAGAATTTAGACTGTTAGTTTAGTGAAGAAAGGAAAATCGGAGAACTTAGAGAAAAGCGCTCAGCGCAACGGGAATCGAACCCAAGCCACAACGGTAGCAGCCGAGTGCTTGCACCACTACACCACTGCACCACTCCTGCACTTTCCCTGGCTCGAGTATGGTGTCTCAATCGTGATTGAAATCTGCAGGTGAAACGACCACTCGCGGAGGGTGAAATCAAAAGCTAACCGTAAGGACACAGGATAGAAATCAGCAGGTACCGATTTCATGTTGACCACCTGTTTACTTTTCTATTTTGACTGTTTTTAGGGAAATCGAGGCCCTATGGGACCTGTTGGCGCCCCAGGAACCAGAGGACCAAAGGTAGTGTGTTAGAGCTGTCAATCAATGGCGTATTTTGGTTTCAAACTGTCAGCTACTTACCATTGTTGTTGACTCACCCACTCACTAATAGCTTTGTTCAAATTCCCTTTTAAGCTCTCCTTCATAATGCATATATTTATTGATCTTGTTGTTGCTCCGTCAACTTTATTAATCTCTAAGACTTCATTCGAAGTATGTTTGAAAGAGCCACGTCTCTGTTCGTCCGTCTTCAAAATCTAGCTTGTACGAAGAGCTCGTCATTTTCCATCCTTGTTAATCTATTCAAACCTTAACCATTTAGCTCCTAAGTTCTGATTGTTAATTCTCCCCTCTGGCTGCTACACATTTCCTTGTAAATTAGTGAGGAGAATTTGGTGTTAGAACAAGATAACAAGTTCTACCTGATAAGTTTGAGTATTCTCATTACTTGATTGCCGGACAATGTATGGATATTGCAGGGAGAAGTTAACCCTTGAACTCCCAAGATCTGATTGTTGATTCTCCCCTTTAGATGCGTCACATTCCCTTGTAAATCAGTTACAAGAATTTGGTTTTAGATCAAGACAACAACCGCTAACTGATAAGTTTGAGGATTCTCATAACCTGTTTGCTGGACTTTGTTCAGATACATATAGGGAGAAGTTACATTTTAATCACTTCTGGAATCAAAGGGTTAACCATTTACTTCCCTTTATTTGTCTTTTCCTTATTTTTGCCCCGGTGGTGTTTGACTACATTAGCAAACGATTATTTGAAAAGTAGATTCTTTTTAGGGGCGATTCTCTCGCGCAAAATATGGCTCGAATTTTACTGATGTAACTTCAGAAACTCTTTTTATTATTAGCTCTAAATGTATATTCCTTTATTCAGGGCGAAACAGGAGAGGAAGGATCGAGAGGAACAAGAGGACCAAAAGGACCGAGGGTAAGTGCTCTCCACTTAGAGAAAAAAACCTTGCGGAACCAGCGTAGTAAATGCTTATGAAGTCTATGCATTTCTGTGTCCTCCCTAAGTCACTGCGCATACCTGGGACTGTTTATCCATCAGACTTCTACCATGGGTACTATGCACAGTTGATGTTTGTTTATTTGGTTCTTTGTGTGTTTTTTTTCCAGGGTGTTAAAGGTGAAGTTGGGCCTTCCGGTCCTTCTGGTGTCCAAGGTGTACAGGTAAAGCCATAAACAAAAACCGGATAGATGCACATCCTGTTCTTTACCTTTTCTTAACCTATCCCACCCTACCCCACCATTTATTTCTTTTCTTTTGTCTTTAATCGAACAGGGTAGAGCTGGAGGAAGCGTGAGTTTTGTCACTCTAATTTTTTTTCTTTTTTTCTGTCTCTTTTTTATCTGTTAAATTTTAACTCAAAGAATGAATATTTAGTCGGAGGAAGTAGATATTAATAAATGATAGTAAATATATGAAAATCATTTATGTCAACTGCGGACAAATTATCTTGGCGCGAGAATTGTTTTTTGTTAAGTGTGTAAAAATCATCCGAACTAGCCCCAGAGTTTTTAAGCCTTTTATGTAAATTTTTCCACCTGGTGATAGAGTAGAATAGTTGAACTTAAGGAGAGATAACACGTTTGAACTAATAATTCCTCACAATGATTTTACTCTTCTGTTCGTATCTTTCGCAGGGATCTAAAGGACCCTCCGTAAGTATTGATTTCATAGCTAGTTGCATCCACTTCCAGGAATTTTAAGGTTCTGTTACTTTACATTTGATATCAGAATTGGAAAAAACCTACAGCGTCAGACAGAAACATTTCTTTTCTCGTTTCATTGTAACGTCTTTCTTGTTCATCTCTAACTCTATCCTTTCTTTCAACCGACCAGTTACATCCTTCGCAGCCCCTCTTTCGGGTGTCACACAACGTCGTCAAGGAGCGTTGTGTAACTCCCTAAGGAAGGCTTGCAAAGGAGGGCAGAAAACTGAGGTTTCGTTACATCTTGTGAGTTGGACCATGTATCCTTTCAGGCGAAAAATATTTGACGAAATCGAAAGAAATCGTACAATTTTGTAAAACTTTACGACGCTAGCTTGCTCAATGCTAAATAGAGCCTTTTCATGTTATTTTCTATACCCTTCTTCACTTAAATGTCTTTTCGTTGTTAAACGTCAATTTTGTTGTTTTATTTTCAGGGAGAGCAAGGTGTCAAGGTAACGTCGCGTTCGCGTTAAATTTTGATCATTACTTTCGAGAACCACTTATACCTATTTAGCCAAGGAACGAGTACAAATGGGTCCACTTTAATTCGTTCGAATCACGATTAATTCAACTCTTCATTCACGGGTAACGTTTAAATACGAAATTCGTTCACATAGACATAAAATTTAATCTCGATTCGCAAATTTAATAAAATGAAATCACGACTCACGAGAAAAAAAAACCCTTATCACGTTCCACGTGAAAAGAATAGGCGACCCTCTTAGATTAATCAATTTTGTTTTATTTTGGTATTTATAATTGTGGTTTTCTTTCTTTTAGGGGAGAGTTGGTGCACCCGTGAGTATCCGTTTTTTCTTTTTCATTAGGGACCTTAAGCAGTCAGGACGGCAACGCCAAGGAAGACTTCGATTAAAAAATTAATTTCTGCCTTTAATTAGAGTTTTAAAAATTGCTGCATTTGTTTATCGTCTCATGCAGCTCCACACCCCAACTTCAGCATAATGTATAAAAGAAGCGTTGAGTTCCAAATGGAAATGAAAATAATTTGTCGTCGCGGTTTCGGTTCGCAGACGACGCAAATTGTGATGATTTCACGTTGTTGTTTTGCATAGGACGGCTAAGAAATGTAGAAAGTTTTAAAACGCGTGTGCTGAGCTACTGTTCTGCTAATTAGATCTTTTGTTTTTACATGTCCTCGTTGCCGTCGCCGTCGTGGTTTGCTTAAGGTCCCTATTGTCGCCCAGATTTAACGAGCACCATCAACAATATCCATTTCTTTGACTGAGACCCTTCTATAACTCATACGAAAACAGCCGTAGGCTGCCAAGTTTAGGTATATTCGTAACGAAACGCTCCTACCCCTAGTGAGTAATAATACAGCCACTACTTTAACCCTTTACACCCTAACATCAGTATGGATATTCACCATACTGTATTTTATATATTTCCCGTGGTACTGACAAGGAGAATTTGGGTAACAATCAAGAGCTTCTTTAGCTGGGGATCATTTCCTTTATTCTTGTGACCTTAATGTTTGATGCAGGAGAGATAATTTAAGGAGAAATTAGATGCTGGTCAAAGGATTAAAGTATAATTTGAGTGAAGGGGGGGGGGGGGCTGCCTGAGAAATTTGATGCTTTAGGAAGTCCATTATAGCGCTCGCGATTATATGCGCGACAAGGCAGTTTGAAGCTTACAAAACACTGACAGTCTCTCACTGCAGGTGAATGTGTGTATCCTCGTCTCACAATCCCTATAAACTGTGTTCATGTTTGTGACATAACCAAAAAACTTCACTTTGACTCCTTGGCGTATTGTTTTTCAACTATCACTGATTCATGTATCGAGATACACTCATAAAACCCTGTTTAGACAACTCATTTAACTAATATAGCGACATGTAAGTCGTTTCTATGAGTAAATTTCATGAAAGAACAAGCCAACTGATAGCGTAATGATCGTAACAGTTAGGAAAAAAAAGTTCACTTTGACTCCTTGGTAATGTTTTTTAACTGTTACTGATTCATGTATCGAGATACACACATAAAACTCTGTTTAGACAACTCATTTAACTAATATAGCGACATGTAAGTCGTTTCTATGTGTAGATTTCTATGCGGTGTTAACCTCGTTTTATTTTTTCCGCTACCCAGGGTCCCCCTGGTCCCCCGGGAGTTCCTGGCTCGGTAGGTGTATTTTTGATGTTATGGATTCATGAAAGAACAAGTTAACTGATAGCGTAATGATCGTAACAGTTAGGGGGAAAAAAACGTTCGTATGACGAATCTGTTTTTATGTAATACCTTGGTTTTGAACATCATATGGCCATTCATCATGATATCCCAGTTGACACTAAACAATTATCTTGAATTTTTTCTTTTTTTTTCTTCTTCTTTTCCTTTTTCAGGTTGGCGGCCTGTTTGGGGTAAGTTCGTGTTATTCAAATGCATTATGTCACGTGTTATGTGATGACTGGGTCTATCCAATTATGGAGCAGTATTCAGGTCACATGATTAGAGCAGATCAATAATATTGCAGAATAAAGCAATTTTCAACTGAGTGTCGAAATTAATCCGGAGTCGCTTTGGTTTTGCTTTATTTCGTTATGTGATTGGTCCAGAAAACTCGTATCACTTTCTGAAACCAATCAGATTCAAAACCAAAACCAATCGCGACCTGATCACTCGCATTTTCCCGCGCTTCAGGCAGGTTTCCTTCTCGTGAAATTTTCCTTGCTATAATTGGCTGTTCTGATTTCTTTGTTTTTGGTTTTATGGCACTCGATCGAAAAGCGCTCTATGCATGGCTGGTTTGAGCCAATCAGGATAAACCTGACGACTTGATAAATATTGCAATTCATCGCAGGTGTACTATAATATGTGGTAAGTTTGACATTAATGTTCTGCAACGGCGAGAGATATTAACGCGTTGGCAAATGTTTTTTGTCTTTTAGGGAAATTCGCGCAGAAAACGACGATCCGTTTCTAACAATGTGGAAGATCAGGTAATTTCAATCACTTTTTTCACCTTCAAGAGTACATTGCTGTGTTTTGTTTGACATGCGATGCACTAGCCTACGAGCGAGCGCTCATCATCAGCACTTCAAGACGCGCGTTTCTCCGCCCCCCCCGAGTGAAGATTTCAGACGAGTTGGGGAGAGGTTTGCTTGTGGTCTGACACTAATAATAAGTGCTTGAATCGTCGCAGACCTCTCGCCAGCTTACGTTGCTCATGGTAAATGGCGTAAAAACGTTCGTACTGATGGGCAAATAACGAGGGTTCGGTTGCACTTATTAGGTTAACTCTTCCTAAACCTCCGGAAAGATCTAATTTTTTTCCAGAAAATTTGCGACTCAAACCGCTTTGAGGTTGGGACATAAAGGTCTTAACTTTCGTTCATGTCAAAAGATCTACTCTTCCGATTTTTTATGACACTTCAGTCAGCGAAAGATAGTGCCAATATTCCAAATTCTAACAGTTTCTCTAACATTTTCAATGTTCCACAAAAATTTTTCTCGCGAAGGTGCTTCAACTTCCGACGAGTTGTCGTAGATACTTCGGAGAATGCGAAATAAAAGTTAACTCGCGATTTTGCGAACCTATGTTTATTACCAAGGTTAAATATCTTACAGTGATTGTTTTTGTTAACAGTTTGTCGAACTCACCATTGGTGTTCTGGAAGTCCTGGACATGCTTAAAAACCTGGAAACACCCCTTGGTGGATCAGCCAAAACTTCTGCCAGAACATGTAAAGAAATCATGCTTCTTAACAGCACGCTCCCTGATGGTAAGTACCTTTCATTCCTAAGACAAGGCTGTGCTCTAACGGCGCCCGGTCGCCTGAGGCGACTAACATTTGGCCTCGGGCGACTGAAAATATTTTCTTGGTCGCCCGGCCGGGCGACTGGCTGGTGTTTTCCTTGATTTACAGTCAAAAAAAAAAAAAAGAAAATGTTGTTCAATCGGGCGCGTTGATATTCAAAGGTCGTTCCACGTGAATTTACGTGTAACATAA